TACATCAGTTTTCACCCGATCTTGACTGATATTACTGATGTGTGACCTTTTTTATTTAAGTAAGGGGACCCGGTGTATGTGCACTTAAGTGCAAAAGTGCATGAAGCTCAGCATAAGTTCAATCAGGAAGAACTTCTCATTAACTTTCAATTATTCACAATTCTCTCTCTCCCCTTTCTAATCAGTTGTGATCATTTACTCTTTCAGTTAATCCAATCCATCATGTTGCTGCTGTCAAACTTTAAATCAGTTCTCCTCTCTTATCCAGACACGTATTTGGAAAAATGTCTAAATATTTGGTTTGATTTCTAATGCCACCATTAGATATTTCTATTATGATTTATTAATGTGCCACAATAATGTCATATTTTTAGTTGAAATATCTTCATTTGGGGGTTTTATCAATCAAATATTAATATATGTTTGCAATTAAATCATCATATATTTCTGCATAGTCTGCATACCCCCTCTTCCCCCCCCTTATTCCCTTTTTTTTTTTTTTTTTAATTTTTAATTTAGAAAGGGGGATTTTTTTTTTTTTTTTTTTTTTTTTTGATTTTTTTTTTTTTTTGAAAGGGTTTAAACATAGTTTTTCAGTTTTTCTCTTCCCTTCTTTTTGTTTATAAGGTAAACTGATAACTTTGACCACATTAAGGTTAATCACAAGGAATACGTCATCGACGTAGTGTGCATAAAGTTTTCTATCCAGTGTATCTATTTTAATTTTATTTGATATTTTTCTGTATTTAATTGTTATGCACCAACTTATCAAGGCAAATTACTTTGGTGCAGTATGAAAATTGAAGTACCTCTCCTGTACCGGCTTGGCACAGCAGAGGGTACTGTTTTCTATCAGTTGCCTTAAGACACACAAAATGTGACCTTTATGTGTCCTTTAACATCTGTTGTAAATCTGTAATGCAGCAGTTGGAATAATTGGTGGAAACACAGATTTACAAATGATTCATATTGATACAATTCTCACTTTAACTTATTGATAGTTGTTTGTTCTATTTCTTTATATTATATTATAATCCATTATATTGTAATTCATATACAGCTTTTTCTTAATGAAATAAAATAACAAACCACACATCCACTTTTGCACATTTTAGGATTTAATAGAAAAACACAAAAACAGTTCCAAAAATGAATTCATGATGCAACAAAAATGGGTGATTTTATTGTGTTTGAGGAGAAAAACAAGTATAAGCTCTCAGATGAGATGTTATAATTAATTCAAACTTTCCCAGCTACTGAACACAACATTACACAAAGTCTATAATCTGTTTAATAATTACTTGTACACATCCAAGTTGTAGAAAGTACACTTAAACCTGCCCTAATATTGATGTACTAAATTAAAAGTGAACATATAGCGTTTTTGAATACTCAAAAACTGTTCAAATGAATTTCAAATCGTAACTATAATGACAAGTCATTTTACAATTTAATCATCTTTATTCAGTGTTCACTGTTTAAACCCAACAAAACTACCCACCAGAAAACCACTGAGCAAGGAAACACCGGTGTCTCCTACGTGGAAGTTTGTTTATTGTGGCGTGCTCTGACAATACCTATTTGTACCTTTGGCATGATTGCAATCAATAATATTAAAAAGAAAATGTGATCATGCTTAATTCACACTGTTTATTCTCACAGCTTTTACTCTGTAGTGTCTGTATGGGGATCTACATAGATACATAACAATTTACTGGATGATTTTATCTCTTGTCGCATCACTCAAAGAAGCATTTTTATTTTACAGTACAATCGATATACACAAACTCTTATGCAGCGCGGTGGTGTATTATTATGCAGATAACAATTATGATATTATATATATATAATATGCTACATAACCAGAGTAATCACAACACACAACACTGATCTGTACATGTATTAAAATATGTCTATTTAAAATGAATATTAAATGATCAACAGTAATAATGCTGCTAAAATGGACAATAATTTACATATCAAAATGAATACTGTAAGGTTTTGAAATTGTTCTGTGGACATTTGTACCAGTTTGACAGGAGATACAGCTGTGACGTTGTGGAAGCAATGATTTTAAATTTGGGAGATTCAGCTCCTCCGTCCTTGTTTCTCCTCCTCACCTCTTTCTCTTTCACCTCCTCCCTGAGAGGAGCTAAGACACAAGGAAATGAAGCAAGTGAGAGAAACGAGAAGACCCCTTGCATGCCGTTTAGGTAGTGTTTTGGACCTGGGTGGATTACATCACAAAGTGCTCTCTCTATTTATATTATGTAGCAAATACATTTATAACTTTGTAACAAACTTGTAGTTGTTATTGTTGTTATTGTTACTGGATTGTGTAATTGTTTCAAGCAAGCTGTAACAGGGACACATAGTTTTTTTGCTATTATATATTTATATATATGTATATGATTTCACAGCAATATTTACTTACATGTGAACATATAATCAGAATAAACTGTAGATGAGAAATACTGCTGTGTCCTCTCTGTGTTTGTAATTCTTGTGTTGGCACAGTAAGACTGATATCCCCTGAGTTCCCATGAATTTAGGAGAGGTTTTCATTGTTTGGTAATAGATATCTGCAAATTATATCATTCAAGGATTCAAAGTTACTTTATTGTCATTTACAATGCAGGGTTGTGTAGTGAAATGATATAGTTCTCTTTATGTTACTTGTAAAAAAATAAGTATTAGTAAGTCATAAAAAAACAAAAAGGGGCTAAGGGATTCATTTTGCTGTCTGAGGGTAGGAGCTGTCATCCTCAGATATTATAAAAACCATCAATTGATAAAAAAGTTTAAAATAGTGTTAAAACACTTGTGGGGTTCTGTTTCACTCTTCCATAACACTAGTTTAAGTATGCAGTTGTTTCAAACTTAATCTCTCTGGAGACTATAAAACTTGACTGTGCCACTGAAGAGGAGCATGTGTACTCGGCCAACATCACAATATGAATACAGATTAATTGAAACAATGACACACTAGTTATGTCATCTTGTGATGTTGGCTGAGTATACATGCTCCTCTTCAGTGGCACCCTGATTGAATTACACATATTTTGGCTGATACACCCGAGCACTGACAGTTCAAGCACAGTCAAAGTAAGCTTTATTGTCTCCAGAGAGAGAAAGTTTGAAAAAAAAAAACAGCATTCTAAAACCAATGTTATATATAACCACACCACTGGCCATAACGCTGTACACACTTTGTTTATTATTTTACTTAATTTATATTTATCTTCATGATTGTTAGAATTCTAAAAGTTCTTCATCATCATCAGTCACTACTATTAGTGTAGTTGTTGCTACTGTTGTTGCTGTGCACCTGTCTGTCTGTATATCTGTCTGTCTGTCTGTCTGTCTGTCTCTTTCTCTCTCTTTCACCCCAACTGGTCGAGACAGACGACCACCCACCTAGAGCCGAAGGATCTGTCCTAGGTTTCTGCCTTTTAACAGGCAGTTTTTCCTTGCCTTTGTCACAAAGTGCTTGCTTATGGTGGTACTGTTGGGACCCTGTAATTAATGTTATAAGGAGTTCGGTCTACACCTGCTCTATTTGGAAAGTGTCCTGAGATAACTTAAGTTATGAATTGGCGCTATACAAATAAAATTGAATTGAATTGAATTGAATTGTATTATATTTCATATTATGTATTTTTACACTGTTTTAAATTTTTTTTATCAGTTGATGGTTTTTATAATATCTGAGGACGACAGCTTCTTCTCTCAGACTGCTAAACTCTTCCTCAGCCCTTGTATTTTTTTATGACTAATTAATTCATTTTTATTTGTTTTACAATCAGCATAAAGGAAACTGAATTCACTTATACAACCCTGCATTGTAAATGACAATAAAGTAACCTTGAATCCTTGAATTATATAATTTGCTCATGTAGCAAACACAGATCAGATCTATTACCAACAATTAAAACCACTCCTAAATTCATGGGAACTCAGGGGATATCAGTCTTACTGAACAAACAGAAGAATGACAAACACATATCAGATCTATTACCAAACAAAGAAAACCACTCCTAAGTTAATGGGAACTCAGGGGATATCAGTCTTACTGAACCAACAGAAGAATCACAAACACAGAGAGGACACAGCAGTATTTCTCATCTACATGACAGTTTATTCTGATTATATGTTCACATGTACAGTAAATATTGCTGTGAAATCATATATATATGAATATATAATTGCAATAAACGTCTGTTATGCACAACAGCTTGCTTGAAACAATTAATTTTGCCACAGTTATAGTATGTATGAAAGGCATTAGACAGTTCATTCTGTGTCTTTTTTTTTAGACTAGTGGAAGAGATTAAGAAAAGAAACAGTCCAATCATATCTCTCCACAGTGACTCACCAAACCAAGGGATTTCCCCTGAGCTTGAATAGTCTATTGCTGGGGTGATGGAGACCCATTGTAGTTGTAGCATCTCTGGTTTTGCACTGCAGATTGGGGGAGTCTTATGCACAGTCCAAGTATCCTGTTGATCCTCAGGGGTGTGTAGTTCCTCTGTTGCATTCATTCAAAATCCAGAACTAGTTTTGGTGATGTTCAGTAAGAGGTTGTTGGCCTCACAGTTTATTGTCCAGTCTGGTGGGAATGATGTATTGAAAAGAGGAAGTGAAGTCCCCAATACAGCGCAGTGCAGGACTGTTTTTTTAATCCTGCTCCTGGTTGATTACTGCCCCACAAGTGACTTAGATATGAGGAAATATTCAGCTGTTTTGGCAAATATTCTTTTAATTTACTAAATTCAATCCATTTAAATGGCTAACTATGTTCTCAATTATCTTAATAAACATGTACAGCCTCTTGTGTGTCTTCCTGAAGGAACTGGAAGGGTAGGACATTTTTGCTTCACTGGACTCAGCCAACTCTGTTACTAGACAAATACAGAAATTATGTTTGAAAATGCTGTCAGGTGCATTCCTGTTTGCATTTTGTGTGTTCATTGTCAGGATGTGGATCCTTAGTTCCTGATTCTGGGATGGCAGGATGGCACAAGGAACTGTATATAAGAGCCAGACTTTCTCCTGTTCAGTACCCCAGACTGACATTGAGAAGGAAGAAGAGAAGATAATTCTGCAACAGGTCTGTATTGTTTATTATTGTCTGTCCTTTATCTAATGGGTTGACAGTCTCTAGTCATAGTTTCTACCAATACACGTCTTATTAACACGTCTGTTTCTTTTAATTGAAGGTCATCATCTTAGACATCTGCATCAACTTCACCATGAAGATGCTAGCTGTGTCTGTACTTGTTGTTGCCATGATGGCTCTGACTCATGGTGCTGGTGAGTGTGAGTGTTTAGGCAGTGTTTGTGTATGAGTTCTCTGAATATTGTGTTTAAGAGAAACATAGAGAGTTTTCTATTTTTTTCAACAAAAGTCACTTACTGTTGTTTCAAACTGTCTATCTCTTCCAAATGCAGAGGGCGGTCCTGAGACAGAATCAAAAATTCAAGAAAGTTGGGGGTGGATTTTTCCTCACATTTATAAGACGACAAAAATGCATGTCTGCACCCTCAGAGGATAGATATAACAAATATTTTCGACAAAAGAGATTTAAAAAAAGTTTTTAAAGATTTTAAATGTGTATGAAAAAGTGGAAACAAAACCCATATAGAATTAATCATTGGTTTATGTCATGAAGTGGGCTGCTTTATTGTGTATGTATGTATGCTATTGAAAAGCAGATTTTATATTGATATTGTTTAAATAGTCCTAGAATTTGAAAACAAGATTACCTAACACAATAGCCATTAAAATTGAAGAATCCATTATTGATAAAGTGTCCAATGTATAATGTAAATGAAAGCTGGGCATTTTTGGAAAACTGTTGATAAATACAGCTGCTTGCTAGGGATCATATCAGTCAGAGTTTAGGTGACTGAACGACACTGAATCAACTTGGAAGATGAATTTTACCATTGTATTGTCTATGCTGCTATACTGCAGCCTAATTTTGGCTGAGGATGATGTTAATGTTCCAGAAACAGAAAGAACTAGTGATGCTAGTCATGCTTTTCAGACTCGTGTGATTTCCTGAAAGAGTTTGGTGCCATGAAAGAAAAACAGAGAGTTATGGAAACCAGACTGACAGACAGTGAAACCAAGCTGAAGGAAAGTGAAAACCAGATTCTTGAACTGAAGAAAAAAGGTAAAGTGAAACTTTTGCCCTGATTAATTTTAGGACTTCAGTGGAGAATTCTTTTGCGTATCAGAATAAACACAATATACCAGTGTAGAAGTACATTTACAAAATGATGTGATCACAATGTTTTGCCTTACACAGAAAGAACCGTGGTAGTGTTCAGTGCAGCAACAGATCAGAGAGGAACCATTGGACCCTTCAGAACAGATACAACTTTAGTCTACAAAGTAGTTAAATCAAACATTGGCAATGCCTACAGTCAATCCACTGGTGAGTACATAATTTTTTTATACATTTCTTAATATACAAATAAATATGTAAAATGCGAAAATATGCCAAATCAAAAATAAAATAACTGTAGGCTATACGTTAAAGCTGCAGTAGGTAACTTTTATAAAAATAAGTTTTGGTCATTATTGCTGAAATATTCACTGTGTTCTGACAGTAGTACATGAGACAGATAATCTGCACTTGTTCTAGCTCTCCTAGTGGCATTTACAGGAACCCACCAGGCCTAGACAAAAATAACCAATCAGAGCCAAGAAAGATATAAATAGGATTTGGGTTGGAAGCTTGAAGACAGTTGATTGTTGAGTCTCATTCTCAGCTTCCCAAAATGTTTGTATGAGAGACTTCGGGAACCTGGTAATGATAGATTAATTTCATTATCCACTGACTTTTCCTCTGGGACCACTATGATGTTGAGTTTTTAGTACTGTAATTATATATCTCGACAACTATTGGGTGGATTGCTATGAAATGAGGTTCAGAGATTCAGTCCCCAGAAGATAAACTGTAATAATGTGGATCCCTTAACTTTTCAACTAGGGCGATTATCAATTGGTCTTTAGTTTCTGACCAAATACCTGCAAAATAATGACTTTCCCATTTTTGATTGAAATTCTGACGTTTCTCTGAGAATAAGAGCCCTAGAAGTCTGTTTCTAGAGCAACCAGACATGCATTTTGAAATTGAGTAAATTAATGTTTACTGTGATATATAGCATGAATTTTAGGAAATCAGTGATCTGTAAATGAACTGATTCCAACTATTTGTCACTTTAATATTTTTTTTATTTTAAACATGTATTGTGTTGATTCTATGATAAGAAAGATGTGATTACGACATTATGTAAATAGAGAGAGCACTGTCAGTGTATTCCATCAAGGTCTGAAAAGACTCTCTGAAAAGGATTCAAGGACTTCCATTAAGCTGTGTCAGATGTTGGAATAAAATGCTGTTTCCACAGGTACCTTCATTGCACCTGTTCCAGGCATTTACTACTTCACCCTGTTTTATCATGCTGGAGGATCACGGCCAGCTTATCTAACCCTCATGAAGAACAACGAGGTGGTTGTGACAACCTCTGATCACGCAACATCACATGACGGGGCTGATAACGGTGGCAATGCAGTGTTCTTGCAGCTGAAGCAAGGGGACTGTGTGTATGTGCGCTTACGTGCAAATACACATGTTTGGGGAAGCAATTTCGGTACCACCTTTAGTGGTTTTCTGGTCAGTCAGGTTTGAACAGTGAATAAAGATAGAATTTATTTCTCAATACAGTTATAATTTCTAATTTCTTTTAACAAATCTGAAATTATGATTATTCACTTTTAATTGATTCCTATTATTACAGCTGCTTTAAGTGCCCTTTCTACAACTTGGATTTGTACAAGTAACTATTAAACAGATTACAGACTATGTTACATTGTGTTATCTGGACAGGTAGATCAGAATTAAATAATAATGCCTCATCTGAGATCTTATACTTGTTAATTATCAAGTATCTACTTATCTTGTTTTTCTCTTCAAAAACAATAAAGTCAAACTCTTCTGTTGCATCTTAAAATAATTTTTGAAATGTTTTTTATGAAACCCTAAAAAATGAGAATGTAAAAGTGGTGTGGTTTGCTATTTCTTTATGAAACTAATTCTCAATCCTTTTATTTGCATATTTTACAAAATGAAAACTTCAAAACTCTAGCTATATAAATAGATCATAAAAAATGGAACAAACAATTATCAATAAATTAAAGTGAGAAATAATTTAATTTCAAATGTGTGTTCCACCAATGATTCGACCCCATTACAGTTACAACAAACCTTAAAAGACACATAAAGGACACATAGTGTGCGAGACAACAGTAGGGCAATAAACAGCACCCCGCGTGCCAAGCCAGCGTGAATCACTTCAGTTTACATATAGATTTATACGGAGCCCCTAAAGTCCCCAAAGGAAATATTTTATCTTGTGGGCTCAATTTATTTAGCTTGTGGGCACAAGATAATTTACTATAAATTCATATGCATCGCTAACGGCTCAGATGCACACAGCTGTCATATAATGGAGAGAACTCAGCTTATCAAGTTTTATTTTCACCTCGAATGTATACCAGAAATTCCTGCTCTGCTCAAATCGAATGTCCGCCAGATGTGTTTAGAGGGGCATGGACACTTCAGTAAAATGGGCGAATAACAGAAAGATCTTTCTCAACTAGCTTATCATCCAGCTCACCCACCAAAGACAGAGCAAATTTACTGCTTAAATAAAGCAAGAACAAGCAATGTTTCAAACAAGTGGAGAAATCAGCAAACAAGCCTATGAAGCCATAAGATAAGTAACGCGCACAAGATAATAACTGTATACTTGTAACTTATATACTGTTGCACACTTTGAACCTTTGACCTTTGCAATCATTTTGCACTAAACAAAATACATTTTAAAAATGTTGTTTTTATTTTAAATAAAGGGGATGTTTAAATTCATATAAAACAACAAGGCCAGCAACTGTAATGTAATGTATTACTTTTAAAATGTCCCTTAAAGAACTTGTCTTTGAAAAAGTAATAACATCACAGAAACGCAAGTAATTGTGTTACAACATGATCTGATGTAAATTATTGTCTTAATAATAATCACTTTCTCTTGTAACCTAGGTCTAGGGAAATAAATAATTAAACTTAAGTTTAGAGCAATAAACTTAGTTGAACTGTGATGCATGACAGCTTGCTCGAAACATTTAATTTGGTGAACAGACTTTTGTCACAGTTATAGTATGTATGACAGGCATTAACCAATTATTCATGTGTCTTTCTTTCTAGACTTGTGGAAGCAATAAAGAAAATAAACAGATATAGATGAATGTCAGACTTCCCTTGCATTTCTCTCATAAAAATCTGCTTTAATGCACTTTTCAACTTCATTTGTTGACTATCTATAGATCTTGTCCAATATTGTAATTGTTCTTTTATTTTGTTAAATTTAATCCATTTCAATTGTTAACTATGTTCTCAGTTATGTTACTAAACTTAAATTCTAAATTCTAAAATTGTTGATAGTACTTCTGTTCCTGAATGAACTGGAAGAGTGGGAAATCCTTCTTTGGATATTGATACCTGATCAGTTTTTGCTATACGAGACTCAGCATACTCTGTCACTAAACAAATACAGAAAACAGCGTTATGTTTATTCATATTTGCATTTTGTGAGTTCGTTGTCCATGGGTGTATCCTCAGTTCCTGGTTCTGGGATGGCAGGATTGCACAAGCAAATGTATATAAGAGACAGACTTTCTCCTGTTCAAAACCTCAGACACTGACAAAGAAGACAATTCTGCAACAGGTTTGTGACTAACGTGTATTATTTTCTGTCCTTTATTTATTAAGTTGACTAACTGTCACTAACCGTCATAGTTTCTCCCAGTACAGGTCTGATTAATATATCTTTGTTTTTATTGAAGGTCATCATCTTTGACATCTGCAGCAACTCCAACTCACCATGAAGATGCTAGCTGTGTCTGTACTTGTTGTTGCCATGATGGCTCTGACTAGGGCTGCTCGTGAGTATTTAGGCAGTGTTTGTGTATGAGTACTGTGAATATTGTGTTTAAGAAAGAAAATATAGAGATAGAGAGTTTGCACACACACAAGCAACAAATGTCACTTCTTGTTGTGTCAAACTGTCCAGCTCTTCCAGACTCAACAGAAGCAACAATTCAAGAAAGTAAGTGCATTGTTCTACAGATTTGTATCATAATAAAATATACACACTGGGGAAAGAACAGGAAAAAACTTGATGGTGTCACTTGCTGGTGTGTGAGACTGATCTTCAGAAGAAGGAGGAAAATCTTTGTCCAGATTAGGCCTAAATGGATGCATTCTTCTTCAGATTTTTATTAAAGCGCATCACATTTGTGATGAACATTTTACTTTGTTATGTGCTTTTCAATAAGCAAAAAACTCACTCACTGTTGTGTTAAAACATCCATCTCTTCCAGACTCAGAGACCGCTCCTGTGACAGAAATACTGACTGAACAAAGTAAGAGCATTTTTCTTCAGATTTGTATTATGATAAAATATACACACTGAGGAAAGAACCGATTAACAAAAGTCACTTCCTCTCATGTTAAATTGTCTACCTCTTCCAGGCTCAGAGACCGCTCCTGTAACAGAAGAAACAATTAAAGAAAGTAAGTGCATTTTTCTTCAGATTTGTATTATAATAAAATATAAACACTGGGGAAAGAACAGGAAAAAAAATTGATGGTGTCACATACTGGTGTGTGAGACTGATCTTCAGAAGGAGGAGGAACATCTTTGTCCAGATTAGGCCTAAATGGATGCATTCTTCTTCAGATTTGTATTAAAGCGCATCACATTTGTGATGAACATTTTACTTTGTTATGTGCTTTTTAAAAAGCAAAAAACTGTCACTCACTGTTGTGTTAAACTGTCTACCTCTTGCAGACTCAGAGACCGCTCCTGGGACAGAAACAACTATTCAAAAAGGTAAGTGCATTTTTCATAAAAATATCTGCACACTGAGAAAAAAACAAATTAACAAAAGTCACTTCCGCTTGTGTTAAACTGTCAATCTCTTCCATAATCAGAGGCCGCTCCTGCAACAGAAATACCAACTGAAGAAAGTAAGTACATTTTTCTTCAGATTTTTATTAAAGTGCATCACATTTGTTATGAACATTGTACTTTGTAATATGCAATTACATGAGCTAAAAAAAAGGTCACTCACTGTTGTGTCAAACTTTGCAGCTCATTTTACAGATGAGGATGAGGTGAGCGGATCAGGAGGTGAGTGCAAAGAAAGAGAAATGAAAGAAAGACCTGCTGTTAACATGATTCTACAAACTAACATAGAGCACCAATAACCTGTGAACAGGCATGTTTTGAAGTTGGAAGTAGTAACTTACCAAATATTTTAATAATTCGTGTTGCAAAAATAAACTTGCTGCACATAGTTTACAATGTTTGCTGAAACCTGCAATATGTAAAACACGTGGCTGAGCCTGAGACCAAGAACACGAACAAGCTGGTTTGTGTGCAGAGAGAGACAGAGAGGGGTGTAGGTGTTTGCATGTGGGTAAAAGAGAAGGAAAAGGTGAGCAGAAAGTTTGTGAGTAAACCCTTAAATAGGTGGAGAATTAGTAGAATTAAAATTTTGATATAAGAAATAACTTATAAGTAGGTATAGTGTCTTTTTATGTACCAATTTAATTTAAAAGAATGACACTGATGTGTCAATGTATCCATATCTTTCAGATGACATATCTGGGACAGAATCAACAAATGAAGAAAGTGAGTTGAATTTTCTTTTGATTTTTACTAAACAGCATTACACTTTGTTATGCCTGCTTGTATGACACTTGGATATCATCTACAGAAAGAGAAAAACCCTATTCATTTGTCTAGATACTAAATAACCTGACAGCCAAAGTCAATAACTGCTACTGTATTACTATTCCAGATTCAAAGAGTGGAAATGGGACAGCTGCACCTACAAATGGTCAGTAGATGTGTGTTTTTCTTTCTTCCTGAGTATCACTACAGTTACCATTACCCTCACTTTTTTATTTGCCTTCAGGAAATCATCACGGTCCCAGTGATCCATTAACGTGCAAAGAATTCTGTCATCACAACTTTCAAACATTCAGCAGTTGGGAGATGGAGGTAATCCTGATGATTTGAGTGCAGAACGGTTCTTCAGTCACTATGTTTATTTTGCTTGTATTGACTAACAAACATTGCATTGCATAATTTGCAATTCGAGTTTCCTGACTCTGTACTGTCTGTCTATCCCCACTGTAGATTTGCTGTGAGGCCTTGCGTCCATACCCAGCCTCTGTGCAGGGTATGTCCATCGAAGAGATTGGGGCTTTGGTATACAGTGGACAAGTGTGGATTGGAGACTTTGATGCACAACAGGTAAATTGGAAAAGGTCTGAGAGGTATTTAATTTAAATGACTCCACCTACTATATAAGGGCCGGCCTTGTGCAAATACAAGAATTGGAGAGATGGAAAGAGAAATAGATAGATAGATGAATAGATAGATAATTCCATCAATATAATTACTCATAAACATACAATCTAAAAAACATGTAATAAATATATTATATATTATATCTAATTATAATTAATGTGTTTTTTAAAATTCCTCAGACTTAAAACTTATGTTTCTTTGCACAAATGTAGGAGTTACACTACTTAATAATAAAGGTAATTAATCACTGGTGATTAATAATACACTCTTAAAGTAAAATCTAATCAAATCAATTTCAAATCAATTTATTCAATTTCAAAATCTATATTCAATCTCATATTCTGAAGTAGTGATTTCTTTTACACGGATTCATCGATTTTCCACATCAAATCAAACCTGCACCGACAAGGACATACGGTTATATATGTTTATTAACTAAACTAATGCAGAGTAAATAGTATGAAATGATAATGCAAACAAATGTAACAAATCTTTGTTCGGCTGGAAACGTTTGTACGCCTTCTTGAGCAGTCAACTACTGTGACGTCCTTCTGGCTGATGATAAATGTCTTAGAGTGGTTGGTCTTCAGCTTTGATTGTAACTAATTCAACTTCTTGTCTAAAATAACTGTAGGATGAAACGCTGGCCGGCCGAATCTTCCGTCGTCACTAAATCCAAGAATTAAATTAAATTTACTTTCTGTGAATCAGGCGACAATACTGTTATACTATATATATATATACTATATATATATATATATATATATATATAAGACTACAAAAAGTATAAAAAGAATTAAGTTTGTTCTTGTTTGAGCTTTCAAAATAAAAGTACTTAGAAAAGTACTTCAGCACCGCAAGTTATCACTTGAGGAAAAATTCAACACGTGTCGCAAAACGGAGTAAAGTACGGAAATTAAAAGTAATAACGAGAGTAAATAACGAGTGGATCCAACACTCTTAGAAGGACGAAAATTTAAGAAGAACAGAAGAGAGAGAGAGACCGGAGTCTGTCCCTTATATATTTTAGTCTGAAGGCGGAACTGGAGAGGAGCTGACCACGCGCGTCACTTCCTCTGGTGATTTATTAACTGTTCTTATCTATCGTCTTTTAAAGTGTCGAGATCATGATTCACCGTCCACAGAACCCACCATGACTTAATACATAGTTCACATGTTTTTAACATAACATAACATAAGAGCTGGTTTATAAAATAAAACACGCATATAAAGCAGCACTGATGGATTGTTCATATTTCGTGTAGTGCTAACTTAATCCTTGTTATAAAAATATGTGTCAGACATTTACTATTTGGAATAATACATAATTATAAAACAAAGTCCGTTTTGAAGATCCCCTTACAACTATACCAGAATTTACCAAAAGGTTGGCACTGTGGCTCCACCAAACATTCAGACATTTTAAACAAATGATCTGTAATTTGGTTCAACCTGAGGATAGAAACACCAGAAAAACATTATATTTGCGACCTTCTCCTGCTGGATGGCAATCTGTTAATTTTGAGAAGATGAAATTTTACCTCAATACTCCCACAGAACTAAATCTGTATCAGTGCAAATGTTGTTACTGCTATCTAGATTGGAATGTCATGGCTAGCAAATGGACATCTCACAAATCACCTTAAAGGGGGGGAAAGGAGTAACAGGGTGCCAGATGTGAATTGCAGGGTCTTTTCTCTTCTGGGGTGAGTCTATTAGATCAAAAGGAGATGCAAACACATTTCATGGCCCTCCTATCCTGATTTAAAACTAAAAAGGCATTTAAATTATCACACATCTCTTGTAAGAAAACAACAGTTTCCTAACTCCAGATGCTTGGATCCAGAACCTGGGTCTCGAGTGTCATTCTGATCTGTGGAGGAGTCATTGTTCTGTGAAAGAGGATAGGAAGATTGAGACCTAGAGATCCCATCTGTGAATCTGAAAAGAAAAAGACTCCCTTGGCAGGAGACTTCTCAGCGCCAAAGTCTCACCTCCCCTCCTGGGTCAAAAGGCCAAAAAAAAAGAACCTTTGCGGACCCTCCTGATGGGAAAGAATCAAAATAATATGATGGTTGTTGAATTAGGAGACCAATAAAGGGTCTCTTGTGATGAGGAGACGAGGGACATGTTCCTACACAAACAATGTGTGGACTGTGAAAACTAGATGTGATGGGCTCCTGACCACTCATAAAATGTTTTCTTACCAAAGAGAAAAGCAAAAATAAGAAACCCTTGGCGAATCCCAGAAATCAATGGGTACTAATCAAATAAGAACAAATCATGGATTCAAACAAAAAAAAAGAGAACATTAATGTCTCATTACTGTGTCAGGTCTTGATTTGTGTCATGCTAAGTCCTCTATCTTTGGTTCTCACAGGAAAAACATACTGGGATTTATTAGACAGTTACGGATATGTCTGTACCATGACATCCTGCTGATTCCTGGACAAACACAGAGGCATGAAGGATGTGTCAAAAGTAAAGATGGTGGAGGATGTTTGTTTGTGTCTACTGTGTGTATATGCACTCATCTGTCTATGTGTCATCTGTCTCATACATAACCTGAAGGCTCTATATCTCACATCAAATCTGAATTTCTTTGCTATCGCTGTAATGCTGCTTAAGGAAAGAAGAGACAAGTTACATAAACAGGAGCTGCTTCTTAGGCCTTGTGCTGTTGAGAACATTGAATGGTTATGCACAACTTTATTCTGCAGTGATATGTCTTTCTTCGATTGTGTATAATGAATCATTAAAAGGCTCAAGCATTGAAACCATTTTGTTTTCGAGTTTGTGTACCACCTGTATTCTGTATCGCAAAGAGCTCCATAGCAACATTACTGTAAATAATAGTGAAGGCCACAATTCTTGGGAGTACCGCGTGGTAATTTTTGAAAGAATTTAAGTACACGATTTGCAATATATTTTCCAACTCTGTGATGTTACACAGTTTTTAGATCAATATGTTCAGTATAGACTGAAATATTAATTTTAAACACCATTTGGTTTTGCTTCAAAGTGCCAAAAAATTAACAAATGTGCATTTATGCGACGCTTTCTCAGTTCACTGTTTGCTTTACTGTATGTGCAATTACATGCACATGCAAATATAGTATTGGGAAATGACGATCATACTACGTTCTGTGTTATTTTTATGTCACTTGAATGCAGAAGAAAAGCAATAATTCAAAAATGTTGTTTTGTTTGTTTTGTTTTGAACAAATTCAAATATATATAGATTCAGATAGATTGGCCATGAATGACACATCAGTACAGGAGATTGCCTGCAGTCTAAAACCACTAGTGGTGAAATTGTGACTCTTTGCTGTTGGGACCAAAGGAGGGCTTGGAGTGACGTTATTATAGAGACAACGTCTGCAGAGAGAGGATGTTGGGCTGGTTGGGTGGGTCAGCAAAACATTAGACCTTGACATGAGAGTCAACTGTTTGCTTCCCATCCATCAGTCAATGTTGGTTTATTTTAGAGTGTTGGCTGATCCCTTACACACTGAATGCTTAGAATGTATCAGGCTGGACTTATTTCTAGTGCAATGGAAGAAAACATCCCTGCCTGTCTTTTGTCAAATAAGTGACATCATTCACAGGGATGACCATCATGCATTCAGGGTATTAAGGAAATGTTTATAAAAAAAATTTTGCACTTAAATTTTATAAACCGTTTGATTTTCAAAGCTCATACAGTGATTCAGATGAAAGTTTGTACATTACACCTTAATTCACAATGTTTTGATTCAACTGTATGAATGATTGCAAGGGTATAAGGCAAAAAATAATTATTTTTAAACATCATTTTAACATTTGAAGATTTCTTCAGCAGTGTTATTTGTCTTATCCCTTAGTGTTACTGTAACTCTGTTGTGTGAGTTAAGAAGGAATTCTGGCATCGTGTTTAACTATTTTAAAAGGGTAACTCTGAAGAGTGGAGCTACATAAACCTGTAAAAAGTGTTGAAATGAACTCTGTGTGACTTAATCTCGGTTAAATAAGTTAAGCATTTAGTTACACTTTGTTTGCGCATAGTGCTCTGAATTCCTAATGTTAAATGAAAGCTTTACACAGGGGACAATGATTACTTGTGTGAATCACCTAAAAAAGCTTCCCACAGTTACACAGAGGACAATGATTACTTGCATGAATCACGTAAACTGTATGAGAATAATGACTGTATTTTGTGATCTGACTTTCCCAAGACATATCATGTGGTTGGTAGGTGGAGAGGGGGGACTATTGACAATTCTCAAACTTGTGCCTTTGGTTAAAATTAAATTTGGTAACACTTTATAATGAGTACACACTATTAAGCATTAGTTAAGTTAAGTTAGCTTTCAACCATAATGTGTGCTACCAAACAAAGACACATACTCACCACTAGAGCCGCTGACGGCCGCCGAGCCGACTCCAATGTGCTTCTCCATGCTCCCCTTGGCTGCACTGTCAGAAACTTCTGAGAGTTAACGTAAATATGACGTAACATCCCGCTCTCAGCACGTTGATGACGTGCCGAGAGCGGGATTGCAAGCTCAATGTACACGTCCCAAACAGATAAGATCACAACAATAGCATGTCTTCATAAACCACCCTTGTTCGTCTTCATACAATATGTTGGGAAGTTGCAGTAAATATCAATACAATATGTTCTATATCCCTTTGTGTTGTGTCTCTCCTTCGTCTGTTATGATAACTGAACATTTTGTGAGTCTTGAGGCATTGCCAGCCTTTATATCTCATTTGTAAATGCTTAATAAGCCAGTAGTAAGTGCTTTGTAACTGTGAATTCCTGCATTAATCACTGTTTATAGGCCATCATTAGAAAATGAATTTGTTGTGAGTTTTATAGAACATCTGCTAACACAGTCACTAATCATTAATACATGTCTGAATAGTGGATGTGCAAGTGCATGCAGAAATGTACAGTACAATGAAGAGTAAAACATTTATAGCATTTATATTTTATAACTGCGATTATAAACCACATAGTAATGACTATTTACAGCAGAATCATGCTTTATAAATGATGAATTCAGTATTTACTAATCCATAACTAATGTGCTTATCAATGATAAATAAAACATTTTTAACTGTGTTTATAAACTACATACTAATGTGTATTCATGCGTTATAAATGATGAATTCATTATTTATTCATGCTTAACTAATGCTTAATAGTGTGTACTCATTATAAAGTGTTACCTTAAATTTTAACATTTCTTCAAGGTTGATTTGACACTAACACTACCCAAATAGTGAAAAAATAACAGAGCAGTGTTATTTGTCTCATCCCTTACTGTAAATCTGTTTTCTGAGTTAATGGCATGTTAAAAATTAACTAGTCATCATCAAACAACATAAAAGCAGCCAGCAGGATCGCATCAGTCAGAGTTTAGGTGACTGTGATTTTGAATCAACCTGGAAGATGAATTTCACCATTTTATGGTTTGTTTTGCTTTTCTGTGGCTCGATTTTGGCCCAGGATGATGGCAATGCTACTGAAATACAGTCATACCATCCCGATATGTGTGACCATATCAGAGAGTTTGTTGCCATAGGAGAAAAACTTGGAGCTTTAGAAACCAGGCTGAAGGACAGTGAAAACCAGATGCTGGAACTGAGGAACAAAGGTAAAGCAAAATTGGATGACTTAATTAAGCATTTTGTGTATTGTGATGGAATGTGCATGATTAAAAAAAATCCTGCAACCTAAACAACAAAATATGTAAGGATGATAGGACATGTCTCCTCACTAACATGTTATATTCACATACTTGCCAGAGGTCTTTAACAACTGATGCTTTTTCATTAGAGGACTCTGGATATATTTTACAAAGTGATGTGATCAGAATGTTTTGTTCCACACAGAAAGAACCAAGGTGATATTCAGTGCAGCTACAGAAGGAGATAGAGCCATTGGACCATTCAACACAGAAACAACTTTAATCTACAGAAGAGTGATTACAAACATTGGTAATGCCTACAACCAATTCTCAGGTAAAACTCACCTTCATGTTTACTTTTGTATCAGTATTAAGATTTTTTACACAAAGTGTTAATGGATGCAATGATTGAGGAATAAAGGGAGATATAAATAAATATGATAAAAAATCAATCATGATGAGAATTGGCTTGTGTTTGTGTGTCTGTATGAATGTCTGCAATGTAGTTATTTTCAGAGACTGAAAAAAAGAAAGAAATCTATATATATATTTGTGTGTGTGGTTATGTAAGGCAAGAAAGGAAAAACACATTAAATGAAGACTGAGGATGATTTTTGGCTTGAGTTCTCAGTTGTAATTAAAAAATGAAGAAAGAAATGTAACCCCTGTGTTCTCCACAGGTCACTTCATCGCACCTGTTGCAGGTGTTTATCACTTTAGCATATTTTATCATGCTGGAGGAAAACATCGGGTAAGGCTGTTTCTGTACAAGAACAATCACATAATGGCTGAGACTCATGATCACCCGTCAATATCAGACACAGCTGATAATGGAGGAAACGCAGTGTTCCTGGAGCTACAGCCAGGAGACAACGTCTATGTAAACATGCATATAAATACACATGTTTGGGGATGCCCCACAACTACAACTTTCAGTGGCTTTCTGGTCTCTCAAATGTGATAATGGATGCCTTCACAATAATTTACCACTTTCTTGGGATAAAGAATGAATACTATATGCATCTCTAGAAATGTCAAATTTAAATATTCAAATGTTAAAACTATGACTTGATGGCAGCATATTGATTGAAATGGATGATTAACCAAACACAGTGAGAAATGTATTCATGTGAATGAAATGTATATGTGTTAATGCCTACAAACACCCATGTTTCAGAAACTGACTACCATTCAGTGGTTTTTCTGTTCACTTAAATGTGGGAATCAATGCACTGTATTTCTGTTATCCAATGAATGTAAACATTTGAGATCGAAAACATAAATGCATTATATTTTACAATCTGATCAAACAGAATGCTGCTTCTTATTAAATAAATAATCTACAAATGAGATCAGTCTTATCTATTGCTTCCTTTACTTTTTATTATTTATGATTTACAATTAATTAAAAGCAGAGATTGTCCTCACCATGTTGTTTGGTTGTAGGGTTTTAGAGAGGTATGACAGAAAGATTAAACAGGAGGTGCTTTCAATGATACAGTCAGTTGTCGCCCCTCTAACAGCAGGACCTTAGATGGTCGTCCAACAAGTTATTTTACTACATCAGATTTGGTTTAGGTTTTCATTCTGACCAAAGGCTGATTTTAGTCACACGCACAGTGTCACAACACCCCCCCATCTCAAAAACTAATGGGCAAGGTTCTCAGTCAAGATTGCTGTATAGATTTTCATCCCCAGATTAAGAAATCTATAGTCAGTTCCCTGTCACATTTGCCCTAGTGCAGCCATCAAGCCTAACTTTAAATTTAAAAAAAAAAATTTTCACATCAGTTTTAACCCGATCTGTTGTGCAGTGAAGGATAAAGCTTGACTGATATTACTAATGTGTGACCTTTTTTATTTAAGTAAGGGGACCAGCTGTATGCGCACTTAAGTGCAAAAGTGCATGAAACTCAGCATAAGTTCAATCAGGAAGACCTTCTCATTAACTTTCAATTATTCACAATTCTCTCTCTCCCCTTTCTAATCAGTTGTGATCGTTTACTCTTTCAGTTAATCCAATCCATCATGTTGCTGCTGTCAAACTTTAAATCAGTTCTCCTCTCTTATCCAGACATGTATTTGGAAAAATGTCTAAATATTTGGTTTGATTTCTAATGCCACCATTAGATATTTCTATTATGATTTATTAATGTGCCACAATAATGTCATATTTTTAGTTGAAATATCTTCATTTGGGGGTTTTATCAATCAAATATTAATATATGTTTGCAATTAAATCATAATATATTTCTGCATAGTCTCCATAACACCCTCTTGCCAACCCATGAATCCCAGCATGTTACTTTCATCAATATGTACATTAGAAAGGAGGAAAGTATGTCTTTTTTCTTGATGTTTTAGGATAGCTTTTTTGTTCTGAAAGAGTGTCAACATAGATCTTCAGCATTGCTCTTCACTCATCATTGATCATAAGGTAAACTGATAACTTTGATCACATTAAGGTTAATCACAAGGAATACGTCATCGACGTAGTGTGCATAAAGTTTTCTATCCAGTGTATCTATTTTAATTTTATTTGATATTTTTCTGTATTTAATTGTTATGCACCAACTTACCAAGGCAAATTACTTTGGTGCAGTATGAAAAGACCCCGACCGGCTGGCACAGCAGAGGGGCTGTTTTCATCAGTTGCCTTAAGACACACAAAATGTGACCTTATGTGTCCTTAACATCTGTTGTAAATCGTAATGCAGCAGTTGGAATAATGGTGGAAACACAGATTTACAAATGATTCATATTGATACAATTCTCACTTTAACTTATTGATAGTTGTTTGTTCTATTTCTTTATGTTATATTATAATCCATTATATTGTAATTCATATACAGCTTTCTTAATGAAATAAAATAACAAACCACACATCCACTTTGCACATTTCCACTTTAACTTATTGATAGTTGTTTGTTCTATTTCTTTATGTTATATTATAATCCATTATATTGTAATTCATATACAGCTTTTCTTAATGAAATAAAATAACAAACCACACATCCACTTTGCACATTTTAGATTTAATAAAAAACACAAAAACAGTTCCAAAAACAATTTGTATGCAACAGAAATGGGTGATTTTATTGTTTTGAGGAAAAAACAAGCTAAACTATAAGCTCTCAGATGAGATGTTATAATTAATTCTAACTTTTTCCAGCTACTTAACACAACATTACACAAACAAAGTCTGTAATCTGTTTAATAATTACTTGTACACATCCAAGTTTATTCCCACAGTTTATTCTCACAGCTTTTACTCTGTTGTTGTTATTGTTATTGAAATGTGTAACTGTTTAAGCAAGCTGTTATGCATAACAGGGACACACAGTTTTGCTATTATATATCTATATATATATATGATTTCACAGCAATATTTACTGTACATGTGAACATATAATCAGAATAAACTGTAGATGAGAAATACTGCTGCGTCCTCTCTCTGTTTGTAATTCTTGTGTTGGTACAGTAAGACTGATATCTCCTGAGTTCCCATGAATTTAGGAGTGGTTTTCATTGTTTGGTAATAGATATCTGATCTGTGTTTGCTACATGAGCAAATTATATCATTCAAGGATTCAAAGTTACTTTATTGTCATGTGCAAATACACATGTGTGGGGAAACAATTTCATTACCACCTTCAGTGGTTTTCTGGTCAGTCAGGTTTGAACAGTGAATAAAGATATGATTTATTTGTCATTGCAGTTACAATTTATAATTTCTTTTAACAGATCTGAAATTATTATTATTCACTTTTAATTGATTCCTATTATTACAGCTGCTTTAAGTGCCCTTTGTACATCTTGGATGTGACCAAGTAACTATTAAACAGATTACAGACTATGTTACAGTGTGTTATCTGGAAAGTTAGATCAGAATTAATAATCTGAGAGTTATACTTGTTAATTATCTTGTATCTACTTATCTTGTTTTTCTCTTCAAAATCAATAAAGTCAAACTCTTTTGTTGTATCTTAAAAGCATTTCTGAAACGTTTGTGTTTTTTTTATGAAATCCTAAAAGATGAGAATGTAAAAGTGGTGTATGTGGTTTGCTATTTCTTTATAAAACCAATTCCCAATCCTTCAAAACTCTAGCTGGATCAATAGATCATAATAGAAATAGAACAAACAATTATCAATAAGTGAGAAGTGAATGAATTTTAAATGTGTGTTTCCACCAATGATTCTGACCTCTGCATGACAGATTTCTAACAAACCTTAAAGGACACATTTTGTGTCTCTTGAGGCAACTGGTAGGGCATTTAACAGAATACTCTTCACTTCAGTTAATACATTGCATTTAAATCATAAAAGCAAATATCCAAAACACCCAATAAAAATCAAAAAGAACAGAGACATAGGAACACAGGGTGTGGTTGTAACACTTTTTGCTTCAGTTCCTGTAACTTACTGAATTCAGCTAGCTGCTCTCTGCTTATCGACTGTGTGCACACATTAAACCTCTGACCTTTGCTATCATTTGGTGCCAAACAAAATAAAAAATAAAATTTAATTGGGAATCCATTTTAATTGTAAATGAAGTGGTAGTTTAAATTGATATGAAACAACTAGAAACATTTGTTTAAAAATAATAATCCTGCATGCCAGATTATATTATATTTATGAAACAATGTCATTGGCCCCCGGCTGGCTGTTTGAGTCCCCTGATCTACAGGGTTAGTACCAAGTCTTTGAGGTACTTTATTTTTACTGGTCTTGTTAATCAAATAATCATAGAGTAATAACATTTTCTATAATCCCTTTCTGTCGTAACCTAGGTCTAGGGATTGTTGAGTTAAGTGTGGATCCTAGGGAGAGAGACAGGGAATGCGAGGGTGGTGGCTAGAGACAAAGACCGGAACCAAGGTAAACAGAACTGCAGGCAGAGGAGAGCAGGGTTAGAGGAATATAAAAATAACAAGTAAGCAATGTTTCACAAAAGAAACTGACTGATCAGGCACTGTGATCTTGTGAGGTGGATGAGGAAGAGTATTTAAAGGAGTCTTGATGCAGCCCCACATCCGGTATACCACAGAGCCCCAAGGATACTAAAAGACTGTACCCAGCCCAGCAACAGTCTGTTCATCCTGCTACCATCTGGGAAGAGGACTTAGCTTCGTCACTCAGGCTGTGAGACTGCTAAATTCATCCTCAACAATTTTATTTTATGACTTATTAATCACTTATCAATCTATTTGTTTTACAAGTAGCATAAAAAGAACTGTATCTGAATTTCATTATACAACCTGACGTTGAATAAAATAACCATTAAAGTGCATCGTACAACAAACACAGATCAGATACCTTGAATCTTTGACTGATATTGTTTGCTTGTAGCAAACACAGATCAGATCTATTACCAAACAATGACAACTCCTCCTAAATTCATGGGAACTCAGGGGACGTCAGTATTACTGAACCAACACAAGAATCACAAACACAGACAGGATGCAACAGTATTTCTCATCTACATGCCGGTTTATTCTGGTAATATGTTCACTTTTACAGTAAATATTGGTGTGAAAAAACACTTAATTTGGTGAACAGTTATAGTATGTATGAGATTAAGCAAAAAATGGTAGGCCTTGTCATCATTGTTGGATGGAGCTGGAGCAGTGTCTGGCCATACAGTAATGTGTGTACAAGTAGTAGAGCAGTGCTGTAAATACACAACCTTGCAGAGCAAGTTGAGGTCTTGGGAATTCTGGGGGGTTGGAGGTGTGACTGCATATTCTGACCACGTGGGTTCTGGTAGTTAGGAAATCCAGAATCCAAGTGCAAAAGAATATGTTTAGTCAAATCAGTTAGTTAGTCATCCAGTCTGGTGGGAATGATGAATTTATTATGATAAGCTGAACTGAAGTCTATAAGCATCAGTTTCATAAAGTCCCCCCTTGAGGTTTGTGCAGGACTGTTTTTTTCAATCTCACTCCTTGTTGATTACTGCTGTGTGTGTGTGTGTGTGTGTGTGTGTGTGTGTGTGTGTGTGTGTGTGTGTGTGTGTGTGTGTGTGTGTGTGTGTCCACTCCCTCCGCAAACATTCTGACTATTCACGCCCTCATGACTTGCCTTACATTTGTTTTGTTTTGAAAAAACCTACTTTAATTCACTTTTCAACTTCATTTGTTGACTATAAATCGAAACTATCCTGACTATATCGTGACTATAAAATTGTAATTGTAATTTTCTTTTCTTGGAGTTCCAGTGACTTAGATAACCTATACCAAAGAACAATGAAGCTGTTCTGGTGGCTTATGGTCTTCCAACATTTCATAAAGACGTGTTCTTTTATTTTGTTAAATTTAATCAATTTAAATAGTTAACTATGTTTTTTTTATGTTAATAAACTTCCTTCTCCCGTGTGTGCAATTCTTGATACTACTTCTGTTGCTGAAGGAACTAGAAGAGTGGGAAATTCTTCTTTGGAAATTGATACCTAATCCATTTCTGCTTCACTGGACTCAGCATACTCTGTCACTAAACAAATACAGAAATGACTAATACATTATGTTCATTCATGTTTACATTTTGTTTTCATTGTCTTTCTTTGTATCCTCAGTTCCTGGTTCTGGGAGGGCAGGATGGCATAAGCAACGGTATAAAAGAGGCATACTTTCTCCTGTTAGACAAGGAATATAGAAGGAAGAAGAGAAGATAATTCTGCAACAGGTTTGTGACTTATTAACGCTTATTATTTTCTGTCCTTTATTTAATGGCTCGACAGTCACTAACAGTCATCGTTTCTCCCAGTACAGGTCTGACTAATATATCTGTTTGTTTTTATTCAAAGTCATCATCCTTGACATCTGCAGCAATTTCACCATGAAGATGCTAGCTGTGTCTGTACTTGTTGTTGCCATGATGGCTTTGACGGGGGGTGCTTGTGAGTATTTAGTCAGTGTTTGTGTATTAGTGATGGGAATTCCGGCTCTTTTTAGAGAACCGGCTCCTTTGGCTCGGCTCACTAAAAGAGCCGGCTCTTTCGGCTCCCAAGTGGCTCCTCATATTTTTTTTTTGCTTAAATTAATTTATTACCAAATTATGTGTAAAATGAATATCTAATGTAAATACATGCATTATATCAAATGTTTAGTATTTATATGGATTTATTAATATACTCAACATGGAACAGAGTGCTACAAAAATAAATAATTAAACACAAAAACAAAGACCCATCTTAATTAGACAAAAAGCTGCTTGATATGAACTGTTTAACTTTGCACAGTGTACACTCTGCCTTTGAACTATCACATTAAAATGTGTTTAGTCTCTGTCTATGTAGCGCCAAGGTTTCTCGCTCTCACATCTCCCTCCCACCGGTTCACGTGCTCACTGTGCCGTGTGTGTCTGTAACCCCTCCCTCCCCCTCCTGCTCAGTGTAGATACACAGATGCCGCCACACATCTTGACCAATCACGCGGCTTTAACAGGAAAAAACGGGAAAATCTGGAAAAAAAATCCGGATCTGGCTCCCAATCAGGAGCCAGCTCCCGTCGTTCACTTCAAAGAGCCGGCTCTTAGACCCGGATCGATTGCGACCGACCCATCACTATTGTGTATGAGTACTGTGACTATTCTGTTTAAGAAAGAAAATCCATGTAAAGATTTTGCACACACACAAAGCAACAAATGTCATTTCTTGTTGTTTCAAACTGTCTAGCTCTTCCAGAATCAGAGGCCCCTCCTACGACAGAACCAATAACAGAACAAGGTAAGTGCATTTTTCTTTAGATTTGTATGATGATAAAATTGAACTGGTGTGTGAAACTGATCTTCAGAAGAAAGAGGAAAGCGTCTGTCTAGATTAGGACTAAATGGGTGCATTTTTCTTCAGATTTCTATAAACGTGCATCACATTTGTGATAAACATTGTACTTTGTTATGTGCTTTTACATGAACTGACTCACTGTTGTGTCAAATTGTCCAGCTTATTGGAAAGAAGAGGACGAACCTTGGAGCGGATCAGAGGGTGAGTGAAATAACACATTATTGTTATGAGAAAGAAAAACTTTCTGCTACGAACTAACACAGAGCACCAACAACCTGTGAACCAACATGTTTGTCTTGGTCTCAACGGTGTTTAACTTATTCAACCATAGTGACACTGCAGTCATTACAAACTCATGCAGCCTTCCAAGAATACTGTGATATACAGTTGCTCAAGCCCGCCATCTACCTCTCTTCAGGTTTTTACTAAAGAGCATTACCCTTTGTTATGTTGTGTACTTGTATGACACATGAATATCATCTACAGAAAGAGAAAAATCCTATTAATTTGTCTAGATACTAAATAATCTGACAGCCAACTTCATTGTCATTGCACAAAGTACAAGTACTAAGACAACGCAATGCAGTTAACATTAACATTACCCTCACTTTTTTATTTGCCTTCAGGAAACCATCATGGTCCCATGAATCCGCGTACATGTGAGGACTTCTGTATTCACAACTTTCATACATTCGAAACTTTGGAAGAGGTGGAGGTAATCCTGATGATTTGAGTGCAGAATGTTTCTTTAGTCACTATGTTTATTTAGCTTGTATTGACTTTCACATTTTGCATCCATAATTCGCATTGTCTGACTTGGGACTCTTATATTTCTCAGGTTATGTTTTTATTCTTGGTAACTTCACTCTGTCTGTCTGTCTATCCCCCCTGTAGATTTGCTGTAAGGCCTTGCAGCCATATCCAGCCTCTGTGCAGGGTATGTCCTTCGAAGAGATTAGGGCTGTGGTATACAATGCCGTCAATGAGATTAGAACAACTCATGGATACGAACAAAAGTAAGACAAAATGTGTTTGTTTGTTGTTTGTTCTTGCATGAGGCCCATTAATGTCTCATTACTGTGTCAGGCTTTGGTTTATGTCATCCTAAGTCCTCTATCTTTGGTTCTCACAGGTCAACACATCCTGCTGATTCCTGGACAAACACAGAGGCATGAAGAATCTGTCAAAAGCACCGACGGTGGACAATGTTTGTTTGTGTCTACTGTGTGTATATGCACTCATCTGTCTTTGTGTCATCTGTCTCATACATAAACTGAAGGCTCTATATCTCACATCAAATCTTAATTTCTTTGCTATCGCTGTAACGCTACTCAAGGAAAGAAGAGACAAGTTACATAAACAGGAGCTGCTTCTAAGGCCTTGTGCTGTTGAGAACATTGAATGGTTATGAAAAGAATGGCTTTTGCACAACTTTATTCTGCATCTGTCTTTCTTCGATTGTGTATAATGAATCATTAAAAGGCTCAAGCATTGAAACAATCTCGTTTTTGGGTTTGTGTACCACCTATATCCTTTATCTCAGCTCTAGCAACATTACTTTAAATAATAGTGAACACAATTCTTGGGATTGTCTTGTGGAGATTTTGACAGAAGTTAAAGATTTGCATGTTTTTTAACTCTGCACTCTGATTGTGATATTACACAGTTTTTAGGTCAATATGTTCAGTAATAGACTGGTAAAGAGAGAAGGACGGAGACAGACACAAAGATGGACAGCAACAATAATAGCAACAGCCATATTAATAGAAAAGGATGACGATGATGATGGCGACAATGAAAATAGCCACAAGGATGGGGAATGATGAATAATAATGATGAAGGATTATGTGTACAATAGCCTCTATAACAGTTGTGTATTAAAAATTGCCATTACAAATATCATTAATATTAGCAGTGGAGGTCAAGTTAGGACCATGGCAGCAGACACCACCAGGATCCATGAGAACCTGCGAGGAGAGAAAGCACAAAAACTCTTGGGAAGAAGTAAAGTTAGTAACGAAATGAGTGCAGAAAGAGACGGGGGGAAAGAGAGAAGCTTAGTGCATCACTGGAAATCCACCTGCAGTCTAGGCCTATAGCAGCGTAACTAAGGGATAAACTTGGTTCCTGAAGGCTCTGGGTCCTGTTCTACTTTTGGAGGCTACAGGAACCACAAGTAGCCCTGCATTCATAGAACGCAGTATTCTAGTGGGGTAATAGGGTACTATGAGCTCTTTAAGATATGAAGGTGCCTGACCATGAAGTGCATATAACTTTGTGGCTTTCTTGTCACTTAAATGTAGAAGAGAAGCAATGGCTTAAGAATGTTTTTGAATAGAAACAAAATCAGCATTTAGTTTTCTTAAATTTGGATTATTCATAACATGTATGCCTCAGATTTAACAGTAATTCATTAAACATCAGGCAGGCATTTTAGCATACAGTTGCCAGAAAACATAGATTAGATAACAATTACAAAATAAAGTCACGTGTCATATGGCATGTTAAAAATGAATAGGCGATCATAAACATAAACATAACAGCAGCCAGCAATATCACATCAGTCAGACTTGAGGCTACCAATCTTGAGTCAACCTGGAAGATGAATTTTACCATTTTATGGTTTGTTTTGCTTTTCTGTGGCTCGATTTCGGCCCAGGATGATGGCAATGCTACTGAAATACAGTCATACCATCCTGATATGTGTGACCTCAGGAGGGAGTTTGTTGCCATAAGAGAAAAACTTGGAGCTGTAGAAACCAGACTGAAGGACAGTGAAACCAGGCTGAAGGACAGTGAAAACCAGATTATGGAACTGAGGAACAAAGGTAAAATGTATTTTTTTCATCGAATAATTCATTAGGCATTTAATTTATTGTGATAGAATACTACGATTAAATTGAAGTGAAATATCAAACAGGCCTAGCATGATAGAGTAAGCCTTAAGCCTTAAAAAAGTATTTTGTCAGTATTACATCAAAACAACTGATGCTTTTTCAGGAGAGGTATTGGAAATACTTTACAAAGTGATGTGATCAGAATTTCTTGTTTTCCACAGAAAGAACCAAGGTGATATTCAGTGCAGCTACAGGAGGAGGAAGTAGAGACATTGGACCATTCAATACAGACATAACTTTAATCTACAGAACAGTGATTACAAACATTGGTAATGCCTACAACCAATTCACAGGTAAAACTCAGTCCACCTACATGTTTTACACAGTATTCAATTATTAGGCAGGTGAGTGAGAGGCAACAGGCAATCCAGGCAGACAGAAACAGTTCAATGATATATATTTTAAAAAAGTCACTGGTATGGATAGAAAATCCAAACAAGTGACTGGTGGGGTGGAGACAGACTGGCAGGCAGGTACAGATAAAGGTTAAGGTAGGTAAGTGAGTAAAGTTTATTTACTATAGCACATTTCACACAGCAAGGTCACAAAGTGCTTAACAAAAGTAAAAAGGTATGGTTTCAGGCTTCTGGCTACATGCAGGTTACAGAGGCCGGAAATCAAAGGCATAACTTGCACTCACAACAGGAAGGTATAAAGAAATAATCAAGTAAATATAGTGCAGGTCTGATAAGGGAAAGTGGAAACAGGTGACGTGAGAGTCAGGTGGCAGAGTCTGAGGATTAATGGGGAAAACAGGCTGTGGCAGTTGTCTTGACAACCATGATTAAATAAATTGTTGAGTTAATTGTAGCAAATAAAAATGTCTAAGTGGTGTCAATCACATCATTCACAGGGTCAAGAAATAATTGTTTTATTTGTATACATGTGAGATAAGATGTATGGCGGAATTGACGGGACTCTTGTGGCTTAATACTGAGCTGTTTTAACACCTGAGGAAACACATGAGACATAAATGTTCAACCCAGAAGAGTTAATATGATGTTAGGCAAGCCAAATAGTAAAAACAAACAAAAAACCTGAACTAAAGGTTGTAATTAAAAAAATTAATATAAACACACTGTTGTTTCCACAGGTATCTTCGTTGCACCTGTTGCAGGTGTTTACCACTTTTCCATCTTCTATCATGCTGGAGGACGACATATGGCAATGTTGAAACTCTACAAGAACAATCAACTCATAGCCATGACCCATCATCACCAGCAAGACTCACCTGGTAATGGAGGAAACTCAGTGTTCCTGCAGCTGCAGCAAGGAGACCAGGTGTACGTGCGCTTGGCTGCAAATGCATATGTTTGGGGAACTGACTACCATACAACTTTCAGTGGGCTTTTGGTCACTCAGATGTGAGAATTGATAGGCTGTATATCTACTGATCGCTGCTTGAAGATGAATTCAAAAATCCAAGATCACTGAAAACTGCTGTCTGTATCTCATAATCAGCACTTTGGAAACCTTGTGTTTGTTAAAATCGTGCTATATAAATAAAGTGGATTGGATTGGATTGGATAATCTATTGGGCAGGTTTTCCTGAAATGTGCCACAGACAATCATGATTTTTATGACCACACTGAATATTGAGGAGTAGAAAATGTACATTTTATTTGCAGGTTTACGTCAACAGAAAGGCCATAAGAGATTGTAGTGTGAAATGTCAAAGTTGAGCATAATGATCCTGAGGGAAAAAAATTATCAGGATACTTTCTGAATTGTTTTTATGTGGCAGTAAAAATGACTGAATATGATTTTTATGGCTGTGACCTATCACATTAGGTATTACCTAACAACAAGGATGAAAATAATTAAAATGTTATAATGAATATATTTAAGTTAAAAGCTTGAAATGATTTTTTACAGCTAACTGGGTGTGGCAATTAACGATTGACAAAAGTTCCCGTAACCAGATTAGCTTTGTTCTGATGGTAATGTAGATTACTTGTGTTGACAGTGCTTAGGACTTTGTTTTAAGCCGGTTTTACCATGTTTTAATTGTTTTATGTTTTTATGCTGCAAGAACTTTCCAATGGGGATGATGAAGTTGAGTTATGATGAAGACAATAAATGCTGTGCCTGAAGCTGAAGCGATAGTGGACTGATTTACCTTTTTTACACATCCAACACACCCGCAGTCTTCTACACAAGTTATTCCAGCAATACCAATAATAAATTGTCTAATAATATTCCATAACTGCTTACTGTGGCATGTTATGGGTTATATCTGTAGTCTGCTTCAATCAGACCTCATTTGTATAGGACTTTTCATATAAAAATACAATGTGTGGGTTTAAAGAGCAAGCAGATAAAAAGCATAAACAGAAATAAACAACTGAAAATCTATTAAAAGCCAGACTGAAAAATCAGTCTTGAGTTTGCTTTTAAAGATCAACATGCTCTGCTGCCCTGTTTGTGTATCGGTATTAGTTATTATGTTACTGATATTTAAAAGCAGTTCTGGGGTAATTTAGATTAACAGTCTCACAAACAAGCCATAAAATGATGCAAGTGTTTACTGATTTTTGAGTTTCCTGGAAGCCTAAAATGTTGGAGAATGATTAACTATACTATTATCCTGAACTATTACCGTCACACACTATAATTCATTGTATGTTTTCTTAACCACACACATTTGTTCAGCTTTGTAGGGAGTTTGTTTCTATCCTTAAATGTAGCATACATCCCACCCCTTTTAAGTTTTTTTATTTTAGGAAAACAGCCACTAACTATGTAAGGTTTACTGTGTGTCAGTATAGTTTGATATAGTCAGAATTTATTGATCCATTGTACTTTTGTTCTTTCCCTGCCAAGACCGTACAATACACAATATGTTTGTCAAAGTGATAAGAAATATATACAGGTATAATTAAGAATGGTGGAAATGTCTTCTGTTGAGATACAAATATAGTCGAGGGAGTTCCACTGTTGTGTAACACTAAATTTAAGATTTACTTTGTTAATCCCCATGAGGAAATTGTTTTTTCACTCAGTGTTTACACACCTAGGCCTGAAATACATACAAAACAATACAAATACATACAATACAAATGCTGGAGTGATAGGCTGTCACGAAGCGGCTATCCAGAAGCAGTTTGGGGTTAGGTGCCTGGCTGAAGGGCACCTCAGCAGTGCACAGAAGTTCGGAACTGATACCTCTCCAGCTACCAGTCCACACTATGATCCATGCTGGACTTGAACTGGCCACGTTTTTTGGTTCACAAGCCAGGTCCCTAAAAAATTGGGCTGCTACCGCCCCCAATCAGGAAGTTTTAATCCGGAATTCTTTAAAAAAGGCATATTCACTAATTTTTTGTGTCAAAATGGACGGTATAGTTAAATGTAACTGCCATGCTAACTTTTTTGGTGAGTTTTTATTTTTTGTTGTTGTGGGGTGTACTTACACCGATCAGCCATAACATTATTTTTCTGGTTATGGCATCATTGACAAGAGCCACATTATGATGGCTAGACGACTGGGTCAGAGCATCTCCAAAACTGCAGCTCTTGTGGGGTGTTCCCAGTCTGCAGTGGTCAGCACTTTGAGAAGGGCTGTTTCAGTGCTGTGCTGTGAACGGAAGCCGGATTAAAATGGTTCGAACAGTTTATTTGAGCAGAGGTGGGTTTTGAGTTGTTTGGCGACAGTGCCAGTATTTTAGACAGAAAGGGGAGATTGGAGATGGGCTGAAAGTTTGACATAATGTTGGGGTTAAGTCCAGGTTTTTAAGGATGGGGGTGAAAGCAGCCAGTTTGAGTGAATGAAGGATTGAGCCAGAACTGAGAGAGGAGCTGATGATTTCTGTGATGAGTGTGGAGATAGCTGGTAAACAGTCCTTGATGAGGTGGCATGGGATGGTGGTGGTGGTAGTAGAACAACTGGGTTAACTTGCTCCACCCTGCAGTACACACAATACTCTCCATGTCCTCTATGCATCATCAGCCTGTGAGGTTGCTGACTTTTTTAGCTTAGGAAATGTAGCTTTAGCAGTTTAGTAAAAGTTAGGTGGCTAGTTTTCTGTAACTCTTACTGAACATCAGCCACTAAGGCACTGGCCATAATGGTACATGCTAAAATAAAACCTCCCTACAATCTGAATGTTAAACAATTCCTTAAACTAACTTCATTTTACATTGGAACAGCTAATGAATGGACTGACCTAACTATTTGATTCCTTCAGTTAACAGACAGCTTGAAGGTGTTCTGGTCACTCGTATTTCGTCAAAATGGATGGATTCCTTGTTGTCTGAAAATGTCAACAGGCTTGTCTGTTTGAGTAACTGGCTGAAAGCAAAGAAGTAGTAGGCTTACCTTTTATTGGTAACCGTTACTGTTCATTCTTTCTGAAATAAGAGGCTGGGTTGAGCCTCTGGTGAATAAAGAGCAGTAGCCTGACTAAGTTCAAAGCAAACTTGAGAAAAGTATTAAGCCATGGTTTAACTGCACTATAGGCTGAGTCCTAGTTTACCTTACATGTGCACTTTGTAATTTTATTTTTTATCGCCCTGTTTTGATCCCTTAGAAAGGGCTGTTGAAGGGGCTGTTTGTGTGACAAAGTATTTTTTTCACCCTTTTATTGATGGACAGTGTTACATTGTGTGAGAGATTATTTGCTCCAAGTGAGAATGTTAGTGTGAAATTGAACACTACAGTATATGCCAATGTTGTTTTCAAAAAAAGCCGATCCACTTTTCCATGTTGATAAGAGCATTAAAATGAGGGAAAAAAATGGGACAAAAAGAAATCAAGGGACATTGAGTATAGATAAAAATGTGCGATTAATTGCTTGTTAATTATGACATTAATGCAATTAATCGCGATTAAATATTTATATCGTTTGACAGCACTACTTTTAAGCTCTATTTTGTCTCTTGTATCTCCTGGGAAAGGCATTTTGCTCTTTTCCTGCTAGATGTTTCCCAAGAAACAGCTTTTTGTTTTCATAAATATGCCATGAAACCAAAACAATGTGCTTAAAGAGATGCAAATCTCTGCAGAAGTGGGTAACAGTTCTCATCTAGCGTAATTGCACAAATGATTGTGCTATACATAACACAGATTTGTATTGGTTTTAGGTATTTATTTGAAACATACAAAGCAAAATCAAATCAGATGATTTTGAAGCTTCATCTATTTTGAAGCTATATAACGTTTTGCTCTGTAACAATATGCTCTATTCAGAATCTTGTATTGTATCATCTTAAATCGCACACATTTAGAAAATCTCCAAGCCGACCTCCTTTGCATTCCACTGAAAAGTAGTTATCATAATAGTTGTTTATCATATGTTTATTCATGTGCTACAATTCATATGAACTTCATTTCCCATGTTTTGCCTTTAAATGTATTATTATTTCCTCATTATTATTATGATTCCCCTTATCACTGAGCTTAAATGAAACAGTTCATTAAAGATACAGTAAGATAAGATGTTCCTTTATTGATCCACCATAAGGGAAATTCTAAAAATAACAGGTATATGATTGGATGTTAAAAATGAATTGGCCATCATTAAACAACATAACAGTGGCCAGCAGGGTCATCCAGGATGATAGCAATGTTACTGAAATACAGTCATGCTATCCTAATATGCGTGACCTCATTAGAAAGTTTGTTGCCATGAGAGAAAAGCTTGGAGCTGTAGAAATCAGACTGAAGGACAGTGAAAACCATGTCATGCATTTTGTGTATTGTGATGGAATATGCATGATTAATCAATGAAACAGTCACATAACATCAAGATCAGATAAGAGGCTCCTTTAAAAAACAAACAGATTATAGAGTCACGTACCAAATGGCATGTTAAAAATTAACTGGTCATCATCAAACAACACAAAAGCAGCCAGCAGGATCACATCAGTCAGAGTTTAGGTGACTGTGTGATCTTGAATCAACCTGGAAGATGAATTTCACCATTTTATGGTTTGTTTTGCTTTTCTGTGGCTCGATTTCGGCCCAGGATGATGGCAATGCTACTGAAACACAGTTATGCCATCCTGATATGTGTGACCTCATGAAGGAGTTTGCTGCCATGAAAGAAAAACTTGGAGCTGTAGAAACCAGGCTGAAGGACAGTGAAAACCAGATTCTGGACCTGAAGAATAAAGGTAAACCGATATTTAAAGACTTAATTAAGCATTTGTGTATTGTGATGGAATATGCATGATTAAGTAAATTGGGGGGGGACGACATCCTGCAACCTAAACTATTCACATACTTGCCAGAGGTCTTTAACAACTGATGCTTTTTCATTAGAGGACTCTGGATATACTTTACAACGTGATGTGATCAGAATGTTTTGTTTTCCACAGAAAGAACCAAGGTGATATTCAGTGCAGCTACTGAAGGAGATAGAGCCATTGGACCATTCAACACAGAAACAACTTTAATCTACAGAAGAGTGATTACAAACATTGGAAATGCCTACAATCAATTCACAGGTAAAACTCACCTTCATGTTTACTTTTGTATCAGTGTTAAGTTTTTTGGGTTAATGGATACAATGAGTAAATAATGTAAGATATAAATAAATATGATAAAAATCAATCATGGCGAGCATGTGTTTGTGTGTCTGTATGAATGTGTGCAATGTAGTTATTTTCAGAGACCAAAAAAAGAAGAAATCTATATATATATATATATGACAAGGAAAGAAAAAAAAACATAAAATGAAGACTGAGGATAATTTGTGGGTTGAGTTCTCAGTTGTAATTAAAAAGAAGAAGAAAGAAATGTAACCCCTGTCTTCTCCACAGGTCACTTCATCGCACCTGTTGCAGGTGTTTATCACTTTACCATATTTTATCATGCTGGAGGAGAACATCGGGTAAGGCTGTTTCTGTACAAGAACAATCACATAATGGCTGAGACTCATGATCACCCGTCAGTGTCTGACACAGCTGATAATGGAGGAAACGCAGTGTTCCTGGAGCTACAGCCAGGAGACAACGTCTATGTAAACATGCACGTAAATACACATGTGTGGGGTTCCTCCAGAGCTACAACTTTCAGTGGGTTTCTGGTCTCTCAACTGTGATAATGGATCCCTTCACAATAATTTACCACTTTGTTGGGATAAATAATCAATACTAGATGCATTTCTAGATTTGTCAAATTCATGATTCATTTATTACCAATATACTTTGAAACCAGCTTAGAAAGATGGCAGTTGTATTGTCTGTACATTCACAGAAATAAACCATCTCAAATGGAGTTCTCACTCTAAAAAAAGTGGATGATTTTGTGAATGAGGGTAAGCAAAACCTGATTTCTATTATGAACCTTGCTGTATTATTGTGTAATGATAATTGTATGTTGATTGATGTTTGATTGATGTTTGTTATGTTGTGTTGTTTATTTGTTTGTCAAGATTTGAACACATCTAATATTCAAATGTTAGTACTATGACTTTATGGCAGCATATAGATTGAAATGTATGTGTTCTAATGCCTACAAACACCTCTGTTTCAGGAACCAACCATTCAGTGGTTTTTCTGTTCACTTGAATGTGAGAATCAATGCACTGTATTTCTGTTATCCAATGAATGTAAACATTTGAGATTCAAAACATAAATGCATTATATTTTATAATCTGATGAAACAGAATGCTGATTCTCAATAAATAAATAATCTAAAAATGAGATCAGTCTTATCCATTGCTCATTTACTTCTGTATGCTGTAAAGCTGATTTGGTAAACAATTAATTAAAAGCATAGATTGTCCTCGCCATGTTTGTAGGATTTTAGAGAGGTATGACAGACAGATTAAACAGGAGGACATGTGTGACCAGGTGTATGCGCACTTAACTGCAAAAACGCATGAAGCTCAGCATAAGTTTTATCAGGAAGACCTTCTCATTAATTTTCATTAATTCACAATTGTCTCTCTCTAATCAGTTGTGGGCATTTACACTTTCAGTACTCCACAGATTTAGCCTCTTTCATCTTATTTTTTTTTTTTTTTTTTTTTTTTTTTTATTTTATTATTTTTTTTTTTTTTTTTTTTTTTTTATTATTAATATTTTTTTTTTTTATTTTTTTTTTAAAAAAATTTTTTTTTTTTTTTTTTTTTTTTTTTTTTTTTTTTTTTTTCTTTTTTTTTTGCCATCGGCATAGCTGTGCATAAAGTTTTCTATAGTGTGAGATTATGTAACTATTATGTATCTATTTTAATTTTATTTTAGATTAATTTTTAATATGTTTAATTATTATGCACCAACTCACCAAGGCAAATTACTTTGGTGCAGTATGAAAATTGAAGTAGATCTCCTGCACTGCACTGGCTTGGCACTGCAGAGGGTGCTGTTTTCCATCAGTTGCCTTAAGACACACAAAATGTGACCTTTATGTGTCCTTTAACATCTGTTGTAAATCTGTAATGCAGCAGTCGGAATAATTGGTGGAAACACAGATTTAGTATTTATTCAAATTGACTTAATTCTCACTTTAACTTATTGATAGTTGTTTGTTCCATTTCTTTATATTATATTATAATCCATTATATTATAATTCTTATCCAGCTAGAGTTTTGGGACTCCGTAAAAGATGCAAATGAAAAGATGGAGACATTTTCTTAATGACATAAAATAAATAACCACACATCCACTTTTGCGCATTTTAGAATTTATTATGCAACAAAAGAGGTTTGTTTTTCTCCTCAAAAACAATAAAATCAGTTAAACTATAAGCTCTCAGATGAGGTGTTATTATTAATTTATTAACTTTTTTTATTCAACTTTTTCCAGTTACTTATCACAGCATAACACAAAAAGAGTCTGTAATCTGTTTAATAATTACTTGTACACAATCAAGTTCTACTGAGAAATAATTTGGACCTGTCACCAGTCTTTAAAAATAACCTTATTATCAATAAACAAGAAAACTACATTACTACTATTACATAAAACTATATTATTGTCAGGGTGACACAATATTTTATTGACAAAAAACCCAGCAAGTAGGAGCAGAAATTTGGAAAAGCAGAATAAAAAGGAAATAACCCTCTGGTTTTACTCTGAGGAGTACATGTTATCTTTAATCCAAATTGTATGGAAATAACTTGGGTGAGTTACAGTATGATTAATATTTCCTTTTCTGTCACTGAAACAGACACTGAGAGTTTAAAAACATTGTGAATACCTTGTAATAAATTCTATCAAAATCCCCAAAAGGATGGTGCTATGGAGCGCTGTGAGATACAGGATATAGGTGGTACACAAACTCACAAACAAGCTTGTTTCAATGCTTGAGCCTTTTAATGATTAATTATTAATTATGCATAATAGAAGAAAGACTGCAGAATAAAGTTGTGCAAAAGCCATTCTTTTCATAACCATTCAATGTTCTCAACAGCACAAGGCCTAAGAAGCAGCTCCTGTTTATGTCACTTGTCTCTTCGTTCCTTAAGTAGCGTTACAGCGATAGCAAAGATATTCAGATTTGATTTGAGATATAGAGCCTTCAGGTTATGTATGAGGCTTATGACACAAAGACAGATGAGTGCACACAAATACAGTCGACACAAACAAACATCCTCCACCGTCTGTGCTTTCGACAGATACTTCATGCCTCTGTGTTTGTCCAGGAATCATTAGGGTGTCTTGGCACAGACATATCCATAACGGTCTGAGCACTCAACGTCATCCCAGCAATTTTTATCTATGAGAACCAAAGATTTAGGACTTAGCATGACACAAACACAAACCTGACACAGTAATGAGACATTAATGGGCCTCAAGCAAGAACAAACAACAAGCAAACTAATTTCACTTATTCTTTGTTCCTATCCATGATTTGGTCCTATTGTATTAGTACTGATTTCTGGGATTCATCAGTGTTGTCTTATTTTACGAGTGGTCAAGAGCCCTCCTACCAGGATAAGAACACCACATCTAGTTTTCACAGCCCACAACTTGTTTTTGCAACACAAAGAAACATAGGTTTTAAATCTGAGGAATATAAAAAAACAGCACATACATATCATAATAAATTAGATTATATGTTTATGAGTAATTCTAGTATCTATCTATCTATCTATCTATCTATCTATCTATCTATCTATCTATCTATCTATCTATCTATCTATCTATCTATCTATCTATGCCACCACCCGTCCTTATATACAGTTTAGGGGATGTTACTTAAGCTAATAAACAATCAGCCACAAATTTATGATCAAGTAAGATTCATCATTCAGCACACATGGATAAAAGCAGATTTGGATGGTTAAGAACATTTAGTGCATCTGGAGTTGATGTCTCTTATGTTTTCTCTTCATTAGAAAAATTAAGAGAAAATATAAGAAACATTTGATATACAGTAGACTGATCTTTTTTCCGTGGGGAATTACTATTTTTCTCCATAACAGTCTCAACACACACAATGTCGTCACAACAGTATGCTTATTATACATCAGTATACACAAATGTTTAGATAAATAACTTGTGAATATTAATAGTATTAAATAACTTTAATTCACTCTATGATATATGATATCTTTTTATGTAATGCTATTTTTTTTGTTTTAATCTCTATTTTATTTGTTTAGGCTTTGTTGGTTGAGTTCGATTTCTAAGGCCTAAGCCAAAATTGTTCAAAACGACTGGACCAAGAGATTTTGACTAATGGTTGTGCATTCAGAGGCTACAGCTTGATTAGCTTGTTTGCGGATTTATAATGATAAATACATTTCCCTTGATGCTTCGATTCCTTGTTAAATGATTTGACTGATATGAACTATATATTTGACACAGTAAAACTTTCTTTGTTGTTCATTCATCAATTATTATTTTAACAGCCAAAACTACCATTTTATCATTTCTAAACATTCATGGGTATATTTTTCAGTCTTTTTAAAATTTGTTTTAAATGATGTATAACTCATATTATGCATTAAGGGTAAACATTGTCTTGTCATTTACCTTGCCGATTAACTTGTAGACAGTGCTGCTTGCCTTCATAGTTATTTGATTCTCCTATACACCAGTTCGTATAGTCAAGATGTGTACCATCACTCCAGAACCAATAACCCTCCTAGAAGACAAAATAGTATGGAATATTTTAAGTACTACTTCAAAAGACTTTAATTAAATACCTGTCAGACCTGGTCTAATTTACCTGTTGTGCATCAGTGCCTCCGATCCACGCTTTTCCATTGTTTCCTACCGTATACCTAATCCAACTATCGTCACCGCTGCTGTGCACAGAGGCTAGGTTTGCACCCAGCATCAGACAGCATTTCTACAGTGGGGACAGACAGACAGACAGAAAACAGACAGAAAAATAAAACTTGAGTAACATGAGAGTTCCAAGTCAGGAGACAATGCAAATTATGGATGCAAAATCTGTAAGTCAATACAAGTGTGGTGTGGAATGCTCCCCTAGAGTAGGTGAATGCAGCCCCAGTGCTGACTCCTCCACAGCCAAGCCACTTGCTGGCTGATGCTCTCTCCTTTTGGCTCTGATCCTGTCTCTCCTGTGGTTGTTTGGTGCTCCAGGTATGGTAAAGATCAATTCAGTCAATTGAGTTAACTTTTATTTACTGCACACTTAGTTAACTGCTACTTATTTTTGTTTTGCTCTGCTGGTTCACACATGTCTGTCTTTCCTCAGTATTGACCCTGTTTGCCTTCATTAATTACCTAAATAACATTTAAGGTTACAGTATTTCCTAGGGTGCAATTCCCCAGGTGGTGTTGTTGATAATTTCTCATTTTCCCCTTAATACCCTTGCCATCGAAGCACAATAAACATAGTGACTGAAGTAGCATTCAGCACTGAAATCATCCTGATTACCTCTGCTTCAGACCAAGTCCTGGCTGTTGGAAAGAAGCGGAAACAGCGTCCTCCACATGCAGACCAACCACTGGGACAAGTGGCTCTCTTGACAACATGTTTTCCTGAAGGCAAATAAAAAATTGAGTGTAATGTTGAGTCTCACTTTAAGATGAAGCCAAATGTGATTACTGTAGTGATATTCTAAAAAAAAAAAAAAATCTACTGACCATTTATAGATGTATCTGTTCCATTTCTACTCTCTGCATCTGGAACGACACATATGAACACATACTAAAGACCAGTTGTAGTGTTTCCCACAGAACGACAATATATTACCTATTTCTAATATATTTCTAATGTCACAATTTTATAATTCAGAGTACTATACAAACACTGCCTAAACACTCACACTCACCAACACCATGAGTCAGAGCCATCATGGCAACAACAAGTACAGACACAGCTAGCATCTTCATGGTGAAGTTGATGCAGATGTCAAAGATGATGACCTTCAATAAAAAGAAGCACAAATGTTAATAAGACTTGTACTGGGAGAAACTATGACTGTTAGTAACCATTAAAGAAAGGACAGAAAATACTAAGCATTAGTCACAAACCTGTTGCAGAATTATCTTCTCTTCTTCCTTCTGAGTGTCAGTCTGAGGTACTGAACAGGAGAAAGTTGTCTCTTTTATGCAGTTGCTTGTGCCATCCTGCCATCCTGCCCTCCCAGAACCAGGAACTGAGGATACAAACAAAGACAATGAACTCACAAAATGTAAACATGAATGAACATAACATCATTTCTGTATTTGTCTAGTGACAGAGTTTGCTGAGTCTAGTGAAGCAAAAATGGATTAGGTATCAATTTCCGAAGAAGAATTTACCACCAAGTACTATCAAGAATTGCTCACACAGGAGAGGCCATTTATTGACATTGAAAACATAATTAATAATTTAAATGGATTATATTTAACAAAGAACACGTGTCTGTGTGAAATGTTGGAAGACCATGACATACTTCATTGTTCCCTGGTATGGGTTTTCTAAGTCATTGAAACCTGACTCAAAGGATATAAAACTATTCTTACAAAAGATTTATAGATAGTCAACACATGAAGTTGAAAAGTGTTAACAATGGAGAAATCTTGCTAAATGCTTGCTTTGCTTTCATTAAAAACTTGCTTTAATCCACAGTAAGATGGACATCCTTTTTTATTATGCAGGTGTAAATAGTCAGAATGTTTGTGGAGGGAGCGGACACACACAGCACATGCTGATTGTAAAACAAATAAAAATGAATTAATAAGTCATAAAGAAATACAAGGGTTGGGATGAAATTAGCAGTTTTAAAAATTAATGGAAAATGCAAAAAATGTGTTACAAAGTCACATGTTTCTAAAGAATTCTTTCTCACTAAGAGCTGCTACATTGTGCATCATTTATCACTCATTCAGCATTTTATAACTGAAAAGTACAAAAATAAGTGGATATAATTTTTAATTTCGTCACCTTTTTTTTAAAGGTACGTTTGGCACAAGAACAACACTGCACATTACCCAAAGAACACCATACCCACAGTGAAGCATGGTGGTGGCAGCATTTTCCTTTGGGGCTGTTTTTCTTCAGCTGGAACCAGGGTATTACTTAAGTTGGGGGGAATTATGAACAGTTCCAAATACCAGTCTCCAGGCTTCCGTTAGAACGCTGAAGATGAAGAGGAATTTCACCTTTCAGCACGACAATGACCCAAAGCATACATCCCAATCAATAAAAACAAGGCTTCACCAGAAGATGATTAATGTTTTGAAATGCCCCAGCAAGAGCCCAGACCTGAATCCAGTTGAACATCTGTGGGGTGATCTGAACAGGGCTCTGCGCAGGAGATGTCTTCGCAATCTGACAGATTTTAAACACTTTTGTAAAGAAGAGTGGGCAAATATTGCCAAGTCAAGATGTGCTATCCTAACAGACTCCTACCCAAAAAGAGTGCTCTAATACAATCAAAAGATGCTTTAACAAAGTATTAGTTTAAGGGTGTGCACACCCATGCAACCAGGTTATTGTACATTCATATTTTTGTTTTTCCCCCTGAAAGATTTCAGTTTGTTTTTAAATTGGATTGTTCATGTTATAGGTCACATTAAAGGTGGAAAAAGTTCTGACATGGTTTATCTTTGTCTCATTTGTTTACATCACAAAAACCTGGCTTTTTAACAGGGGTGTGTAGACTTTTTATATCCACTGTAGTTCCCACTATGCTACTTGTAAAACAAGTAAAAATGAATTAATAAGTCATAAAGAAATTGTGAAGTTTGTGATTCTTCTGTTGGTTCAGTAAGACTGATATCCATTGAGTTCCCATGAATTTAGGAGTGGTTTTAATTGTTTAGTAATAGATATCTGATCCATGATCTATGTTTGCTACATGAGCAAATAATATCATTCAAATATTCAAGGTAACTACACTCTAAGGTTCCCAGTATGCTACTTGTAAAACAAGTAAAAATGAATTAATAAGTCATAAAGAAATACAAGGGCTGGGATAAAATTAGCAGTTTTAAAAACTAATGGAAAATGCATGCTGTACGACAAAAGCTTCTTCTCTATTAGAGCAAGGCTTGCTGACCCCTTTAGCTCTTTAAAATATGGGCCATTATAAAACTGAAACTGGACAGTTAAACTTATTTTTGGTGTAGTTAACCAAATGATGTTGGTACATTTTAGTTTCTAGTGAAAAGTTTCCTATATGATTGGCTAAGGGCCTTAGTTGTTGCAGAAAGTCCCCAAGAAACTTGACACTAACCAGATATTTCCCCCAAAAGATTTCCAGTTTATTTAAATTTAAAAAATGTGTTATAATGTGATCTGATGCAAAGCAACATGTTACAAATTAATGCATTATAAAGAAATGTGTTACAAAGTCACGTGTTTCTAAAGAATTCTTTCTCACTAAGAGCTGCAACATTGTGCATCATGTATCACTCATTCAGCATTTATAACTGAAGTACTGAGTACAAAAATGAAGGGATATACTTTCTAATGTCACCACTTATGCAGGCACGATCCACAATCCAAGTGTAAACTAAAAGGCAGGAGATATTTGACTGACCATAGGATCTACTCTCCCCACTCTGCAGGTGTTATACACCAGAAGTGCAGAACAAGAGCTGCTACGATTACAACGGGTCCCGCCACCAAAGGACTACTCCAGTTCAGAGGAAATCTCTTGGTTTGGCGAGTCACTGTGGGGAGTTATGATTGGTCTGTTTCTTTTCTTAATCTCTTCCACAAGTCTAAAAAGTCTAATGCCTGTCATACATACTGTAACTGTCACAAATGTCTGTTCACCAAATTAATTTTTTTGAACAAGCTGTTATGCATAACAGTGGAATACATTATTGCTCTGAACCTAAGCTGGACTATTTTTTATGATTTCACAAAAATATTTACTGTACTTGTGAACATGTCGTCAAGCAATGTAGATGCAAAATACTGCTGGGTCCTGTCTGTGTTTGTGATTCTTCTGTTGGTTCAGTAAGACTGATATCCATTGAGTTCCCATGAATTTAGGAGTGGTTTTAATTGTTTGGTAATAGATATCTGATCTATGATCTATGTTTGCTACATGAGCAAATAATATCATTCAAGTATTCAAGGTAACTACACTCTAAGGTTCCCAGTATGCTACTTGTAAAACAAGTAAAAATGAATTAATAAGTCATAAAGAAATACAAGGGCTGGGATGAAATTAGCAGTTTTAAAAACTAATGGAAAATGCTGGCTGTACGACAGAAGCTTCTTCTCTATTAGAGCAAGGCTTGCAAATTACGTTGGTACGTTTTCGTTTCCAGTGAATATATAGTTTCCTATATGATTGGTTAAAGCCCTTAGTTGTTGCAGAAAGTCCCCAAGAAACTTGACACTAACCAGATATTTCCCCACGATTTTCAATTTACACAAGCATTGTTGTCTAGTAACTACAGTGTACATTTCAAAACCCTAAAACCCTTATATAACTTGTCACTGAAAAAGTAATCACATCACTGTAATGCAAATAATGCAAATTACAAAGTAACACATTAAAAAACTGTGTGATAATGTGATCTGATGCAAAGCAACATGTTACAAATTAATGCATTTTAGAGAAATGTGTTACAAAGTCATGTGTTTCTAAAGAATTCTTTCTCACTAAGAGCTGCTACATTGTGCATCATTTATCACCCATTCAGCATTTTATAACTGAAAAGTACAAAAATAAGGATATATTTATTTAATGTCACCACCAATGCAGGCATGATCTGTATAAACTAAAGGGTAGATTTAGTGGACAATAAAGACTAGTACACATCACTAATCTTTTCAAATAAGAAGGGTGTTTTATTTGCATCAACCTGTAACTCAACCACCCAGAACAAATAATTGGTTAGATACTGTTTTATTTAATCTGTATTCATCTTGTGATGTTGGCTGAGTATACACACCCTTTTAAAGTGGCACCCTGATTGAATTTCACCTGTTTGACTGATACACCCGAGCACTGTTTCCAGAGAGAGAAGTTTAAAAAAAGAACAGCACATTAAACCAATGTTATAGAAAAGTGAGAAAGAACACCACACCACTGTAACACTGGACACGCTTCATTTAAGGGATGGGGTTATTATTACTCTACTTAACTTATATTTATCTACTTGATTGTTAGAAATTGAAAAAAATAGATGTTTAACACAGTTAATGTATGTAAACATTATGTATTATATATTATATTATGTTAAGTATTTTAACACTGTTTTAAACTTTTTTATTAATTGATGGTTTTTATAATATCTGAGGATGACAGCTTTTTTCCTCAGACTGCTGAACTCATCCTCAGCCCTTTTTTATGACTTATTAATTAATTTTTATTTGTTTTACAAGTACAAAACCACTTCTAAATTCATGGAAACTCAAGGGATATCACTGAACCAACACAAGAATCACAAACACAGAGAGGACGCAACAGTATTTCGCATCTACATATCCTGACGACATGTTCACATGTACAGTCAATATTCCTGTGAAATCCTTAAAGAAACAGACCAATGATAAATCCACACAGTGACTCACCAGAACAAGGGATTTCCCTTGAGTTGGAATAATCTATTGCTGGGGTGATGGGGGACCTGTTGTAATCGTAGCAGTTCTGCACTTCTGCTGTATAACACCTGCAGATGGGGGAGTGTAGCTCCTATGGTCAGTCGAGCATCTCCACAAGTGTCCTGTTTTGGTGATGTTAGGTAAGAGGTTTTTAGGCTTGCACCATAGTTTCATGTACCTTTTCCAGGCAGGCCTTGTCATCATTGTTGGATGGAGCTGGAGCAGTGTCTGGCCACACAGTAATGTGTGTACAAGTAGTAGAGCAATCCTGCAGGTACGCAACCTTGCAGGACAAGTTGAGGTCCTGAGAATTAGGTGGTTGGATGTGTGACAGCATACATGCATGCATGCTTTAATCTACTTTTCAACTTCATGTGTTGGATCTATAAATCTTTTGCAAGAATTGTTTTCTATCCTTTGAGTCAGGTTTCAGTGACTTAGAAAACCCTTACCAGGGAAAAATTAAGCTGTTCTGGTGTCTCATGGTCTTCCAACTTTTCATAAAGACACGTGTTCTTTTATTTTGTTAAATATAATCCATTAAAATTATTAATTATGTTTTCAATGTCAATAAAGTTGTACGGCCTCTCCTGTGTGAGCAATTCTTGATAGTACTTGGTGGTAAATTCTTCTTCGGAAATTGATACCTGATCCATTTTTGCTTCACTAGACTCAGCAAACTCTGTCACTAGACAAATACAGAAATGATGTTATGTTCATTCATGTTTACATTTTGTGAGTTCATTGTCTTTGTTTGTATCCTCAGTTCCTGGTTCTGGGAGGGCAGGATGGCAGGATGGCACAAGCAACTGCATAAAAGAAACGACTTTCTCCTGTTCAGTACCTCAGACTGACACTCAGAAGGAAGAAGAGAAGATAATTCTGCAACAGGTTTGTGACTAATGCTTAGTATTTTCTGTCCTTTCTTTAATGGTTACTAACAGTCATAGTTTCTCCCAGTACAAGTCTTATTAACATTTGTGCTTCTTTTTATTGAAGGTCATCATCTTTGACATCTGCATCAACTTCACCATGAAGATGCTAGCTGTGTCTGTACTTGTTGTTGCCATGATGGCTCTGACTCATGGTGTTGGTGAGTGTGAGTGTTTAGGCAGTGTTTGTATAGTACTCTGAATTATAAAATTGTGACATTAGAAATATATTAGAAATAGGTAATATATTGTCGTTCTGTGGGAAACACTACAACTGGTCTTTAGTATGTGTTCATATGTGTCGTTCCAGATGCAGAGAGTGGAAATGGGACAGATGCATCTAAAAATGGTCAGTAGATATTTTCTTAGAATATCACTACAGTAATCACATTTGGCTTCATTTTAAAGTGAGACTCAACATTACACTCAATTTTTTATTTGCCTTCAGGAAAACATGTTGTCAAGAGAGCCACTTGTGCCAGTGGTTGGTCTGTATGTGGAGGACGCTGTTTCCGCTTCTTTCCAACGGCCACGACTTGGTCTGAAGCAGAGGTAATCAGGGTGATTTCAGTGCTGAATGCTTCTTCAGTCACTATGTTTATTTAGCTTGTACTGACTTGCACACTTTGCACACATAATATGCAATGTCTTCTGACCTGGCAGGTTATGTTTTTGTTCTTGGCAACACCACTCGGTCTGTTTTTCTCCACTACAGAGAGCCTGTCTGGCCCTAGGTGCAAACCTAGCCTCTGTGCACAGCAGGGCTGACAATGAATGGGTTTGGGGTTTGATAAATAACAAACCAGCATGGATCGGAGGCTCTGATGCACAACAGGTGAATAAGACAAAGTCTGAGACATATTTAATCAAATGTTTTTTTTAACCTTTTACCTGTTACTTACATTATTCTCAACCCTTTTGTCTTATAGAATAATATTTGGCTCTGGAGTGATGGTACACGTGTTGGCTATACGAACTGGTGTACAGGAGAGCCAAATAACAATCAGGGCAGGCAGCACTGTCTACACATTAATTGGGATGGTAAAAAATAAGACAATGTTTACATGAAAAGCAGAATGTATTAGTGTCACAAGACTGAAAAATATATCCATGATTTTCTGGAAATTACAAAATTGTAGTTTTTCCTGTTAAAATTATAAATAATAAATGACAGACTGATAAACAACAAGGAACGTTTTCATATGTCAAATATATTGTTTTGTCTAATCATTAAACAAGGAATATAAGCATGAAGGAAATTGATTTATCATTATTACAACACGGTTACAAGGTTGTGTCACAAAATTAAACTTTGCCGCTCCTTTGTGCTACACACAGATACAAATAATAATTTAAAAAAAATTCTCATTACTGTGTCTTTTGGTTTGTGTTTTTGTCATGTTAAGTCCTGTGTCTTTGATTCTCACAGGTAAAAAATGCTGGGATGATGTTGAGTGCTTCATTCGTCGGGGATATATCTGTGCCAAGACACCCTAATGATTCCTGGTGAAACACAGAGGCATGAAGTATCTGTCAAAAGTTGTGTCATCGGTCTCATATATAACCTGAAGTCTTCATAACTCAAATCAAACTGAATATCTTTGCTATCGCTGTATCGCTATTTAAGGAAAGAAGAGACAAGTGACATGAACAGGAGCTGCTTCTTAGGCCTTCTTTTGCACAACTTTATTCTGCAGTCTTTCTTCTATCATGCATAATTAATAATTAATCATTAAAAGGCTCAAGCATTTAAAACAATCTTGTTTGTGAGTTTGTGTACCACCTATATCCTGTATCTCACAGCGCTCCATAGCACCATCCTCGTGGGGATTTTGATAGAATTTAATTACAAGGTATTCACAATGTTTTTAAACTCTCAGTGTCAGTTTCAGTGACAGAAAAATAAATATTAATCATACTGTAGCTCACCCTACTCCCCCATGAACTGTCTTGTTACTAAACTACATTACCATTTGGTTTTGTTTGAAAGTACCAAAAAATTAACAAATATGCATTTAAAAACAAATATGAGTTTGTGTACCACCTATGTCCTGTATCTCAAAGAGCTCCATAGCACCATTCATGTAAATAATAGTTAACGCCACAATTCTTGGGAGGACCTTGTGGTGATTTTAATAGAATTTCAGTACAAGATTTGCAGTATGTTTTCAAACTCTGCACTGATTGTGATGTTACACAGTTTTCTGGTCAATAAGTTCAGTAATATTCTGACAGAAAATGAAATATTAATGGTACTGTAGATTCCTCACCATTTAGTGGTTTGCTTAAAACTGCCAGAAAAAAAGTGCATTTAAGGACAAATATGCTATTTCAGTTGTGATTGATGGTCTTTCACAAAAATTACGTGCTGTTAGCTGCAGTCTGTGCACTTACATGCAAATGCATGTAGTATTGGGAAACAACTATCATACAACTTTCCGTGTTTTACTGAAGATATGTAAAAAAAAACTTGGATTAATAACATGGACTCGTCAGATTTAAGAGTAGGGTGTTGCTCACAACACTGTAAATATCAGCAAATATAAATTATCTTCTTCCATTCCTGTTTTATTTACTTGAGTTTTCTAATATTAAGTTAGATGACATGCACGTTGATGTTTTATTTCAGCTGTATACTATATATAATAAAAAAAAAACGTATTGCCAAGCTTTATAAAGCATAAATTTAACATCAGATCAAAGCATTGAGAACACATCAAATGTCCTGAAAAAGGCTGCAAAAAGAAGTATATACATTTTTTATATGTTATAAGAAAAAAATCATTACTGTAAATGTTTTAATTTGTATTAAACATTTACAGTAATGATTTTTAAAAAAAATTTATTAGCCATAAATCTTCTTCTCTGTCAGGTTTATGCTAAAGCAGATGAGCAGGACCAGCAAAAAGAGAGTTAGAACCAGAGAGTTCTTTTCTTTTTTTCTGCTTTTCTTTTACCGACATCTCCTACTTGCTGGGTTTTTTCCTGATGAAATACTGTGTCACCCTGTTCTAAAATACTTCAGGGAATGATATAGATTTATTAATAGAATAGACCAAAAAGGACACATCAATGCATGATATTGCCTGATTACCTTCAGTGGTTTTCAGTCAACAATAAATAAAGATATGATTTATTTGTCATTACAGTCATAATGTGATTTATTTTAACAGATCTGAAATTATTAGTATTCAAATGCTAAATTTTCCCCTTTAATTGATTCCAATTATTACAACTGTTTTAGGTATGTAGCTATGTATGTAGCTGATCAGAATTATAAATATTATGTCATTTAAGAGCTTATACTTCTCCTCAAAAACAATACAATCAACCTCTTTTGTCAAATCATAAAATAATTTATTAATAATATATATTTTTTTACTTTTTTTGTGTTTTTTCTATTAAAACCTAAAATGTGAGAATGAAAAAGTGGTGTACAAGATGTGTGGTTTGCCTTTTTTTGATAAAACCAATTGAATTTCTCAAGCCTTTTATTTGCATCTTTTACAGTATAGAGAGTTCCAAAACTCTAGCTGGAAAAATAGATTATAATAGCATCGAAATGGAACAAACAATTATCAGTAGGTGAAAGTGAGATTTGTATCAATGTTAATAAATTGTAAATAAGTTTCCACCAATGATTCTGATCAGTACATTACAGATTTCCAACGAACCTTGAAGGACACATAAAAGGTGTGACATTTATGTGTATGCTTATGCTGTAGCAAATATTGATCAGATATATATTGCCAAACAGTAAAAGAAATACATTCACGGGAACTCAAGGACATCAGGATTACTGAACCAACACAATAATTACAAACACAAAGAAGATGCAGCAGTATTTCTCATCTACATGCCAGTTTATACTGACGATATGTTCACATTTACAGGACATATTGCTGTGAAATCAAATGAGATAGTCAAACAATAAACTGTGTGTCCCTGTTATGCATAACAGCTTGCTCAAAATATTGAACTTTTGTCACAGTTACAGTATGTATGACATGTTCATCCTGTGTCTTATTTTTTAGGCTGTCTTTACCCACCAAAACAAGGGATTTCCCTGAGCTGGAATAGTCTGTTGCTGTGGTGGTGGAGACCCATTGTAATTGTAGCATCTCTGCAATCTCATTTTATTTACAGAGCGAGCGGGTGCTCTTTTACGGAGACCGCCATATGAACCACCACGTTTCAACAGTAACTCAACGGACAAACCAATTTTTATGGCCACCATAGTTTCTCCTACAGGCTCTGAAGACTGAGCTGTAATCAGTTGGTTGCAATCTGCAACTTCAGGGGTAGATGCCAGTAAATCCTACATACTTTTATTTTAAAATGAACAATTTAGGAAAACACCTAGATGAAAATCCCACTGGTGTAAACAATGTCCTATTTTATTTTTAGTTTTTTTAAATAACGAGCAAATGTCTGAACTTGGACTTTCCTGTGGTATTTAAAGCTGCACTAATCAATATTATTATTTTAACAATGCATCATGTTACTATGTGTATGAGTGATCATTTCTAGCATGGCCACTGTTCTCAGCAAAAGCCAAACAGTAGACTAAGTCATGACATACATTGTTTGTCATTTGGTGTTTGGTAGTATTCAGGTTTATCAGACCTGCTGGACCATCAGCAAATATGCTGGAAAATCAAACAATGATATAAAAGTTTGGTGATCAGTGTCCGCATTTAAAATTTACATTTGTCATCTTATTTATAGTTAATTTTAAAGTTAATTAATGCAGGTTTAAGTTCTTTATTTGACAGTATACAAAGCAAAACAAGTAGCATTACAATACAGCTGAATGCTAAAAAAAAATACATTTAAGGTTAGCATACATTTATTGTCGAGGTTGTAAAACTTTTGCTTAAAATGCCTCAGTCATAGTAAAAAAAAATATTTAATGAGAGAAATGAATTTGAGTAAATTAATTGTAATTAGCTGTCTCCGTTTTACATTAGTTTATTTTTGCTCATAATGCTCATCTTACAAAATGTTGTGGTAGCAGGCCTCAAAGATACACAAGTAGAATGTGTCGCTTAAGAAAAAAAAATTGTAAGCAAAAATTATTAATTTCCTGATAATTTAGATGTCAGGGAATAATAAGCCTGACAGCTGGAATCAAGGGCATTCTTACTCTAAGGCATTCGTGCAGGGTATGTTTGTTTCTTGGAATGCTGTTCCCTCATAATGGACTGGACGGCAGACATTTTTATATTCAATTTTATTACATGCTACGATCACCTTCTTTTGGCAATGTTTAACATCTTTGACTTCACAACCCAAGTTGTTTGTGTAAACTTCATATATAGTCATTGTTGACCCGCTGATGCACAAGTTACCTTGCACATGCCGGCCATCAGGACTACAGATCCGCTGGACATCTCGTTCATTAGCCTCAATGAAGGACTGCACTCGAGTTCTGCCACAGAGACCGTTGGCTTTCAAGTATCTGTAAGGAGATCAATGTTTCACTGCATAGTATTGACATTGTCAAGTCCAACTAGCTGTCACAATGTTACATGGCTTCAATTCTGATGTTGTGCTATTTTTGTCCATAAAGCCGTTATTGAATTATACCACAGAGTTAAACCAGTGTAGTTAAACTTATAATTCACCTCTGCCATTCCTCCAGAGAGTTTCTGTCAAAGGACCCTTTCAGGATGTGTCTCTTGACAAATGTGTCATATCTACCTATGTCGCTCTTTTCCTCACAGGGCTGAAGGCCAGAGGCTGCCAAGTGGCTGGTCCTGTGGTTGCCTTTAGAAAAGACTCCTTGCACCCCATAAACAGGAGCTACAGTGAAGATGATGGATGTCAGGAGAATGATCTTCATTTTGTCTAGTGTGAGAGAAGAGTTTTTGAGTAGATTAATGCATTGTACAAAACATAAGAAAATAATTAGTTGGTACTTTTACAGGACTTAATAGTTGCTATTCATGCACATTCACACACAGATGACACAGCATTGGGCTTCAGTTCATCTTGAAAAAGAATAGTTCAACATGCCAGGGATCGAACCAACAAACTTCCGATTAGTGGACCACCCATTCCACCCATATTATTCAGCATGTCTAATTAAATTTTATTTGTGTTTGTATTTTATTCATTACTTTCATATTGTTTCATTATTTGATGGGTTGCTTTTGTCTTATTGTGAAACACTTTGTAATTGAAACATAGAGAAATGTGCTCTATAAAAAAACTTAAATTTGGAAGACAGATGTCCCAATGTCGGTTGATTAGTTACAGTAAGTCATAATCATACATTAAAACAATAATTTATTTTCTCACCTGCTCGGACCAGCTCGCCTCTGTACTGCTGTGTCAGTCTGGGGGGGATCAGTACCAACTGAAGTCTCAGCCTAAAGTCAAAAATATTTCTCCCTTTTGACACTTCCTTGTCTTGTAAACACTGATGACTGCAACCAATCATTTTAATCCAAGCCAAAGAGATTAACAGCCTATCAAAGAACTGCAAGCTATACCCTTACTATATATGTCTATGACAATAAGTGCATGCACACCAACAGATTCCTGTCACTGAGGAAGTGGTGTTTTGTGGTGAGCTAGTGTATGTGTGAAGCTGTTGGACGAGTTACTGTTGATAACACCTAATGCAAGAAAATGCTAAGAAAGAAGCATAAGCAAGGGCTTCTTGTAAGTAAATGCAAAAATACTGCACATGATCTGTAACCCACCCAGTGAATAGATACAGAAAAGACGTGAAGATGTGAAAACCGCTCTGTGTGTGTGTGTGTGTGTGTGTGTGTGTGTGTGTGTGTGATGTGTACTGTGACATGCAGCTGAGTGGAAGCACAATGACGTCTTCAAATGTTAAAAAGGCCAAAAGCTTCCATAATGCTACAAAAAGTGGTATTATATTGGAAGTATGACATTTTTAAGGAGGCATGTAGTCTGCAGATACAGGAGGTTGGGGTGGTTGGATGGGTCAGCAAAACATCAGATTTTGACGACTTTTTTTCTTTCTCTATTCTACAGTCAATGTTGGTTTCTTTTAAGGGTGATTATTTGTTTGTTAACTAGAGTATGTTTATTGTTTTAACCATGATGATGAATGAGGCCTCCAGACACCACCAGGATCCATGAGAACCTGCGAGGCAAGAAAGAACAAAAATTCTTGGGAAGAAGTGAAGTTGGTAACATGCATTAATGGGACATGAATAAATACAGAAAGAGAGAGAGAGGAAGAGAGGAGCTCATAGCAGCATAACTAAGGGATGGTTCAGGACCCACCTGAGTCAGCCCTAACTATAACCTTTATCAATGTGGAGTGTCTTAAGCTTTCTCTTAAATGTGGAGAGGGTGTCTGCCTCCCGAACCACAACTGGAAGCTGGTTCCACAGGAGAGGAGCTTGGTAACTGAAGGCTCTGGCTCCTGTTCTAGTTTTAGATACTGTAGGAACCCCAAGTAGCCCAGCATTCATATGCCTGACCATGAAGTGCATATAGCTTTGTGGTTTTCTTGTCACTTAAATGTAGAAGAGAAGCAATGGCTTAAGAATGTTTTTGAATAGAAGCAAAATCAGTATTTAGTTTTCTTAAATTTGGATTAATCATAACATGTACTGTAATACAAAACATTGGAAATGCCTACAACCAATTCACAGGTAAAACTCAGTCCACCTGTTTTACTCAGTATTCAATTATTAGGCAGGTGAGTGCGAGGCAACAGGCAATCCAGGCAGACAGAAACATTTCAATGATATATATTAACAAAGTTAGCTCACTGGTATGGGTAGAAAATTCAAACAAGTGACTGGTGGGGTGGAGACAGACTGGCAGGCAGGTACAGATAAAGGTTAAAGTAGGTAAGTGAGTAAAGTTTATTTAGTATGGCACATTTCACACAGCAAGGTCACAAAGTGCTTAACAAAAGTAAAAAGGTATGGTTTCAGGGTTCTGGCTACAGGCAGGTTACAGAGGCCGGAAATCAAAGGCATAACTGAGAAGTAAGAACTTATTATTTCTTTCTGAGTGCAGGTCTGAAGAGGGAAAGTGGAAACAGGTGACGTGAGAGTCAGGTGGCAGAGTCTGAGGACTCATTTTTATAAATGTGGGATCAGATGTATGGCGGAATTGACTTTGTGGCTTAATACTGAGCTGCTTTAGCACCTGAGGAAACACATGAGACATAAATGTTCAACCCAGAAGAGTTAATATGATGTTAGGCAAGCCAAACTGATTGTGCTATACACAACACATATTTTTATTGGTTAAATGTATTTATTTGAAATATGCAAAGCAAAATAGACAGGATTTTACAACAGGATATACATGAGGGGAAGATTAGTTTGACTATAACAGGATTACAGGGAAAACAGTATGAATTGGACTCATCATGGAAAATGGCAGTTTAATATAGACAATCTACCAACCTTGACAGGTTGAAGGTGACAATTAAAGAAACAGTTGTAAGAGGTTGTAAAGTAGCTTTATCTGAAACATTTTAATGTTGGAAAAACACTGGAAAGTATGTTTATTATATTTTAAGAGCTGAACCTGGGTAAATATTGACATCCATCCTACCACACTGTTATAAATACAAATAAAATTTTTCCTTTCATGCATGGCACATTATTTTAATCATGGCAGGTAGCAGTTGGCAGATCTGTCTACTGTAGGTAATAAGTGCCTCATACGACCCCCACTTCAAAAAATCTTTCCCTTTTTAAGCACAAACGGTTTTGTTTAGCTAAGCTTGACAGAGAGGTTTTAGATGTCAGGCAGAAATGAGCCTGGAAACGGGAACGTCTGTGTATCCTTCAAAACTTGGTATAGTCTAAACTTGAGGTTGGCAGGGTTGAGCATTTTGGTCTGGACTTTGGTTAGTGTACCTCTCGAAATGAACCGGGAGGCAGCGGTTAGCAACGTTATCACAAGCCACAATCACTTTTTTTTGCTTTTTGGACAGTTCTTCAACATTGCAATCCCCATTCTGGCTGACTTTGACATCATATACCAGCATGGTTGAGTCACTCATGCATAGGTTACTTTGTCCCAGTTGTTTGCCGTTGCCATTACAGATATTCTCGACCATTGTCTGATCCTCCATGAAAGACTGGATCGGGAATGGTCTGTCACACAGTCCTTTCTTCCGTAAGTACCTGTAATGAGATGAATGTTTCATTGCATAATTATTGGCACTGATAACGTACAATAGAGACATTACGATCTTTGAACCGTATAACCATATAAATAAATAATTAACGTGGTATTAAAACAATGCTTGTGCGTCAATGAGAACTGTATTTAGTTTTCCATTCCAATGTCATGAATCCATATAAAATTAATGCAGCAGTGGAAACAGAATTTCAAAAATGCTGTAAAAGTATGCATCTGTGTAATGTCAGGCCCCGCGCCAAGAGGGGTCTTGGGGGGGGGGGTTAGTTAAAGCTTTATGTATCTATAGAAAACATCAAGAAGAACAAAATAACTGAGAATTTTGCTGGTTTATTTTTTAAGATGTCTGCTGGTTTGGTGTGTTGGAGAATTACTTTTGCAGAATTATGTTTATGATTATTTGCACTGTCCATAGTACCGAAAAGCAACCAGCAAGCCAGGCTTACTGCCTTCACTCCGTCCTTCCTTCTCTTAATTGGAAAGAATAGCCATATGTTGTTGTTGTTTATCCTTTCTGACGCTGCTGCATGATTTAAATCAATGAGTTGTATTTGATGAGAAAGATTGGCTTTTTCTCAGACTTTTTAACAGCCTCATAAGTCACTTCATCCTGGAGCTGGGCCTGTATTATTTCTATTTCACAATGAACTCCTTGACTAAACACTTTTACTTACGTTCTCCATGCAGACTCTGACCGTCTGTCAAAGTTCTCCTGAAGGATGTGTTTTTGAACAAATTGGTTGTATGCATTATTGTTCCCATTTGTCTGACAGGGACGCCGATTGTACCCATGAGCAAGGGCTAGAGTGAATGTGATGGTGATCAGGAGAACGACACGCATCTTGTCTAAGGTGAGAGACAAAAGTTTTTGAGCATATTAGTAGTTGTTCATGTTGTTCAAAAACAATATAAACACACTAAAAAGTAAGTGGTCAAAGGCTGCACATTTAGCCCTACACAGGTTGTAGAGAGCTGGTGTTGGACAACTGTAATCAAGTTATCATGTTTTATGTGCCAGTTGATTCAGTAGTGAGAAAAAAAAATAGGACAGTAGAAAAGAGAAACAAAAAACGTCATGTCAGAATGGCAGTTCATGAAATGAATTGAATTATAGGCTACATGTCAGAAAAGGGAGCTATTGAGAAATAATTTTGCTAAATGTGTAAAAAGTGCCTTTGAGGACAAACAAATTCTGCTAATTGAAAAATAAATCTACTAATCATTCACTCATTTATTTTCCTTCATGTCTTTTTTCAGTCTATTTGTCTAATACATTTGTTTTATTTAACAATTTTGTCATTAGCTTATCCCTAAAAAGTCCCTAAAATGATTTTCCTGCATACATTGATCAGCCATAACATTATGAGCACTGACAGGTGAAGTGAATAACACTGATTATCTAGTTATTATGGCTCCTGTCAGTGGGATATATTAGGCAGCATGAGGATCTGAGCGACAAGGGCCAAATACAGGAATGACTTCATGCATGAAAAATCCATTCATGTACTTTGTGAACTGCCAGAAATGTATGAGAATAAACAGTAACAATAACAGTATCTCATGCATGATTAATGTAACAATAATGTTAATTAATGCAACAACTTAACTTATTTCAATAATCATGTGGTCCGATCCAACAGACGAGCTACTGTAGCTCAAATTCCTGAAAAAAGTAACTGCTGGTTCTGATATAAAGGTGTCAGAACACACAGTGCATTGCAGTTTGTTGCGTATGAGGCTGCATAACGAGAGCAAATTTCAATCAAGTTTGATAATGTTTAAGTGTAAAGTAACTTATCTATTTCTGTGTGTGTGTGTGTGTGTGTGTGTGTGTGTGTGTGTGTGTGTGTGCTCACACTTTTCACACTGTAAGCAGCTGTTGAGAATGTTGCTAGACTTTTATTTTATACATTAACCTTTTATTGTCATCTGCAGAATACAAGTTGTTTTCAGTAGCTCAAGACACCTACTGAAACTTCTATGTATTAGTGTTGTATTTTATTCATTACTTTTATATTGTGTCTTTATTTGGTGGGTTGCTTTTGTCTTTTACTGTGTAAAAGTACTTTGCAACCGTACAATGTGCTCTATAAATCAGCTTAAATTTGGAAGACAGAAAGATGTCCCAATGTCAGTTAATTAGTTACAGTAAGTCATTAAAAGAACAAAAAAAATTGCATATTGATAATACATAAAAACAATTTATTTTTTCTCACCTGTTCAGATCAGCCAGCCTCTGTACTGCAAATGTTGCTGCGTCAGTCTGGAGAGGATCAGTACCAACCAAAGTTTAAGTCTCAGCTTGAAGTCAAAAATATTTCTCCCTTTTTATACTTCCTTGTCTTGTAAACATGGATGATTACAACCAATCATTTTAATCCACCCCAAAGAGATTAACAGCTAATCAAAGTACTGAAAGCTACTCTTACTATATATGTCTATGACAATAAGTGCATGCACACATGAGGAAGTGGTGTTTTGGTGTGAGCTAGTGTATGTGTGAAGATGTCGGGCGGGCCACTGTTGGTAACACCTAATGCAAGGAAATGCTAAGAAAGAAGCATCAGCAAAGGCATCTTGTAAGTACATGCAAAAACACTGCATATGATCTGTAACCCACCCAGTGAATAGATACAGAAAAGACGTGAAGATGTGAAAACCACTGTGTGTGTGTGTGTGTGTGTGTGTGTGTGTGTGTGTGTGTGTGTGTGTGTGTGTGTGTTGTTGATGGTCAGTTACAACAACAAATGTCATGTCAAATCGTTGTGTTATTTATTTTTTTACCAACACCATAAAAAAGAAAATAGGAAAATATATAAAATGTTCCAACACTTTGGAACTACCTGAATGAATTAAATTACAGCCAATAGGAACACAGACATTTCCTTATTACATATTTGATAAACAGGAAGACCAGCTACATTGCACTCATAAGAATGGTGCCAAATATTACACAACATTTTCAGTATTCATGTCCAATTCCGTAGGGCACAGATGAAACATAGATTATTCTTCACATGATGAACATGAAGTGATATATTTAAGTAGCAATCCCTTGTTCCAATCATCGAATCTTACACATTTTGACCAAGATACATTTTACTAACCCCAAAAATATATAATATAAAGCGCATAAAGCTAAACTGAAAAGAACTCATAAAATCCTCATCAATGTCTTATTATTATAATAATAATAATAACAATAATAATAATAATAATAATAATAATAATAATAATAATGTTTAAGGAAATAACATGGATGGGTAAAACAATATCCAAACAGCTCGGATCACCAGAAGAACCCAGTTAAGAACCCAGTTTAAAACCTTTGCTGGTATGAAACATTAAGCCACAGTAAAATGTCACTCTACATCCAAACTCGTACATTTCATATCAAGTGTTTTCAGCGCACCAGTAACATGCGCACTTGATATAACTACTTCTGCTTTTTCACAGCTGAGATAATCAGAGGATCAGAATTTTTCCCATTTTGTTTAAGGTGTGGACTGAAATATGGCAAGATCTCTCCAGTGAACAAACACTCAGTAAACGAGTAGATGTGAGATTGAGCCGTTACGTCATAGAAGGACACGAGACCTTCCTCGTAATCCAAAAACACCCCGACCTTCTGAGGTTTCGCTGTCAGCGAGAGGCTGACGGGTGGGGCTGACAGGGCTGCGTACTTATCATCTTCATAATGTACAGTTACCCAGTAACCGTTATCTGGGGTCAGCGAGATTTTCCCCTTGCGGTTTGCGTTGCGTCTCACTACACCCAGATCCCATCCGGTCTTGTTGCTGACTTCCACCTCCCAGTACGATTTCCCAGTGGTCTGTCCGTTGAGCCCCAGGATGCTGCCAAACATGTCAAACCTCTTTGGAGAATCAAAAACTGCCTGGTTCTTTCCTCCGTCAGTCACTTTCTTCCCGTCAGGAGAGAGAACAAGGCATCGGTGCGCAGTAGCTGGGTCCAGCTTTACATCCACTGCAGTTGAATAGAGCAACGGAAAAAGAATCATGGTGCATTAGAGACCTTTCGGTTGATAATGAAAGTCTCCTAACCTTAAAGGGTATTTCCAGCATTTTGGGCCCCATTTAGCATATTTTGGTGTCTTAAACATGTTAGTTTGGAACTAATCTGTTGCAACCCTTATTAGTAGTTTAAAAACGGAATTCACACAGTAACACAAACAAACTAATTGATCAAGGCAACAGTGGACCAGCAACTCCTGTGTTCGGAGTAAAACTAGTTTTTTGTAAATGGAGTCTGGTGGAGCCTGGACAAAATGATGGCCTCCTGCCAATCTGCCAGTCTCACTGTGAATATCCTTGAGGCCTAACAAACATCATTAATGCATTTCCTTTCTGGTTTCTGAAACCTGCATTGATTGGATTTTTTTATTTTTTATTACTTTCTTTCAAGCTATTAGCTTTTATTTTTACTAGTAACACTTTATGTTAAGGGGACATGAATTATCATGACTTCATGTACTTTGTGAACTACCTGGAATGTATGAGAACAAACAGTAACAATAACAGTATCCCAAGCATGATTAATCTAATAACAATATGTTCATTAATGCAAAAACTCAGTTAACTTATTTCAAACATCACAATGTCTGATTTATTAATGTTCATGTTTTCTTCATAGGTAAGTCTGCAGTTACAGAGAAGGGGCAAAAACTGACCAGTCACAGCCGTGACCATGTATTCTGTTGTAATTATGATTACAAATGTGTTGTAATCAAGTGTTGTAATAATGGGAACAATTATGAAAATAATCAAGAAAACAATCATTATTACAACACTTAAAATTCAACAGAATATCAGAGCACTGCTATGACTAGTCACTTTTTTGTCCTGTCTCTGAGCCTTTGCTTTCATTTTCTAAAAGAACTTTGAATGGGTTGAATCTGAGATGGAATATCCACACAATATTTTCTTCCCATTTCTTGAGATCTTACACAAAACACCATTGTATCTGAAAATGCTCATTTCGTCAATGGAGTATGGTGTCTTTAAATACAGCGAATACAACATCTGCTTCTGACAAAAAGGATCTTACTCTTTAAAAAATCTTTTAAGAAGTCTTTCCAAATGTTGTCAGACACTAAGAATAGAATAACACCCAGCCTGTCAGTGACAAAAACAACGACTTTTAGTGGACATATTTGACGAGTGAACTTTGTTTCAGGCGATTTATACTAGTTTCAGTGTAACTTTATGGTAAGGGAACATTAATTATCATGATTTAATGCATGAATTAATAAATGAAAAAGTAACTAACATAAAACATACAATAAACGTAAAACAGCTAAGGTATTTCATTCAATGTGATTTCTGATGTCAATGCAAATGGGCAAAAACTGACCAGTCACAGCTGTGGACATGTATTGTGTTGAGTTCCAAGTGTTGTAATCATGATTACAAATGTGGTGTTATCAAGTGTCGGGATCATGAAAACAATCTTGATTACAAATGTGTTGCAATCATGATTTCAACACAACAAGTGCCCTGCTGTGACTGGTCAATTGTTCGCCATGTCTGGGACAAGAGTTTCTTCTTTCTGTCATGTTTTGAAATGAAGAGGAATAATTTTGTTTTTTTCTTTCTATTGTTTGTGATCTTGCACAAAACACACATAACAAGCTCAAGTCTGGTGAATGTGAAAACCTTTTTGAAAGAGTAGTTTTAAGAATATTAATTGAATTATAACTGGATGTACCTTACACTAGAGCATCTGCACAATACACATACAGTCTGACATTTAGAAGTATTCTTTGAATAGTCATATTTTTAAGATGGTTTAAGTCACACACCTGCAAATGTGGAAATCCTCTTGAGTTCTGTGGAAAGAGAAATGATGTTACAAAATGTGATTGGATTCGATACATACCTTGACTCAATTAAATACAAACCTTGATAGACTTAAAGACTCACCAACAGAAGAAAGTTTGTCCAATTTCTGCTGAATTTGTTCCATCATTTTTGATGTTTTACTTTTAAGTGTACCAAGGGAGAATGAACTGTCAACAGTTACATTCTTCCAATCACGAGAATTATCCAGGCCTGTTAGAGGAGAAACCTGTGTGTGTGTGGGTGTGCAAGGGAAAATGTCACATCATCAGTATAAAATAATTTTGATGAATCTGAAATACGAAACAGGTGAAAAAAAATACTGCAAGTTAGAGATATTTTCAACAATACATTGAATGTACATAAATCTTAAACCTTATTTCAGCAATGTAGATGTATTCCTGGAACACAAAACAGTGGATATTTGTTTAGCTAAGCCTAGATCTGTTCCATTGTACTGCGACATGCAGCTGAGTGGAAGCATAATGACTTCTTCAAATGTTAAAAAGGCCAAAAAGCCTGGATGTCAGATTCTCGGGCCTCACCTGCAAGTTTGGGTTTTTGTCCAGCTCATCGATGTTCTTTTTGAGTTTGTCAATTTCCTTTTGCAGTGTCTGTACCAGATCTTGTGATTCTTTCTTTATTCTGTTTCTCCTAAAAACAAAAATAAGTAAGAGTTAGTTTTAAGAAACCTTGCCATACCATAACTACATGCAGTATATTCTTTGCATTGATGGCCCCCATAAGGCAACATTGTGGTGCTGTTAACGTCATACATCACTGTTTTATAATCTGAGACACACAAAACCGACCTCTCCTCCAGAGGTTGAAGGGCTTCCTGTCGAATGTCCTCCACAACTCTGATCACCTCCGAGAACACACTGTTGATCTCCAGCCATTCAATATCCAAGCTGCCCTGAAAGGACCAAAGGACAGTGAGGATGTTAAAGAAATATTAATCAAACTTAAAATCAAAAAAGTAAAAAATCTGCTGCAGCTTACCTTACTGGCTACTACAGATGATCTGACTTCAGATATCTTTTGTTCTGTCATCTGAATCTTCTGCTGCAAATCAGCCTTTATCCTGTCTTGCTTTGCCTTGAATGAAGACAAAATCTACTGTTAGTAAGCACACATTGTAGTGACCACAAGCATACACACACACACACACACACACACACAACACACAAGCACAGGACAGTATTGATGAACGTAAAGAGGACTGATAAAGTTAAAATCTGATAAATGCTATAAGGCTAAACTAGACGTGCAAAAAGATTACAAATTATGATAAACCCAATATAGTCTAACATGACTCAACAGCCATGCTAGCAGCTCTGTGATACTGCACATAGGCAAAGTGTTGCCATGACCAAAATGCTAATGTCGGCATGCTAACATGTTCAGCTGATAGCAAGTATAGTATGCTAACATTTGGGAATCAGCACTGAATACAAAGTAGGGCTTAAGCTGGGGCTGATGGGACATGTATTTGTGGGGGAAGGTATTTGTTCATAAAACCTAGGCTTCCATCCTGAGTCATGGAATCCCAACATCTGGTAACCAAGAATGTTTGTATAAAGTTTTGTGAGACATTTCACTGAATAAGTGAAAAAGATTGACCTCATGGTGGCATTGGATAAAAAGTCAGAGTCACTAAAGTCAGTAAGAATCATCCTCTGGGGGCCATGAATGTCTGTACCTTTATCAGTTTTTGAGCCTCTCTCTCTTTCTCCCTCTCTTGCTCTCGCTCTTTCTCCAGGTATTTCTCTCGCTCTTTCTCCAGCTCTTTCTGTCTCTCTTTCTCCAGCTCTTTCTGTCTCTCTTTCTCTGCTGTGGTCGTTGGAAGATCCCAGGACAGTTGCCCAACCTGAAGGATGAAAGCACTCAGTGAAAGCTGGACCGAATGGTGATTCAATGACTTATGTACAAAAGAACTTCTTACATAAAATAGAACTTCTCAGTCTGCAATTTATCTTTTCAATAAAGATTCATTTGAAAGTGGTGCATTGTTACATACATAATACAATATAAAATGTATCCAGCAAGTAAAAATGAAGTTATACAGATGCAGGATGGTTGTATTTAAGAGGATTTCCTCTCCTGCGGGAAAATTAAACAGGAGAGAATCTGCTGTACCTGCTGAGCACCAGAGGAGAAATCAAGCGCCCGGCGAGCTTTGGTGACGGTTGGATGAAAGTGCTCCGGAGTTCCAAACACTGTAGAGAAAGAAAATGGTCACTGTCAAACAAAGCTGCTTTGAATCGTTTCTATCTGTTATTTCTGTTCTGGTCCCATTATGAATTAAATACAGTTACAGCACATACGTGATTGGTTTGTGTCCTTAACTTTGACTTCTGTGGCTGCAGGGTTTGCTTGGGTGCTGAGGGTCTGAAACACCGGCATCGGGACAGGCTGAAAAGAAAAAAATTAAGATTTAAGCTTTTCCAGGTCAGTCCATGACACTTCAACCTGTTTTTACAAATGCATTAGCCTATCATATAACATTTATTATCCATAAATCAGTTTTGTATTATGGACAACAAGTTAAATAAAATATATGTCTCTATTTTGTCCAGAACAAGGTTACAAAAATAAAAGGTAAATAACATTTACAACAGTTTTTTCCACATCAGTTTGTTTAACCCTTACATACTGTTCAGGTCAAAATTTACCCGTTTTGACATTTGAAAGCAGTAAAAATACCCTACATGTCATTCTTTTAACCTGACATTTTATGACTTTTCCTAAAGTGACCCAAAAATACACAAAAATAAAACATATTTTTTTAATTTTATTCTTTTGCACAGGTGCTCTAAGTTTTTATACATTGATGCTGTTCTAGTGAGATGGATTTTAGACCCACTGGAGTGGTTCAAATCAAGGAAAATGGTTGTTCTAGGGAATCTTGAAACTGTGAAACTGTATAGTCTATGTCTGTGTGTATTTTTATAGGACAGTGGTGACAGAGTTGGTGGGGGGGGGGCCACAATAACTGTTCGCCCAGGTTCCCCCAGGGACAGGCCCCAGCTGGTCTTGGAGGGCCATGGGAACCTCGAAACAGTGAAATAGTAAAACAGCACAGGAGTGGTCATATATGGTGCACATAAGAAACAAACGTCATACAGAGGTCAGAGGGTGCCTTGACACAGAGACTTGCACCTGCATCTGCAGCTGTATCTGCACCTGCAATGTAACAATTTTATCTAAAAATAGACAAATTAGAATTAAATCAATGTGTGTGTGTGTGTGTGTGTGTGTGTGTGTGTGTGTGTGTGTGTGTGTGTGTGTGTGTGTGGGTGTGTGTGTCTCTAGCCCTGATCAAGCCACACAAGAAACCAACACGGAGGGACAAAAAAGAAGGAGATGCAACCTCTGCTCTCCAAAAAAGGACTGCAAAACAGGGACAACCTGCAGCAAATGTGGGAAGCACCTTTGCAAGTCCCACACACACAACGTTTCCTACTACTGCATTGAATGCACTGACTAGTTTGCAACAAACATGTTTTATGTGTTGTGTTTTGAATGTTAAATTAATATTGATAATTGTTGTTAATATAATGATATTGTAGTAAGGACAGTGTCCAGTGGTTGCAATAGTTATATGGTTATATTATAACAGTTCCAGAATGTTCTTGCCATTTTCTATATATATATTATTATATACACTAATATATTTAAATCCTTATGGCTGTTATGTTTTCATGTCTTAGGTAAAGCAGGACATGATATAGTGTGATATAGGTGTTTTTTTCTCCAAAAACGAGTGGTCTAGAACCTAAAAAATACACTCTCATGCTATCTAAAATCATAAATTAAGGATAAATAATGAATGTATTAATGTAAGATAGGCTAAATACATATTCTAAAGAGATCTGTAGTTCAAAATATGGTATAGACACTTTTTATGAGGACTTTCTTGGACTGGGTCAAACTTAACCCCGACCATACTGTGAAGACATTGGATATGAACAGTTTGTAAGGGTTAAACAAGTCGAGAATCTGCTGTACCTGCTGTGCACCAGTGGAGAAATCTTGGACTTTGTCCAAGTTGGTGGCGGTTTGATGAGAGCGCTGTGGAGTTCCAAACACTGTAGAGAAAGAAAATGGTCACTGTCAAACAAAGCTGCTTTGTATCGTTTCTATCTGTTATTTCTGTTCTGGTCCTATTATGAATTAAATACAGTTACAGCACATACGTGATTGGTTTGTGTCCTTCACTTTGACTTCTGTGGCTGCAGGGTTTGCTTGGGTGCTGAGGGTCTGAAACACCGGCATCGGGACAGGCTGAAAAGAAAAAATTAAGATTTAAGCTTTTCCAGGTCAGTCCATGACACTTCAACCTGTTTTTACAAATGCATTAGCCTATCATATAACATTTATTATCCATAAATCAGTTTTGTATTATGGACAACAAGTTAGATAAAATATATGTCTCTATTTTGTCCAGAACAAGGTTACAAAAATAAAAGGTAAATAACATTTACAACAGTTTTTTCCACATCAGTTTGTTTAACCCTTACATACTGTTCAGGTCAAAATTTACCCGTTTTGACATATGAAAGCAGTAAAAATACCCTACATGTCATTCTTTTAACCTGAAATTTTATGACTTTTCCTAAAGTGACCCAAAAAATACACAAAAAATAAAACATATTTTTTTAATTGTATTCTTTTGCACAGGTGCTCTAAGTTTTTATACATTGATGCTGTTCTAGTGAGATGGATTTTAGACCCACTGGAGTGGTTCAAATCAAGGAAAATGGTTGTTCTAGGGAATCTTGAAACTGTGAAACTGTATATTCTATGTCTGTGTGTATTTTTATAGGACAGTGGTGACAGAGTTGGTGGGGGGGGGGCCCTTGACACTGTCACAATAACTGTTCGCCCAGGTTCCCCCAGGGACAGGCCCCAGCTGGTCTTGGAGGGCCATGGGAACCTCGAAACAGTGAAATAGTAAAACAGCATAGGAGTGGTCATATATGGTGCACATAAGAAACAAACGTCATACAGAGGTCAGAGGGTGCCTTGACACAGAGACTTGCACCTGCATCTGCAGCTGTATCTGCACCTGCAATGTAACAATTTTATCTAAAAATAGACAAATTAGAATTAAATCAATGTGTGTGTGTGTGTGTGTGTGTGTGTGTGTGTGTGTGTGTGTGTGTGGTGTGTGTGTGTCTCTAGCCCTGATCAAGCCACACGAGAAACCAACACGGAGGGACAAAAAAGAAGGAGATGCAACCTCTGCTCTCCAAAAAAGGACTGCAAAACAGGGACAACATGCAGCAAATGTGGGAAGCACCTTTGCAAGTCCCACACACACAACGTTTCCTACTACTGCATTGAATGCACTGACTAGTTTGCAACAAACATGTTTTATGTGTTGTGTTTTGAATGTTAAATTAATATTGATAATTGTTGTTAATATAATGATATTGTAGTAAGGACAGTGTCCAGTGGTTGCGATAGTTATATGGTTATATTATAACAGTTCCAGAATGTTCTTGCCATTTTCTATATATATATATATATATATTATTATATACACTAATATATTTAAATCCTTATGGCTGTTATGTTTTCATGTCTTAGGTAAAGCAGGACATGATATAGTGTGATATAGGTGTTTTTTTTCTCCAAAAACGAGTGGTCTAGAACCTAAAAAATACACTCTCATGCTATCTAAAATCATAAATTAAGGATAAATAATGAATGTATTAATGTAAGATAGGCTAAATACATATTCTAAAGAGATCTGTAGTTCAAAATATGGTATAGACACTTTTTATGAGGACTTTCTTGGACTGGGTCAAACTTAACCCCGACCATACTGTGAAGACATTGGATATGAACAGTTTGTAAGGGTTAAACAAGTCGAGAATCTGCTGTACCTGCTGTGCACCAGTGGAGAAATCTTGGACTTTGTCCAAGTTGGTGGCGGTTTGATGAGAGCGCTGTGGAGTTCCAAACACTGTAGAGAAAGAAAATGGTCACTGTCAAACAAAGCTGCTTTGAATTGTTTCTGTCTGTTATTTCTGTTCTGGTCCTATTATGAATTAAGTACAGTTACAGCACATACGTGATTGGTTTGTGTCCTTCACTTTGACTTCTGTGGCTGCAGGGTTTGCTTGGGTGCTGAGGGTCTGAAACACCGGCATCGGGACAGGCTGAAAAGAAAAAAATTAAGATTTAAGCTTTTCCAGGTCAGTCCATGACACTTCAACCTGTTTTTACAAATGCATGGGTTTTATTCGTGAAAGCTTTGCTAAGTTAGATAAAATAACACTCCTTATTTAAACCTGAACTGATTATACAAGAAAAGTGATGATTGTCACAAGAGCTCAGAGCTCATCTGGGTGAAGTAAGCTTTTTTTAATTTATTTACAGAATACCTGCTGTGCACCAGTGGAGAATTCAAGCGCTGGGAGACTTCTGTCTGAGTTTATGGTCGTTTGCCATGAGTACTGATTTTCAAGCACTGGAGGGAAAGACAGTGGATCAGCGTTAAACTCGGCTGCTTTTGTTTTCAAAGTGTTATTTCCTCTCATAAAAAAAAAACAAACTAGAATTATAACGCATACCTGATTTCATCATCTCTATTACTCCAGCTGTTGGACTCATTGGGGTGGTGAGGTTTGGCGACATGGGTTCATTCTATCAAAGAGAGGTGGAAGATTTTTAGGCTTCCACCTGACACCACAGTGTGTTTCTAGATTATATTAATCTATTTTAATTTGTTTTAAATAAATCACATGTACTCCTATATTAACTTTTGTCATCATTCAGTATTCCACAAAACTGTCTTGTGTCAAATTATCCTATAACTTTATTATCCATGACTATATTTATATAGTGAACAAGAAGTTCTATCCTGAACTGATTATGCAGTTTGTTTTAAAGTCTTTTTTTTTTTTGCTTGAATGTACCTCCTTCTTGAGCGGAGTGCTGTAAATTGGTCCACTGTCCTCCTGATGAGATTTATCCCATGGATCTCTCCACTTGTACAGTTCATCCTCTGGGATTCTCATTCCTTTTGGCGTGCATCCCATCATCCCCTGGTGAGTCCTCAGCCCATGGTAAGACGTACATTTGGACCAGCCACAATGGCAAACCTGGAGACTCATGTCTGAGTTTGTTCTGTCTGTTTAACACATTATTGAAGAAACAGTTTCAACATTAACCATGTTATATTTAGTAGTTTGGGAGTGGATAAAAAATGGGTCGAACCAAACTTTACTTTAAGTTAAATTGAGTTAACACTCATATGGGGTTGAAAATAACATCTATTTTCCTGTCACCGCAGACAACATATTTTTTATTCCCACACCTGTACTTTCACTCCTAACACATCCTACATTTGACTATGATGAATGAATTAGAAAGATTTTAGAAACACCAATGATAAATATATTATTATATTATATTAAATATATAAGGACCATGGATGAACAAAAATAAGACTCAGTTGTGTACCACTCACCAGACTTTATAGAAGGGGTGAAGATACTCATAAAAGGCTCTTCAACTTTGATTGGAGGTCCCATGTAGGTAAATTTAGAAAAATTATTGGTCATTCTGTATTGTTCACTCTCAGGGATCCTCATCCCCTTTGGTGTGCATCCGTTCTTTCCCTGGTGAATTCTCAGGCCCTGATAGGTCGTAGCTTTGGACCAACCGCAGCAGTTGCAAACCTGGTAGCTCATGTCTGATGTCTTCAGTATCTGAAAGGGTAGAAATGTGCATGTAACATGTTTAGGGAAAGCACAACAACAATTACTTCTGAATATGTTCAGGATTCAGGAACCATATTGTACCAAACAACTGTGACATGACATTCTTACTCTGCCTTTTGTTTCTTGTTTAAAAGCAACGCCCATACAGGGAAATAACATGCAGTATTGTTATACTTACCACATTGTAAGCTGATTTCACTTTTTGTACAAACGTTTTGAATGTGAACTTCATTATAACTAATATACAGGAATAGCATTTTAAGTTTAATTTGAAGATTTGAATGCTCATGAGTCATTTTTGTTAGATCTACTGTAAACTAACTAAGTCACTTTATTACTTTCATTTCTGTGATGACATATGATGACAGACTGTGCAGACAGATGTGGACTGAGATTATTAGACCATTGACAGCATATGTAGGATTAGACAGTGCTTAGTCGCCCTCTAGTGGTACAGAATAAATTGTACAGCATTATTACTCCTACTACTTCCTGCTACTGGGTACTCACAGCCGGGCACAACCATAAAGTGAAAAAGTTGCGAAATGAACTTTTACCACAGAAAGTTAGATGCCAATGTAAATAACCATTAAGACGCATTTTTCATTTGAAGGAGGAGACCAGAGAGGTACAGGATACAGATGCACTGACAAAAGCATGCATAGATAAAAATGTGAAAAAGCTATGCAGGATCTGTGTTTGTCTAATCAGATCAAAGTGCATAGATAAAATATGATCTCTGTTACATCCAAAGTTTGTCAAGGGATAACATCACAATTCATAAATGTTTAGTCATTATTATAGTATACTCTTGTGATGATGGAAATTAATTCATAAAATTCAGTGGGACAAGATCTCAAAATAACTTTTTCAACCAAAGAGCATTTGTATTCCCTCTGTTTGGCTTTCTACACACCCTGAAACCTGTGGTTTGCCACAATATTTGCACTAATGCCCTGCCCCGTTCCCTCTGCCAGACTATTTGTGTAGGATTTGTGTACACTGTCAATCACAGAGAGAACCTGTAGACTTTAGATTACTTTATCCAAAAGGAGTGATGAGCTATAAACACTTTAGACAACAAAATAACTTTTAAACGTCAAAAATTGAAAAGTAATTTCTTTCAAATAAAGAGTTCTTAATATAATCATAATCATAATTTCGCCAGACCTAAACCACTTCATATATAACCTGTGTCATATTTTATATGTTATGTTGCATTTCAATTCTAGCAGACATCACATAGTGCTTTTAAGTAAAAATAAAAATAACAGCACAGTCAGATGTAGATGCACCGCAGCCTACCTTGAGCTGTCTAACCTCGGTGCTCCTCTGTGTGGGTCTGCCTTTCCTTTACTGTCTCTCCTTCTCTCTTCTCTTTCCTCAACTGTTTCAGTTTCGTTTCAGCTAAAATAATCCTGATGGTTTCTTTTCATTGCCAAACCAACACTTACCATAATTTGGTGGTTAGGAAACACTGATCTGTTTTTGTTGAGTTTCATGGGCGCTCCTGGAGTCCTGTATTGAGTGATACTTTTAATACTTTCTTTTATCTTGTGCGCCTTTATTTTGACTTTGTTTCATTTCTCTCCTTATTTCCTGTCTTTTCCTTTTGACAATATAAAAAATCAAATCTAAAATATATATATATATATATATATATGTCAGAGTAGCCATTCTTTTATGACTTTTCATTAATACGCCTGTAGTATTATCAAAACCATACTGTAATATGGTTTATGCAATGATCCCAAAATAATAATAATAATAATATTGCTCTGTCGAAAGTCCAATACAAAATCATTTATTATTATTTATTATGGGATGATTGGAATACTAGCATGACACTGAGAGGGTTTTACATGCTAAGGTTGTCCATATTATAGGTATACAAATGAAAAATCTGTTAATTAATACACCTGTCATTCTATTTCTGTCCACCAGATGTCCTCTGACTTATATTCCTGTCCCAGACATCTCACTCCCACATCCAGCCACTCCTACATGTCCTGCAATAACCCCTTTCCCCGGAGTCCCAGTCAAATGACCTTACCTGCCAACCTCATCCTGTTTCTTTTTTTCATAAGCCTCATTACAGTTTTACATGAAAAATATTACAAAACAGTGTAATGATCAATACAGTCCAATCAGTGCCAAAGTACATATAACATCCAACAAGTGTACAGAAGTTTTAGGCTAATAAAGTGCTTCAGAATGTTCTATGGGAGGCACTTAGCCTTATCTAATCTGCAAACACTTGTTTTATTAGTGTTGTTGTATATGGACAACTAGATGTGCTGTTTCGACTCGTCCACATCAACCCTAATACTCTGCCAGTTCATTCTAGTTGCCTTGTTGTTGTTCCCTTGTCTCCTCTGTCTGTGTTCATGCTCTTTTCCCTGCTGCCCTGCATAGCCAGCTATGACGTACACAGGATACCAAATAGGGAGCTGCAGGATCAGGATCTCAATTATTATTAATCTGAACACTTTTAACATGTAAAATGTTCACAAGTAACAAGCTAAACTTTATAATCTACAAAAACCCATATATTATTTATCGTTAATCTGTATAATTGTGGATTTTCTCACATGGCTTTACTTGAAAAAGTTGTCTAGCTTATCAGCATACAGTCCTATATTGATATCCTGATTTATTTTGAACAAGGGGTCAAAGGGGAGACTGCATCGTTCCAGTCATTCCAAAATCCTAACCCTGTCTCCATGGCTGAAGGATCGGCTTGCCCCTTGCATCCCCCACAATAACAGTTCAAACCGGATGTGTGTTAGAAGTATGAAGTATATTTGCGTGATTATCGTGATAATATTGCCAAGAAAATCGTGACATGAAGTTTTCATATCATCCCATGCCTAAATGATGATATATTGACGACCGGTGCAACATACAAAAGTGCCATTCACGAACGACACATCACTATCATCTTTATGACAAGCAAACAAGAGAAGAGAGGACAGGGGTCACAATATGAGGGGTTTTAATATTAAGTCATATGTTCAAAAAGCATCACAGCAAGTAAAGCCAGCAAAACTCGAAGGTATCGAGCAACGGTGTGTTTTATTTCCGCACATTTAGCTTTTTATTAGTAAAAGGAATACCATACTCTATCTTCTATCAAAAGTAACATACTTTACTTTAAAGATTAACTTGATATTGGTTTAAAAAAGAAAGAAAACAACATGCAAGCAGATTTTTTCTTCAAGGAGAATTCTCCCCTGCGGTTTGCATCATCTCTTGCTACAGCCAGGTCCCATCCTTTCTTGTTGCTGACAACAACGTCCTAGTATGATTTCCCAAAGGTCAATCTTCTCCTCCCCGGAGCTTCCTGGTTCTCTGTTAGTCCCTTTCTTCCCATCAGCAGAAACAAGGCATCTGTGTGCAGTGGTTGGGTCCAGCTTTACATCCACTAGAGTTAAGATAAAACAACAATACAACACACAAATGTTACTTCATATATAAATGTTGACTTATTTATCTAAACTAAAATAATTACTAATAATAACTGTTACTATCTGGCCGCAGTTGTTGAACAAGTTGTGAACTCCTTTTTTAAGGGGAGTTTGTTAGCAAACAGTCCTCTTTTAGCTCTGTCTTTGATCACCAAAGTTTAATGGCTTCATCGTATGGGAACCATTAACATCTATACAAAACTGTGTCAATCCAGCTATCAGATGTTGAGATATTTCACATGATAAGTGGATAAGCCAGGGGGGGACTTAAAGTCATTGGGACTCATTATCTGGGGACCATGAATGTCTGCAGAAAATGTCATCACATAGTTGCTGTGACATTTGACCAACAGTCCTAAAGTAAAACCACTAGCAGGAGCTGGAGCTGTACCTTGTCTCTCTGTTTTGGGTGGACAGCTGTGTCCTGGGCTGTGGCAGCTGAAAGCTTCCTGGCTATAAGCTTCACCTGAAAGAGAATGAGTATCCAACTAATTCATGAGTATAACCATTAACATATAACACCCATCTAGCATCTTAGCAACCACCTGGAAATGTCTTAACAATCATATAGCAACACATTAGCTACAACTTACATTGAATGTTGTTGTTTTTTTTTGCAAACAACCTTAGTATTGAGTTAAGTTGAACTGCATGTGATTGCCTTTGTTAGTGAATTATGTGTTTGTGTATTATCTTTTTATATATATATATATATATATATATATTTCTGGTACCTCTGTGATATGAAAATAATACAGAGTGTCTACTACCTGTGATGGTCTCCGTTCCGCTCTGTGTTTCCTCTTTGGCTGGACGTCTGTTTCCTGTGTTGTGGTAGATGAAAACATCTGGGCCAAGTCCTTCACCTGAAACATGTTTAACACTCAAAGCAAGCTGGACACAAATACCTAACAAAAACATAATAAGCTTTGCTGATTGTTCCGAAAAGTGCTGTGAAGACATAAAACCAACGCGCGAGTGGAACATCTGCAAAAGGGTTGTAATAGAACAAAGTATAACAATAATGCACCAGGCTGATTGTGTTTGAAGAAGTTGTCATTGACATCTCAACAAGTTTAAAAAATCAGCCGTACCTTCAGACCAGTGGAGAAATCTGGGAGCTGTGCAGTTTCACACGCTGTTGAAGAAGAAGTGACTGTCAACCACATTTCCTTAATTTTCCTGATTATGAGTTAATAAACCATAATACATACATGATGTAGGATCCTGCACAGTTGTTGCTTGTGCTGTTGCAGGATTCATTTGGGTGGTGCCACTTGTTGAATCTAGCACGTTCTGTCAGAGAGAGGTGGAAGATTTATAATATTTGAAGCATTTGCTACAAAACAATTTGCAAAATTGCTTCAATTAGTTGTTGAGCTATTTCAGTCTGGACCAAAGAGGTGGACTGACTGACAAACAGTCCAATGATGGGCGCTGTACCTGTGATATGTTTTGATTCTCCTTGTCTTTCTCCTTTTGCTGGGCTATGGTAGCTGAAAGTTTCTTGGCAATGACCTTTGCCTAAAAGACAGTAAGTACTCAAGTATCAAACAATTTAATGAATACATTCTAGCAACCACCTAGTAATTATCTCAAACACCCATGCAACCACATCCTACTAACGTCTCAGCACTCTTATGGTAGAGAGTTAAGTTGGCCAGGCCAAAATTCAATTTCCAGAGGGTCTACTACCTGTGATAGTTTTTGTTCCTCTCCGTGTTTCCTTTTTGGTTGGACTGCTGTTTCCTGGGTTGAAAACATCTGGGCCAATTCCTTCACCTGCAATTTGTTTTTACAGTTAATGCAAGCTGGACACAAATAAGTAACAAAAACACAATAACCTTTCCTGATTTTCTGAAAAGTTAAACCAAACAAACATTAAACCAAAGTGTGCATGAAACATCTGAACAAAATTATAACAATGGTGTATCAGGCTGAATGTGCTTTAAAGGTCCAGTGTGTAACATTTGGGCTGATCTATTGGCAGAAATTGAATACAATATTCATAAGCGTGTTTTCATTGGTGTGTAATATTCTAAAAGTAAGAAAAGTAGTTTTTGTTACCTTACAATGAGGCTTTATATCCAAAAAAGGAGTAAGTCCTTTTTCACAGAGTCCGCTATGTTTAACCACCATGTCTCTACAGTAGCCCAAACAAACCAAACACTGGCTCTAGACAGGGCTAGAGGTGTGATAATTTCTCAGTTCTCAATGCCACTAAATTCTCCATACTCGTCCTTTCAGTAGTTGTAATTGACATCTCAACAAGTTTAAAAATCAGCCGTACCTTCAAACCAGTGGAGAAATCTGGGGGCTGTGCAGTTTCACACGCTGTTGAAAAAGTAGATGGTCACTGTCAACCACATTTCCTTAATTTTCCTGATTATCTATTATTATTAACAATAATAATAAAAATAATACATAATTTAGGATCCTCCTCGGTTGTGGCTTCTGCTGATGCAGGATTAAATTGGGTGGTGGCACTTGTTGAATCTGGCACATTCTGTCACAGAAAGGTGGAAGGTTTTTAATAACTTGTTTCCTGCTTTGCTAAAATGTGTGTGGAAAAAAATTTGTGTTTTTTATTTCAGCTGCAAAGAAGTTTGTGCTACAAGATACATGATTTTCTTGGGATATATCATATAGTCCTTTTTTATGTCTTCTAGGGTTCAACTCTTCTCAAACTTCTTGTGAGCTCTTAATCTTCTGATAATTTTCTATATCAATCAATTTATTGTTGTGTTGAAGAGGTCAGAGAACAGTGAAAAATGTCCCTGACAATTTCCCAGGGTCCAATGTTATCAGATGTTTTGTTCAGCTTGAGAAGTTATTAAAACGATAAACGTCAGTAGTATTCATCATCTAGGGACCATGAATGTCCCTGGCAATGATAAAATGAAAGTGGTAGACCCCCAATGGACATTGCTATGGGTACATTTTAATTCAATTTAATTCAATTCAATTTTATTTATATAGCGCCAATTCATAACAGAAGTTATCTCAGGACACTTTTCAAATAGAGCAGGTCTAGACCGAACTCCTTATAACGGGGACACTAGTACTGTACCTGTGATATGTTTTGGACCTCCCTGTCTTTCTCTTTTGGTTGGACTGTCATGTCCTGAAAGATTTTAAGCGCTCAGGTATCCAACAAATAATAGTGATAGGATACTATGCAATTGCAATATATGGTCTAAAACACTGAAGAGTTTAATACCTGTGATAATGTTTGATTCTTCTGGTGCCTTTCCATAGGTCGGACTACTGTTGCTGGGTCTGTGGTCGTTGGGTGCTCCCTGACCAAACTCTTCCCCTAAAAGATTCAAGAAGATTTAATCACTCGGTAATAATACAATACTGATATAATTAATGTTTTTCTCGTTAGATTGGACTGCTGGTACCCGGGGAGGAATTATTGTACCTGTGATATTTCTTTAACCTCCCTGTCTTTCTCCTTTGGTTGGACTGTCATGTTCTGGCCTGTGGTATCTGCAGTCTCCTGGGCTAAATGCTTCACCTGAAAGATTTTAAGCGCTCAAGTATCCAACAAATAATAGTAATACGATACAAACTGTTGAGCCCAGACACTAGGTCACAAATAATGATACAGGAAAATATTAGAATAACCTAATATTTATAGAGGGTCTACTACCTGTGATAGTTTTCGTTCCTCTCTTCGATCTCCCTTTCGTTGGACTGCTGTGTCCTGGGTTGTAGTAGCTAAAAACATCCGGGCCAGATCCTTCACCTGTAACAAGTCAAATCTTCAGTGCAAGGCAAGCCAGACCAAAATGATAAAAAATAACCTTTACTTCAAAGAAACCAACTATGAAATGAAAAGTACAGCATACAGGTACCTTCATGCCAGTGGAGAAATCAGGCTGTTCAGTTTCACACACTGTAGTTAAAGAAGACAGCAAATTGCTTAATTTTCGTACACTTTAAAGCCATTTCCTGTGTTGAATAAAATTGTATTTCTGCATACATGATTTGGGATCCTCCTTTGTTGTGGTTTCTGCTGCTGTAGAATTTTTCTGGGCATTGGCACTTGTTGAATCTGGGACACTCTGTCAGAAGAAGGTGGACCGTTGATACTTAATTACGTAGATATGTAATTTCACAAATTACAAAGTATATCTGATAAAGTCTTGTCCAGGTGGATTCACACTCTGTAGCATTTTTATGAATAAAACGTGTCTGTTACTTCTATGGGTTGTGGACAAAACAACTAATTGATAAATAGAAAAGAATCATTAGCTGTCCACTGTTAGACTGAATGGTTGGATTATAACAGTGTAATACTTGTGACAATGTTGGATCCTCTCTGTCATTGTCCTTAGGCTGGACAACTGTTGTCAAAGGTGGATTTGTTGGATGCTCCCTGCTAGCTCTATTCATCTGAAAGATGTCATACAAATTACATGGCACAGTCGGACATGAAACAATACAGGAAATAACTGCATGACCAGATTACATATACAAACAGTTAAATACCTGTGATAATCTTTGATCATTCCTGTCTTCCTTGTTTGGTTGGACAACTGCTACAGTGTATGTTGGTGTCAGATGATCGCCGACCAATCCAGTCACCTGAAACATGTTAGATTTAACTTTACATAATTTGTCATTTCTAAGTCAGAGAACTATTCATGAATCTGCTTTACCTGCACACCAGTGGAGAAATTGTGCAGCGTAATTCATGTGTAATGAATTAAATCAGTCTCAGCTTTTCTTAGCTAATTTTATTGTTATTTAATCATTTCTAAATAAATTACATGTTTGGTTTTGTATTTTGGTTGTGATTGAGCAGCTGAAATTGCTCAAACAGGTCTAAAACACGCACATAGGCACGCTAAAATATGAGCCACAGCTGCTCTGCTTCTGTGCTGGTGTGCCGACATAGGTAAAGATACATACCTGCTCAACCCTCAAAACACTGTTAGCAATGAATGTTGGGTAAAACCTATAAAATGCTGACAGTGGCGTTAAAAGTGACTAATGTAACTGTCACAAAAAAGGTCTAAAAATACTCATAAGCTGTTCTAACAGAACTTACTTCACAGGTACTAAACTGACTCTAGCAAACTTTCCTATCCTGCACCTCAAAACATAAGAAAAATAATTGCAATATATGGTCTAAAACACTGAAAAGTTTAATACCTGTGATAATGTTTGATTCTTCTGGTGTCTTTCTTTAGGTTGGACTACTGTTGCTGGGTGTGTGGTCATTGGGTGCTCCATGACCGAACTCATCCCCTAAAAGATTCAAGAAGAGTCAAGCAGTTAGTAATAATACAATACTGATAGAATTCATTTACCTATTAAAGCAGTGGTGCCAATCACACACAGCAAAATGTTAAATAAAGAAAAGAACAAGGCAAAAATACGAATAAACTACGTAAAAAGGTTTCTGGCTGATTACCTGTGATAATGTTTGATCATTCATGTCTTTCTCCTTAGGTTGGACTAGTGATACCCGGGGAGCAATTTTTGGACGTTCCCTGACCGATCTATTCACCTGAAAGACAGAGCAGAATCAGATGTAAGTTCCATTTAAGTCACATCAGGTTTACTATCACCCAATATCACAAAGCATGCCTCAAAGGACTGTAAATACAATAAAAACAATGATTAACATTACAGAAAATGTTAAAATACTTGAAAGCTGTAACTGAAATGAGTTCACATAAGGTACTAAACTGACTCTAGCAACCTTTCCCATCCTTTTACCTGAAAACATAAACAAATTAAAATAGCAATATGGGGTCTTAAACACTGACGCATTCAGTACCTGTGATAATGTTTGATCTTCACTGTGTTTTCCCTTAGGTTGGTCTACTGTTGCTGGGTATGTGGTTGTTGGGCACTCCCTGACAAAACTCTTCACCTGAAACATTCAGTGCAAGGCAATCCTCACCCAAATGATAACATTTTACAGCTTAACTTTAGTTGTGGTAAAATTGCTTTTTACACCACAAGACATTCTACTAAGTCAGGAGTCTGCTGTGCATGTACCTTCATGCCAGTGGAAAAAACAGGCGGTGCAGTTTCATACGCTGTAGATAAAAAAGACAGTTATTGCCTAATTTTCATGATTATTTAGTAAATACCTGTGTGGAATGAAATAATACTACTCCATACATGATTTGGGATCCTCTTTTGTTGTGGTCTCTGCTGCTGTAGAATTTATTGGGGTGTTGGTACGCACTATATCTTGGACACTCTGTCAAATGGAGATGGAAAGTTGATATTTGAGCCATTTCACAAAAAGTATTTTCCAGGTGGTTTCACACTATTCAATATTTCTATGACAAAGTTATTATATATATTTTCTTTTTTAAGTTTTCAACCAATTGTAATAATGTCCGTAACATAGTAATAACATGGTTTATTACAATCAACTACAGTAGGGGTTGGCAAGTGCAAGTTTGTTCATTACTTTTTTTTTCTACAAGTCTAATAAATGAGGCCTTTATTTTCCCAATAAATATTAAGCCTGGTGGCAGATTATGAAGTGAATGTTGATGGTGTAAGGGCTATAGAATAATGACACCATCCTCAATTTCACTATACAAGTAAAAAAAAGAAAACACTGTCTATTTCAACTTTAAGCAAACACATTGCTACCTTTTAATATCCAGTCTACTTTCAGTAAAAGTTAAAGTTAAAACACATTTCAAGTCCCTCTTCCTTAAGTGGCAGCAATAACTGCGTGTTACAGTGCTTTGCTAATGGTTGATTTAATCAAACTGCAAATCCATAGTGAAAAAGAACAAAACGCTGCTGTTTACCTCACAGGCTCTCTCTGTCCACTCTCTGATTTCACTCATTTTCTCCTCTTGCAGCTTTATTTTCTGCTGTAATTCAGATTTAACGGTCTCTTGCCTTGCCTTGAATGAAAGCACACACACCATGTCAGGGAACAATTTAGAATATAAAGTGACTTTTACTGTATAAGTTTTAAACCAAAACAAATCTGAAGGTGAGGCAAAAAGTAAGGGATGTCTTTGTTACAGCTATGTCTAAATATGCTCATTAGCAGCTTTTAATATGCTTTATGTCCTATATGCTATATTTGGGGTTTAAGTCAGGACAACATAAAGTTATTAGCAATCGCAAAAAGCCCTACTAACTGAAAAATCTAACTATAGGGTTAAACAGTAAATGGTTGGATTATAACAGTGTAATACTTGTGACAATGTTGGATCCTTCGTGTCATTCTCCTTAGGCTGGACAACTGTTGTTGGAGTTGTTGGACACTCCCTGCTAGCTCTATTCACCTGAAAGATGTTAAACAAATATACATAGCACTTTTCAAAACAACCAGACACGAAGCAATTCAGAAAATAACTGAATGTTACAAAAGCCTACATGTTTACAAAAGAAAGAAAATTGTTATATTGGTTTAATTTTCATAGTCAGAGGATTCCAACAAATCTGCTTTACCTGCACACCAGTGGACAAATCATGTGCCTGACGGCCTGACTTTGAGTTGGCGTTACTTTGAGAAGATCGCCGTTGAATTGCTAAACCTGAGTGGATGCTTGGTGACACTGGCACATTCTGACAGGTAAAGATGGAAAGTTGATATTACCTATTTAAAAAGTCTACAAATTCTAAAGCAGTTCTATAAGCAGTTGTAACTGAACTGTATCCACATAATGTACTCAACTGACTCTAGCAAGCTTTCCTATCCTGCACCACACCATTAAAAAAAATTAATCGCAATATATGGTTTAAAACACTGAAGAGTGTAATACCTGTGAGGTTTGATTCTTCTGGTGTCTTTCCTTAGGTCGGACTACTGTTGCTGGGTATGTGGTCGTTGGCCACTCTCTGACCAAACTCTTAAGAATGAAGAATAAAATAAAGAATAAAATATTTAATAAGGTCCCTAAATTCCTTAAAAATTATCTAATGTAATGTCTAAAATATGCCTAAAACAGGCTGATTACATGTGATAATGTTTGAGCCCTCATGTCTTTCTCCATAGGTTGGACTACTGGTGCCGGGGGAGGAATATTTGGACACTCCCTGACCGATCTAGTCACCTGAAAGACAGAACAGAATCAGATGTAAATTCCATGTAAGTCAAGTCCGGTTTACTATAGCCCAAAATCACAAAACATGCCTCAAAGGGCTGCACACATAATAACAACAATGATCAACATTACAGAAAATTTGGCAATAGAAACAGTCAGGTCAATGAGCAGCATTAACAAAGCACATACATTGTACTTTTTAAAACATTCATAGATTAAACATGTTTAGAAAAGTAAATATAAGAAAGAATGTATCCAAAAGCAAACTATATTGGTTTCATTTCAGAATTTAATTCCAATTAATCTCCTTTACCTGCACACCAACGGACAAATCCTGTGCCTGACGGCCTGACTTTGAGTTGGTGATTCTTTGAGAAGACCATCGTTGAATTGCTAAAGCTGTAATGAAAGGAGATGATCAGTCTCAACCTTAGCTATTTTATGTTTCAAATTGATTTTTCAAATTATACTTCAATGAACTATAACTCAGGTTACGTGATTTGGGCTCCTCCTTCACTGTGGCTGCTGTAGTTGCAAAATTCACAGGCCTGTCCATGCTCGAATTTTCTGCAATCCTTCTACTGTCTGCTATCTAATAAAGATATACAAATGCTCTAAATATACTGTTAAAATGTTTAATTTCAAATGTAATGTAATGTCTACAGCAAACAGTTAAGTACCTTTGGTAATGTTTGAAGCGTCCAGTCTTCCAGGTATGTTGGTGTTGGATTCTCTCTGACGGATACATTCAGCTGAAAGATGAATAATTTTATTTACATGCAGCTTCTCATACTTTGTCATTTTGAAGTCAAAGAGCTTTTCATGAATCTGCTTTACCTGCGTACTAGTTGAGTTTCTGGCTCTATGAGAAGACCATCGTGGATCACGTTGAGCTTTAAGAAAAGGAGATAGTCAATCTCAGCCTTAGCTATTTTACTGATGGTTTTGCAAAATCTTGTATTGACTGAACCATAATCCTGTACATACGTGATTTGTATTCCTCCTTGATTGTGGCTGTCCTTTCTACAAAGCTGGTACGGACATTGGTGCTTAGTGCAGATGGCGCATTCTGTCAGGTTAAGGTGGAAAGAATGTAAGTTGTTATTTATGTCAAGGTCACAATAATTATGGAAACTGTTCATTTTAGTGCTGACTGAATTAATAAAATAATGAAGGAGTTATAGACAAAGGGATTATCCACTTAATGAAGACCCAATGACAACAGTGTGATGCATTTAAAACCAAGACTTGGAGTCTACAGCAATAGCTGCTCTGAGAAGCTGTAAAGAAATAGGCCGGGCTTTGGACTACAGGCTAATACTAGCCTGATAGCATGCTCACAATTACATTGCTAATATGCAGATGTTAATGAGGATCTTTGTTTGCTAACATTTGCTAACTAGCAATTGACACAAGGCCAGGGCAAGGCTGATGGGAATGTCATTAGTTTTTGGTCTTAACCATGGTACTTTTTAACCTGATGATGGCACAAGATGAACAGTCAAGAAATCACCAGACTATCTATAGTTGTTGAGATAATTTGAGTCGTGGACCAACTAACAGAAATAGCCACACTGCGAGTTGTTGTGTCTCGTCAAGTGTGTTCATTTTAGTCATGTTCATGTTTAGTGATTCATGTTCAGTCCTTCCTGTTTTATTTTGTACTCACCTTTTCCCCTCACAATTCAGACCCTGACTTCCTCCCTTTGTGTGATTTTCCCTCCTTTGTAATTGTCTGCCCCGCCCCTGATTGTTTTCACCTGTTTTCATTTACACCAGGTATAAATAGGCCATTGTCTCCCTTTGTCTTTGTCAGTTTGTGAAAAGTATTGTCATGCGCTCCAGTTACAGTTTCTCATATTTTGATTATGGTTTGTGTTAAGTTTTTGATCTCCTCATGAGCTTTTGTTTTGCACCTGGACAATAAATACCCCTTTTGTACATCTTCGTCAGTCCCTGAGTCGTGCATTTTAGTCTACCAGAATTGTGTCTGAGGTTGTGACACTAGCAGTAAAAAACACTACTTTTCTAATTGAACTTTGCCCTAAATGTCCCTCTTGTAATTGCTAAAATGTATACCTCCTTCTTGACAGTAGTTCTCTTAACTGGCTGAAGTTTCCTTTGATCCACTTCTTCCCACTGACTCTTCCGATCATACTGCTCTTGCTTTAGGATCTTAATTCCCTTCAGCTGGCATCCCATCATGCCCTGGTGAGTTCGCAGGCCATGGTAAGTCGTCACTTTGGACCAGCCACAGTGGCAAACCTGGAGGCTTGTTTCTGAATAGTCTGTTGGGTTTGAGACATAAATGAAGAGTTGATTTTCATCATATCCAAACAGTTAGGTGACAATAAAACTATATAAAACTGTTTCTCTGATTTCCACTGATCTGGCCATGTTAATTAGTATGTCTTCTTGTTTGTGGCAATGTGTGGAATGAGCACAATTTGTTATCAGACATTTTTGAGCAACACCCACCAGTCTTGACAGAGATGTAGCCATCCAGACTGAATTCCTTTGAAAACGCCTGAGCTCCCCACAAGTACTGCTGTTCGCTCTCTTCAACTTTCACACCCCTTGGCGTGCATCCCATCTTCCCCTGGTGAGTTCTCAAGCCGTGGTAACTCGTCACTTTGGACCAGCCACAGTGGCAAACCTGGAGGCTCATGTCTGGTGTTTCTTTGTATCACAACATGTTACTGTTGATCAGTGGTGGTAATGAGATACTTTACTTAAAAATCAATATCACATTGTACAAATACTCTAATACAAATACAACAATCTGCATTGACTCTAGTGAATTACAATCAGACTTTTGTGTGTGAGAGACAGGCAAAGAGAGCTCGCCCCACCCCGTGCACACTTCAGGTCTCTTGAGAGATCTCGATACTCATAACATTCAGGCTTATTGATATATGTCTTTGATAATTAAGCCCCAAGGCCCCTTTAATACTGGGTTTTGGTACTCATCCCTTGTTCTCAAAATAAATAAATAAAATAAAATATAATTATATAAAATGATATACATATATAAATTATGAAACATAAGGAAACCATATTTCAACTGACCTATTTGCCTCCTGAATAAAAACCATTCAATTCTAAATGTCTGTCAGCATTTATAATTTATAGATATTTGTATTGCAAAGTTATACAAATAACCTCATGCAGCACTTTTCATGTTTTTGATTAGATTACATAATGTATTATAATGCAAATTCAGTGAGTTGATGGAGTAAAGTAAAGGCTGCCAATTAGAAATTAAAAGACCGGACCGGAAGATTTTGCCTTCAGTACAAATTTCCATTATTTTTTACAGGCTATTGTGTTACTGACTAATGCCAGTAATGCCACTAACATCCCCTGCACATCCTCAAAGATAATTATAAGAACAAGAGATATGAAATGTATTCATGTGTTGCCTACCTTGTGGTGTTCTTCTGTGTTCTTTTGCCTCCCTGCCTCTAAAAGCATTTCCTCTGTGCAACTGTGATGTTTGGTCGGTTAACTTTTTCTGCTTTCAGTTTTGTTTCCGGAAAACAAAAAAAAAGGCGCCAGATGCTGTTTTTACCAGCTTTCTACTCAGCCAGCCCCGCCCAGACATGATTCATCCACACTGTTGTGTAATTTGTTCAAATTATGGTTTAAAAAAAAGCCACAGATATTTTTGAAAAAAGAAAACAACAAACGTGATCTGAAACATTTGATTTTTATTTAGAAAATAATTACAGGACCGTTTTTAAATGATGACAATATATTGTATATAGATTGCACATACTTGACATTTCATCCACTAGAATAAATTCATTTTCCCCCATCACCTTCACCTTCACCTATAGGTCAATATTTCACACTGGTTGCTTATACATTGTTTGTAATTAAGTCTAAGTCTAGTATAGTTCTAATAGGGCATTTGGTCATGTATTAAAGTCTAGCCTAACTATAAAAACCCATAAATGTCCAACCACGTTACAGCATAGTTTCAGTTTTTACCATGACCATAGAAAATAGACATTAACTTCCTGCAGGTCTCTACATTTTAACCTCATGTCTAATTCAGTGCATCAAGTATATTGAACTGGAGGTATCAACATGAGAACTTTGCTTTGTGCTACCATACTAGCTAGCTCTCACTAATGACAAAACCATGAGTTAAACTGACACAGTTACTCTTTCATTCTCAAAAGAAACGGACACTACAAGCTACTCAGAAAAAATAGCTTAAACGTGCCCTGCAAAGTTTTTTTTTTACTTACTTACTTTTCACTTGTTTACATAGTGTTACTCACCAAAACATATTGTGTGTATCCTTGAGGCCTTCACACGTTTAATGCATTTTCTTCCGCCTAAAACATTTGCAAGCTGATTTTTTTTAACATTTAAAAATCTGGATTGTTTACATCAATGAATGCTAGCAGCGTTCATCTTTCCTGTCTTTGCTGGTGCATCGCTACTACCATCAATAGGATCAGTGGATCAGTGGAATGGTGTGAAGCCATTAACTTTAACTCCTCACCAAAGTGCTCTTGCACTTGTTTATAAAAATATTTCCCCATGGTGCAACTAGTGGTCAGAAACTTCACAGTGTACCTTAAATGCAATGACATTATTCCACAAGAAACATATACAGTTAAGTAACATAATTAATTAAGGCATGCATTATTTTATTGCTTACACCACCACCTTTGGTTGCACTAACTAGTTACTTAGTGGAAAAAATCTACATATTCTCCCTCCCAGCTCATCAAATACAGCAGCCTGGTCAGTGGGCCTACGGTCAAAACTATGGCGGTCAGCATACCCCTTTGATCTGCACTTCAAGTTAGGAATGAGAAATATGCAACATCCACTTAGACTTAAAAAATAAAGCTTGCAGAAACACATTCCACATTGTATGAGTTTTGGACGTACAGGAAAGTCCAGTGACTTTGGTCATCATACTCAGCTGGCCTTAGTCGTCATAGTAACAGTAATAAAAATGTGGTTAACGTTGTGCAACAGTCACAGTTTGGTTAGGTTGAGGCACAAAAACGACTTAGTTAGGTTTATGAAAAGATCATGGCTTCAGTTAAATAAGAAAGCAACTTAGGTAACGTAAGTAAAAAACTATTTTTGGTTTCACCCAGAAAACAAACAGCTCCTTGGTGTAAGTCCTATGTTTGACCCATCCGACCACCCAGACCTCCTCCCAGTGCAGACTTTTGTTGCTCTTTAAACTATGTCACCTGACTTGACTGCACATCAAAACATTACTCTAGAGGGGGCACCTACAGCGTTACAGTTTAAATTGTAGGGCTGACTAAGCTGCCATATTTGACAATTTGGGAGTGAAAACATGCTGGAAAAAATATTGCTGCTGAAAATGTTGCATTATTTTGGGCCAACGTCATTGGGAAATGTAGTTAAACTGGTAGCGTCCCTACATGTAGTATTGTTACATCATGTAGCATTGTTTCTTCAGGGCAACAAGGCTTGGTGTTATCATATATAGGCACACCTTGTTGCATCATCATTTGTAGTTGCACCCAGACTTTTCTAAATAATTTTACTAGTTCTAATTCTCCAAATTCTCCAGAACTTTGCTGTTTTTTCAAGCCAATTCAGCCTCAATGGGCAAGATTCACCAGAAATTCCCTCTCCGCATTCTAATCTAGCAAAACTGGAATGCAAATTCTTTATGACATTTCAATTTCCTGCTCACAGTGATTAACAATAATCAAAGGATCCTTGTTTTTTTCATCTTGTTTTGCATGTGGACTGAAATACGGGAAGATCTTTGAACCATTGAACGAACACTCAGTAAACGAGTAGATGTGAGATTGAGCCTTCACATCGTAGAAGGACACAAGTTGTTCCTCGTAATCCACAAACACTCCCACCATTTGTGGTTTCTCTTTCAGGGAAAGACGAACTGGTGGTGCTGTCATGGCAGCGTATTTTTCATCTTCATATTGCACAGTAACCCAGTAACCATTATCTGGGTTCAGCAAGAGTTTTCCTTTGCGGTTTGCATCACCTCTTGCGACACCCAGGTCCCACCCTGTCTTCTTGCTGACCTCCACCTCCCAGTATGACCTCCCAGAGGTCAACCTGTTGATCCCCAAGATGCTGGCAAACAGATCAAACCTCTCAGAAGTATCGTCTACTTCCTTGTCCTTGCCTCCATCTCTCACTTCCTTCCCGTCATCAGAAAGAACAAGGCGTTGGTGGGCTGTGGTTGAATCCAGCTTTACATCCACTATTAATAACAAGTTTTAAAAAGTTAGAAAAGATCTGACCTCAAAAGTCTATTTTTTTGAAAAATGTTCTCAGGAGATTATTTTACGCACCTGTAAACTTCGGAACTCTCTGAAGTTCTGTGAAGTGAAGAAATTGTTTTAGATCAATTAAGTTGCAATTTTAGCATTAAACATTTACCACCATGATTTAACTCTTACCGATGGAGGTCAGATTCTCCAGTTCCTGTTGAATTTGTTCCAACAGGGCTGCTGTGGTTTTTCTCATTGTGCCAAAAGACAGTGACGTGTCAAACTCTACCTCTGTCCAGTCTTTGATGTTGTCCAGGTCTTGAAGAGATGGGTAACTCTGAGACAGGGAAAAAGAGAAACAACTAAATTTAAAAATGCACTTTAAAGTAGCAGCTCCTCAAAAGACGCACCTTCTCTTCATCTGCTGAACATACATCAGCCTAAAAGTTGTCCATTCTTGAAAAGTTTCATCTTACTTGCAAGAAAAGGATGTGATCCTCAAGTGCAGATATATCATCCAAATCAGAGATGGTCTTCTCAAGCCTGTTGATCTCTGCTTCCAACTCTTCCCTGAGGACTTTTGCATTTTTCTCCACAACCTCTCTCCTGTCCTTTAGTGGCTGTAGGGCTGCTACCTGGGCTCTCTCCACAATGGCAATCACAGCTGTGAACACACCCTCAATTTCCCACCACTCATCAGCCATCTCGTCCTGGAAATGGTAGAAAAACAAGCATTGTTCATTTGACATCTGCTACAAATACCTGTGATTAAAAGAAACGGTCAGCATTTCCACTACTGCTATACCACTGATCTAAGACTTTGAGTGAAAGCCCACTGTATTGGCAACTGGCCAAGTAAGTTGCATTATCCTTTTTGTGGGACACATATAAAGCTGTTCAGTTTAACTGCTATAGTATTTAAAATCTTGTCAGTTTTGACTCTTTTCAGTCCAGGTCAATCCAGGATCAGTCATTTCAGTCTCGCTTGCAGCTTACCTTGCACTTGTTAAGAGATGTATCAATCTCATTCATTCGTGTTTTTCTCTCCTGAATCTTCTGTTGTAACTCTGTCTTGATCTTTTCAAGCTTAGCCTGTTGTAAACAAAAAAAGGAAGTCAATATCCCAGCTTTAAAAACATTCTCCTTAAGATATATATTATGATAAAAATGAACAACTTTACTGTATACCTCCTTTTGATGTGTTTGTATCTCTATCAATTATATATACCACAATAGATTAAAGTAAATATACACTACGGTCAAGATAAGATTTGTTAATTCACCTTCTTCTTGTCCCATTCATCTTCAGTAGAAACAACCTCCTCCGGACCTTCATCCATGCAGCGTACACAAATGCATTTCTCCTTCTTCCTGCTGTACAGTTCCAAGGGACGTCCATGCTGCAGACAGGCCCTCTCATCTAAGTTCTTCACAGGTTCCACCAACTTGTGGCCCTTCAGCCTTTCAGTTGAAGAATGATTCTCCAGGTGGGTAAAACAATATGAGGAAAGACACACAAGGCAGGACTTCTTAGCCTTAAGCTTTCGCTCTGTGCACACGTCGCAGGCCACTTCGCCGGGCGCCCCAGTGAACTCATCATCGTCTTTGTTTGTCATCTGCTCGATAATATTTCTCAGGACAATATTCACCCCTGGGGTTTTGCTCTGAAGTTGCTTGCATAGAGGGCACATCCTGTCATTGTACAGAAAGTTGAAGTTCAAACATTTCTTACAAAACGAGTGGCCACAATCTGTAGTGACAGGATCTACAAATGAATCAATGCAGATGGAGCATGTTAGATGCTTCTTCAGTGAGGATGTCTCGCTGGGTGATGCTTGAGTGGAGGCCATATCTGTTTAAAGAAAGCACTTATGTTCACTCTTGGCATTTCAAATAAGAGCACTATATACATTTTGCTTTGGACTCAAATGTTTGTCTAAATGTTAAATGAATAAATAATTCCTTAAAGGAACGATTTAGTGGCATCTAGCAGTGTGGTAGCAGATTTCAACTCCCTCGTCACTCTGTGGCCACTCGTATTAACTAACATTAGCTACTGTCTGGTAAATCACTCAGGCCACATAGAATAATACACAAACACTGATGTTTGAATAGTAAACTTGTACTGTGCAATGTGGAGACAGACCTGAATGATAATATCCTGTTTACCCAGTGGATGAATGCCAGGCTCTGAGCATTATCAACTAACGTATTACATAATTCAAGTTTTCCTTAGATGTTATGCAACCTATTATGTACAGCATTTTATTTTCACAACCCTGAACTTTGGATACCACAAGTACTCACTAAAATACATGCTTTTTCATCATATGGTTAAGAGTAACAGAGAGAATAAATGATAAATGTAATGTTGGTTTGTTACTTTATTTTCATACTACCATAAGCTACTGGTCATACCAGACCAAGTCAAGTTATCAAAGCAAACCCTTGAGTGTGCTGAAGGTTGTAATGATTGCAACACTTTGTGATTTGTCAATTGAGCAACTTATTGTCATTCAACATATTTGTGACTTATTTACGCAAAGATAAGTACTTGCACAACACAATACAGTAAGATCACAATTAAACAGATTTAATACACAGGTTATCGACCTATACTCTATATTTTAATGGCCCATATATACTGATTACTGACCCCATAAAGCAACTGTAATATTATAGTTGCAGAGGTCTGACAATACCAGTTACTAAAACTATGATTAAAAACTATGATTTCAGAACTCCTTCCCCACCCAGGATTGTGTTCTACGTGAGAAAGAACTACAATATACAGTTTTTACAGCAGCTGCTATGCCTTTTCAGTTTGAAAATGAGAAATAAAGATCAGTGAATTAATGGTAGCACCCCGCAGTTTAACCTCTGGGGCATCTTTTGGAGACGTCGCTGTTGTAAATATTAACTCATCTCTATAATGAAAAGAGACTGTATGAACGGCAGGGCTCAGGACACAGGGTTGATTGTACAGGTAACAAAAATTAATTTACTTTATGTCTCATTACTTATTTAGGTTTTTACTAGACAGATTTCAACAGTCAAGGTGACAAATTATATTCTCTTTGCACAACAACATCAATACTCTACTGTTACTGGTGACACGCCCACTGGATCATTTAGCCTTTGGTGTTATTCAGGGTGTGTTAAATCCCAATAGCAGAAAGTTACGGAAGTGTCGGGACTGAATGAACCAACAAACACTTTTCTAAACCATTAGTGAGGTAAAAACCCCTTTCTATAACAACAATGGTATATATTTTAAAATTAAGTTGTACACACTTTAAAGTAATAGAAGAGGAATTATTAACCATAGTCAACTGAGCTACCAGAGGGTAAACAAGTCATTCCCCTTATAAGAACCATATTTAAACAAATATCATATGATGAAAAAATACTTATATGTGGAGTATAATATTACCTTTCAGCAACTGAGAGGCTCCTTATATCACAAGCTTCTGAGTCTCTCTCTATACTCCCACCTAGTGTGTGTGTCCTTCCTCTGGGCCTTCCTCCCTCTGTTAAGTTTCATTTCTGCTCAGAAGCTCTGCCAGTCACTTCCTTTATTGAAAGAGGCATGTCAGCATGCAAATGAGCAACCAAATCATCTGTGAGCTGCAGGGTGTGTTCCACGTTGAGCAAGTTCACACAGATCCAGTGGTGGAAGAAGCTTTCCAATCCTTTAGTAAAAGTATTAATACCACACTATGAAAATACTACTAAGTAATGGTCCTGCATTAAAAACCTTATTTAAGTATGTAAGTATTATCAGCGGAATTTATTAAGTATTTATTTATAATATTAAGTATCAAAAGTTAAAGCACTCATTGTGCAGCACAAAGTTCCCTGTCAGTGTTTTACTATTGTAGGATGTTTCTGGATTAATATTACTGCTGCATTGATGTGTATTTTACTGCTGTAGTTGTATAAGACTGAGCTAATTTAACTACTTTATATACTGTGTTGGGTATTAGTAGCATCATATTATCTAAGGTCACCATGTGTTTGTAGTGTTGCTGTCCGGCAAGTTTTCATGAGCTAAGAAAATCGGCCCTACTTTCAGCTTTAGAAGTATCAGAATTTTCTGACCCCATAAACACCTAATTATTGAGTTCATCAGAAAAATTCTAATTCAAAATCACCAAATTTGGAAAAACATGGTTTTCTTTGGATAGGAAGGGTATGAAAAGTTGCAATCTAGTTCTAGTAGTTCTACATTTGCCTGAGTAAAAGAGAGTGAAATGTTTACTGCCACTTAAATGGTGAAAAGTGGAAGCATAAAGTTGCATTAAATGGAAATACTCAAGTAAAGTACATGTACCTCAAACTTGTACCTAGTAAATCGTACTTGAATAAATGTACTTTGTTTCATCCCTTCACTGCACAAATAAAATATTTGATTTGCCAGTGTTTTGCTTGGACACTCAGTGAGGAATTATTTGTCTATTGCTCAATGTTATGTTTGACTGGTAGACTGAAAGTGATATCCCTAGGTTTCACTTCCAGTGTTTGAGGCAAAAGTTGACTCAGACACAACAACAAAATATTGATCATTATTTTTACTCAAAAATGTACTTTATTGTTTTGCATAAGTACAGTGTCTAGGGTTTGACATTTTATTCATTAATTCAAAAGCCTTAAACATTTACACTGAAGTACTGTACTGCATGTGAGCTCACAATACCCTTAAAATAAATTACATTCATACAATACATTCTGGAGTTACTGCCACACGTTGCATCTTTAAAAAATTAATTAAGCAATAATTGTAGTTCTTTAAATCTGTAAAAATCATCTTTAATATTTCATAGTGCACATAATTGTTATAAATTAACAAAAATTGATAATTGTTACCATTCAACAGGGAATACATTAAAATGAATCTGTTAAAGCAAAAGTTTGACATTTTGGGAACTATGCATATTTGCTTTCTGGCAAAGAGTTACATGAAAAGATCAATACCAGCCAGCAGCCGGTTAGCTTAGCTTAACAGTTAGCATGGCTCCTTTTCAGTGATAATAAAATTTGCCTACCAGCAGCTGCAGAGCTCTGTAATTACCACACCTGTTTAATCCACACAAAAGCTGACATGTAATAACAACAATTTGTGTTTTTAAAAGGGTATTATGGCCCAAACTATTTCTTGGCTCTGAGAGGGGACTTCCTGGAATCTCTGTTTTGGATGCCTGACAACTGCTCGAACACAAAACCCCGCCACCATGAAACAGCAAATTCTTGTTTTTACACAAACAAAATATAGTACCTTACTATTGAGCTTTAGAGGTTCTAATAGGGAGATTTTGTTACAGGTTCCAGTATTTATGCTAAATTAAAAAAACAGACTAGCCTTATATTTAACATAGAGATGTGGAGGTGATATTGATCTCCTCATCTAACTTTCCATGGGAAAGTGAATAAGCATATGTCCCAAAAGGTCGGCCCGTTCTCTTCAGGCAAACACACCAACCAACTAGGTATGGTGTTGTGGATTTTGAAACCCTTTCAGAAAAGAAAAAACAACTTCAGTGCTTTTGAAGGTCAGTCGTCAACAGGTTCGTCTGATCCTTAAGATCAGTGTGTAGGAATCTCTGTAGAGACAAGAGAGAGATGGAATCAAAGACTAGTCATTGCTGCACAGTGTTTGATGTCACAAATGAATAGAAATGAAAAGAAAGCAAGCAATTTCATTGAATGATGTGCATTGTGTGGACTTTAGACCCTGACGCTGACCTGTAGGAAGTGGAGGTTGTCTTCAGTCTGCGTGAACTGCTCCAACTCAGAGTTTCTTCTCTGCAACTCTGAGATTTCTTCTTCCAGTTGTTGGGTGAGCTCTTTATTTTGTGCCCAAGCCTCCTTTGGATTTTCTCCATTGAGGTCTGCAGAGATCTTGATTTTCTCAACTTTACTCAGTCTCTCTTGAATGGCTTGCTGAAGTTTCGTCTTTCTCCTTTTTAGTTTGACCTGTGGGAAGAAAAACATTACGTGAGGAGAACTGCTGTTAGGGACAAGCAAAAAGAAACAAATCCTCCATGTCTCTCAGCATTAAAACTTTGAAACATATTTCAGTCACAACTCATCACTGATGTCAGTTTGGGTCTTTGACAGCTGATGCACAACAGACCTGCTTTTAATTCATTTTGAGTCCCTTCAGCCGATGCATGTAAGTTTCTCTCAGAATGATTTATTGTGTATTTCCTCTTCAACGATGCTATGATTGTTTTGCTTTTGGGATGAATTGTGGAAATTCTTTGTATACATATGTGCTGAAATGAGAACGTGTTTGAAACAATGTCATGCCAGTGGTTTTTGCTCTTTGTTCTCACAATTAGGACCAGATGTTCTCTAATAGTTGTAGCTTATTGTCATGGAAATAATATTTATTCTTCTCCTTCCACATTCTTTAGTTTTTGATCACTCTCATAAACATGAAACCATTACATATGTAAACATATTTCATGCCAGTTTCCAGTACTCTGTATTAGTTTTATTTGTGTCTTGAAATCATATGTTAAAGGAAACGTATGTTAAAGAGAGACACTGACAGTTATGGGATAATGCTAAACTAATGTGACTACTTTAGCTGTCTGGAATGCAGCTGAACAGTATTTTAGCATTTAGATAAAATTCTAAGCTACTGCAGCACAAGTGGAGAGTGTATTACACTGAGAAATGGTATGTTTTATTACTTATAATTTCATTTTTAAGGATGGTAGGTCATTTCATCTCTAAAAAGTTACATAGTCTCTGAAAAATCTTCAGTCTGCAACTTTAAATGAGTTACAAAGTCCGGTCCAAGTTTGGACCGACAAAGTACAATATATGTCTGTAAAAAGCAATATGCTAGTGTTCTTTAGTATTACACAAAAATAACTTTAATGTTTCCTGGTGTGGTGACTGTATCAGACTTTACCTTCTTCTTTGCAGCTTCCTTGTTTATAGAAATAATGTGATGGCCCCTGTGCTCCGTCTGGGCACACATGGCACAAATGCACGTTTGATCACTCCTACAGAACCTGTTTAACTGCTTTCCGTGCAGTCTACAAACAGAGTCCTCCAGGTTCTTCACCACACTGATCAGAAGATGGCGCCCAAGATCTTCATTCTGGTAATGTGGCTCCAGATGAGTGGCACAATATGAGGCCATGCACTCCAGGCAGGATTTGACTGCTCTATGCTTTGCTGGGCAGAAATCACAGGGAACCTCTCCAGCTTTTAAAGGCACAGTTGCTTCCTCAGTCGGGGCACCAGCATGTAGTGTTTGTTCTGTTTTGAGCTGTGGCCTGGTGGGGAAAATGGCCTTGCAGAGGGGGCACTGAGAGGCCCCATTGATCCTCCAGTATTCGCCTATACAGGCCAGGCAGAAGCGGTGTCCACAGGGTAGGGAAGCAGGGCTTGTGAACTCATCCAGACAGATGCAGCACTTAGGAGGCTCTGACATTAGGTCAAAACTTATTGTCTGCCTTTGCATGTGGGCGCACACACCTCTGGTCCGTTTTGGTGTGGTATCAGCATGCACAGACGATGGTGTATTCCATTGGTTGTTGAATACAGTATATCTGTACAGAAAACAAACTATCGTGTTAGCATACATATGAATTACAGTACTTCTTTATCAATTTGGCTTTGATGACAGGAACCCAAACCAGCTAAACAAGGATGAGTACAAACAGTTTATGTCAGTCTTTATATTGCTTGACAGGATCAAAAGCTCAAAAAGTGTTTTATTTAAATGTACAATTACAAATACTTGGTAGTGGCTAACTATTTAATTGTTTAGCCACAGAAGTGTGTATTGTTATCTATGTATTGTTACAGTACAATACGGAGTCCAAAGGGGACTGGGAATTTATGGAAAACTGAGTTCAGAAGGGACAGGTGAACTCATGGGCAGTGGGAAAGTACAGTTGACCACAGTACCTGATTCACAACTTTAGTAACACCTGCAAAAATTGCTTTGAATGTATAGTTTTTTGGCTTCATGTTTTTAATACTGCCTTCTACGTAAGCGCCAAGGGAAGTGGGTTAACGGCGATGACTGTAAAAGGCTCAACAGTGAATCATATCTAAATTTACAATTGAGTGTCATTGATCACAGACTCTCACAGCAGCCGCAGGCATCAACAGAAGCGGAACACCACCCCTCTCCTTTGTGCTCCTTTTTGGCTTACAGACAATGCTGATGAACTGCTTTAATTTCTTAATTCAGAAAACATCACACCGCATACTACGTGCAAGCTTCATCCTGGTGTCGGGTCAATAAATATAATAATTAAAGACAATATATGAATAAGACATGAGTTTGATAAGTAAGTAATGGATCACTCATTACAAACTGCATGGTTGTCAAAAAATAATTAATTAATAATTACACACGCTAATCAACCTACTGTTAATAGAGCAATAGCTAATAATGTCATGCAAATAAGCCTCTTAAATTACAGCCTCAGCCTCTCATTAACCTTATTAGCAGTCGAGTTGGGCTGATGGAAAAACTTGACAAGGTGTATAAACAAGGGAGGTAATATTAAAGGTGAACACATCATCAGCTAGGAACATTTATTGTTACAGCTGTGTTGGCCCATGACCCCCATCAGGACCATCAGACAACTATTTTAAAGTACATTTATATAGGCTTATATAATTCCCCCTTAAATAAGACTGTATGTGACTGTATGTAAGCTCCTTAGGTGTTCCATGGTATGGTTAAGAGGACACATCAGAGACAATGTTAGAGAAGGAAAACAACTCTGAGGTCACCTTGAACCAACCTCAAACATCTATGGATTCGGCTGACCCGTTTGCCTCTGGTGAGTCTACAACCAAGGCCGAAATTGAGAACCAGCTCTGGTTGTTCGTTACCCTGCTGACAGTGTTGACCAAGTGTCACGCTCTCCAGAACCACAGCGAGGAGAAGTGGATCAGTCACGCAAAGAAACTGATAAACCAAACGATGGAGGGACTTACTTGCCCAGACGTCAAGAGAACCTAGAAAGTCTGCAAAGCTGCATTGAAAGACCAGCAGAAAAAGTTCTGAGGTAGGAAGCTGCTGGAGTCTGAAATAATATCAAAAGATCCAGCTGTGGACGCAGCCATCATCCAACCTCCCAGAGTAGGTGAAGGCATGTGCAGGTTTACTGGCCGTCATCTTTTTAATGGTGCTCATCCTATAAAACAGCAAACCAACATTGACAGCTATTGTCGCTGTGTGGACTTTCTCCCTGTATCAGCGTGGTTTTACTCCGGGTACTCCATTTCCCCCTCTACACTCTCAATTTTGACAATAATAGTGCTGAATTATATTTCTGAAGTGAGTCTTAAATTAGAGTTACAAGACAAAGTGGTTGCTGACTCTGTAACACAGTTAAGGCCTGCCGTAAGTGTGTGACAGACGATATATACATCCTTATCAGGGTCCAAAGGTAACACAGGAGGGAGTATACAGTACAATAAGGATTCAGTAAAAAGTATAATATTCTTATTATATACCTTATTTATTTATTTATTTACATTGTTTAGTTTTGGGCCCCAATACAGTATACTGAGTATTACAGGATTATTGTTTTTGACTGAAAAATACAACTATTGGCACTGCCAAACATTTTCCTTCTTCAACAAATAGAAGCCATGACACAGTAACATCTGCAATGAACAAAAAACTTCCAGGTATGAGTATTAATCACAGACTGGCATCCAGTCAGAAGGGTGGTGAGAATACTACGTCAGAGCCATGTGGTAATTTCAAAATATTGCAATACCACCTGTCCAATCAGAATTGAGTATTCTCTGTGATCCTGATAAAATAGATGGCCGTTTGATTACTGCATTTGTCAGTAGTTTAATACAGTTAAAGGATTTACAGTGAAAATACATTTATGGTTGTGGATTTATGTTTTGACATGTCATAATGTCCTGAGTAGCTAAAAATGAAACCAACTCATAACATAAATGAACTTCAAACAATGTGATTAAGTTCTAGTTTAACAATAAGCTTGTCATTTCCATTTGACTAAAAATATACAGCTATAATACTTATATATATATACAGGAACATTAAAATTAAACTATAAAACTCACATACCTTTCTTGTGCATCTACCGACTTGTCTTTCCTGAGGCTCTAACAGTGTTGTGTTACGCTCTTATCGGTTGGTTCCTCATGTGTATAGGTATAGACACACCTATCACTGCTAGGAAAGAGGGCGGCCCTCTTGGACTCTGTCATTTCCTGGATGCTCATAAACTCATACACACCTGATAAAGCAAGTGGCGAAGTTTCTTCATCACAAATCAGCTGCAGCTCCAAAAAAGGACATCACAACCATGAAACACACATCTAAATACCTTATTCAGCCTTTATTCTACTGAGGAAAGTCAAAACAACTTGTCATGTCATGACAGCATTGCACAATTGTTTACTGGATTGATTATACCTTCACCTGATAAGAAATACTTTGCATTAATTTTAAAGTGTAGAGTGTGAGTTGTGTCAATGTTATTGATGTAAAGAGACTGTTAGCTTTACCCCTCCTCCGAACAGCAATTAGTCAAGTAAATGTGATTACTTGACCAGTCAGAAATGTTCAGCGCTGCAAGCCAAAGTTATTGTACTTTTGGGAAGTACTATCCCTGAGAAGAACAGAACAGAATAGAGTAGAATATAACCTTTGGTCTCCCCTGATCAGATAAAAACACAGAGACGCAGCCTTACAACATTATACTGCTGTTTGAGGGGGACGAATGAGAGAAAGGAAATATGCTTGATCTTACACAGAGGTAATAACCAAAGGCTCAGATTTCTTTCCCTTGCTGCACAGATAGAAGTAGGGGAACAGTTTCTTTGCGAAATACTCTCCTGTGAAAGAGTAAATGTGCAACTCTCTATCCACATCATAGAAAGACACTCTTCCTTCATTATAGTCAACATACACTCCTATGTTTCTTGGCCTGGGACACAGGTGAAGGACCGTGTATTTTGTACAATTAACTTGGTAATCAAAACCTCTCTTTCCTATGGCAAAGACGCCATTTTCTTTTTTCAGATTGATCTTCCCCGTCCTGTTTACTGTTTCCTTGGCAACACCGACGTCCCAGTCAGCTCTCAGGCCCACTTGGACTTCCCAGTAGTGGCGCCCAGAGGTGAAGCCCTTTGTTCCTAAGATCATGGGACAGTCGAACCTCTCGGAGTCATCAGACGATGAGGGGCTTGCAATTCTGGAGTACTTCAAACTTTTTCCAAATTCACACACCACAAGGAAGCAACCAGCGGTGGCTGGGTCAAAGGTGACCGACTCTGAGAAAATGATGGTTGGTTGAAGCTCTCATCTTTAGTAATTATAAGAGAATTTAATCAGAAAGAAATTTAATGTATTTATGATCTCACCTTTATATTGTCTCATCTTGGTCAGTTCTGTAAGTGAAAACATAACACCACAGTTATGGGAAACTCAGAAAATAAAGACATCTTCACTGATGAAGTGAATGCAAAAGATATTTACCGGTTTCTGTCAGAGTTTTCAGGTCTGCTTGAAAAGTGTGTACAAGATGAGTCATGGCTCTCCTCACTGTCTGCACGCAGAGGTCTGAGTAAACCCTGATCTCAGACCAGTTCTTGGTGACTGATATGGTGCTCAGGGCCTGCAAAGTCTGAAATGATTCACAGAAAAAAACCACATGATCATTAGTGGCACAGGGCTATATTTAATGTTTTTCCAAAGGCAACCATTTGCACCCAAGCAGACATTTTCCTGCAGTCCTGTGTCTTTGACATTTTAAGTGAAATTTTGAGAGACTCCACGCTTGGCCAAGAAGTAGCCCAGCACATAACCAATGTGTTGTTATTAGACTTTGGTTTTTGTATGGATTGAAAAAACAAAATATAACCTGAGCTTTAGAGTTGCTGTCATTTCTCTCTTGTTTCCAGTTTTTGTGCTAAGCTAAGCTCAGTGGTGGAAAGTAACTCAGAAATTTGACTACTGACAGCTTTTTCGGCCTTGGTGTAAATTCAATTTCATTAAATGCCAATTATTTGTCCAATTTTATATATCTTCTGACCCCCATCATTACATCAAATTGTGTTCTGTGTCAAATTCTGAGAGTTTTGCCTTGATCTATCTCTCTTGTACAATACACATGGAGCTTACGAACGTGGAAAAGGTGCAAAGGGGGCGAAACAAAGTGACAAATAATGTGTTGACTGACCTGCAGGAGGTGAAGGTGGTCATCACTTTGTGAAAGCTCCTCCAGCTCAGAGCGCTTCCTCTGCAGTTGGAAAATTTCCTCCTGCAGCTCTTCGATCATGGCTTTGTCTTTGTCTTGTGACTTTCTGAGCTTCTCCTCAATATTCCTTTTTAGTTTAGTGTGTGCCTCTTGTACACGCATCATTAGAGCATTGAAGAGCGTATCACAGTCATCAACCTCTTTATTGGCTTTTTCCTAATAACAAATAAAATGATGGCATTAACAGATATTTATATTAAAGTATAAAATTGTACACATGCAAAATATTCCCCAGAACTCACTCTGCTCATTTCAGAAGAATGTGTAAATTCCTTTATCTTTTCCATTCTATCTTCAATCATCACTTTGATCCCGGCTTCCTTGGACTCAATATTTTCCTATCATTTTGAAAGGACAAATGGGATCAGCCAGTCAATTCTTAAGTTAAGCTTCAATTTACTCTTCAATGCATTTCACCAAAATTAGCTCTTACTTTCTGTCGAGCCCCTTCTTCTTCCACAGGCACAGTTTTGTGGTCTCTGTGGTCTGTCTCACTGCACAGCAGACAGATGCACACCTGTTCATCCCTGCAGAAAAACTCCAGGAGCCGCTGGTGCTTCTCACAGATCCTCTCCTCCAGGTTCTCCATCGGGTCAATCAACCTGTGTCTCATCAGGGAGGGAACTCTCTGGTGAGGCTCCAGGTGAGCCTCACAGTACGACGTCAGACACACTAGGCAGGACTTCAGGGCCTTGAACTTTATTCCTGCGCACACGTCGCACGTCACCTGCCACGGTGCATCCGCACTTTCAGATGTCTCAGCTTTCCTCTTCTTTATTTGGACTGAAATCTCCTCGATGACCACGTTTGTGGAGATCTCAGGCCTCACGTGGAATCTTTTATTACACACTGGGCAGTGGCATAAATAACTTTTGTCCCAGTGCTCACTGAGGCAGGTCTTGCAGAAGTTGTGACCACAAGGTGTGGTAACCGGGTCGCTGAAGACATTCAGACAGATCGAACACTGGAAATGATCCTCCGGCAATGAAGCAAGGACACTAAATGATGACATTATGGAATTTCTGTGGGGGAAAATGTGTTTTATATTCTTAGTATATGTGTGCTTGCAGGCTTTTTACATTGTGTTTAACATGACATAACACCATATATTTGCTTTGAAATGACTAAAGACCCCAAAATGACGGGGAAAAGAGCAAAAAAGATAGCTATGTCTTTGGGCTAAAGTCTATTTTTAGGCTGTTTTCAATGCTAATCCTGACCCGCCTGATGACTCATATTTACATGAATCAGCTTGCACATCCAATTTCTACATAACATTACAGTTCTGCATTTTAAAAGTAAAAACAAAAGTAAAACAGAAAAATTAGTTGAAAAAATGACTCACCTGACTGTAGTCAGTAGTTCTTATGGAAATGCCCGTGGCCTAAACTGTCTCTGAAATGACCATATGCAGCAACTGTGATACCACAAACAATTCAATACTCGTCTCGAGACGAGCTCTGAGAAGCTGAGGCAGCTCCACTTACTTTAGTGGGTGTGGTTAAGTGAGACAGTTTTGCTGAAACGAAACTTAAAGCACTTTAAGTCCATGAAGCTGGAAATAATGATTTTGAGAGAACATTTATTGTTAAAAATCATAAACACTTCTCTTTAGCATACAACCGTTGAAGGATCAATCACACACAATCAGCATGCAATTATGAAATCAGAAATCATTTAAGAACATTCTTGCTGTTACATGGGAAGATCAATACCACTGTCATGTCTATATTTGTATTTGTGTGTGTGTGTGTGTGTGTGTGTGTGTGTGTGTGTGTGTGTGACAGCTAGCTTAGCTTAGCATAAACACTGAAAACAGGGGGAAACGGATAGCCTGGCTCCGTGGTCAATCCTTGTACCAGCCCCTACAAAGTTCACTAATTAACAAGATATATTATGTTTGTTTAATCCATGCAAAAAAAGAAATATTCTTGAACATAACCTCCCTTCAGTTTTTGTACTAAATAACTACTGTATTCAAAACAAGAAATAATGTGTTAATAAGTGAGTTTTAAAGGTGCTGCTAGGTGCTGCTGGATTTAGCTGCTTTTTAGACAGATCCAGGCTGGCTGTTTCCCACTGTCTTTATGCTAAGCTAAGCTAATAAGCTGTTGGCTCTAGCTTCATATTCAGTGTACGAACATGAGAGTGGTATCAATTTTCTTATCGAACCTTTGGCAAGAAAGTAAATAAGCGTATTTCCCATAATGTCAAACTATCCCTTTAGTCTTTGTGCAAATTTTGTATTGTGTATGTATTAATATATTTGTTGTGCTACACTATACATTAAATAAACATTCAAAACACATAGAATAAAAGATTTCATCAAAACCAGTACTGCTACAACAAAATACAGTCAGTTTTCACTTTCAATAGGTGCTGTTCATACTGGTAAACCTGTCATTAGCTTTGTTTGATTAGGCTTTTCTCGTTCACTGGGCAAATGACGATGGTATCAGAGGACTTGTCGCAGCAGTAGAGGTAGAAAAAGGGAAAGATCTTCTCCATGAACGTATCTTTGAAAGTGTAAATATGGGTCCAAGCCCTCACGTCATAAAAGGACACTTGCCCCTCCTCATAGTCCACATACACGCCCACTCGCTTGGGCTTGGGGTCGAGGGGGAGAAGTAATGGCGGGGCTGTTGACACTCGGTAGCCCTGGCCTTTCTTCATGGCCAGAGCCCAGTAGCCCTGGGTAGTGCTTACAGCGATCCTGCCCTTCCTTTTAACCGAAGACCTGGCCACACCCAGGTACCAGTCGTCCTTGTCCCCCACTTGAACTTCCCAGTAATGTCTCCCTGAGGTGAAGCCCTCACGGCCCAGGACAATGACCACTGTGTCGAAGCGATCGGGGTTGTCTGGCAGGTCCTGCCATGCACCCAGGTGTCTCACCTGATGTCTGTCCTGAGAAAGCTGCAACCAAGGGTTGGCTGAGTCAGGGTCCAGAGTGACGTCCACTGCAGAAAAATAAGACGTAACAAAGGGATTATGTTTTTCAAGTTTTGATGATGAAATCAAACCAAATGAAAAAATCTAAAGTTTACCTGCATATTTCAGAATCTTCTTGATCTCTGTAAAAAAAAACAAAAAAAACAAAAAACAGATACACTGTCTTAAGCTTTTTCTGGTGATAATTTCAATTTAAAATCAAAATGAACAGAAACCCATAAAAAATATATTTGAATGTTAAAGGAAATCCTACCACTTTCAGCCAGCTTGCTGATCATTTCATTTAGCGTGGCCTCCAGTTTGGACATGGATCTTCTGATCATGCCTACACATGTGTCAGTGGGAACACTGGTCTCAGACCAGTCTTTGACAGACGGAGGAGTGCTAAGGGCTGGGAAGTTCTACAGAGAGATAGAGCACAAGACATGACTCAGAACCCAATTGCATATCCACAACTTTAATAACGTTCAAGTTATTTATAAAGAAACAACATTGTAATATTATTTCCAAAATGATTGGCAGCCTGCTTTTGTGCTTTTGGATTTTTTGGATTACTCTTCAGAACAGGAAGACAGCACTGTTGTTTCAGCATAAATAATTTAAGAGGCCTCTGATGTTCCTGCCAAAGCAGATGGAGGAAGAAAAGCCAATGGAATATGTAATTTTACCAGGATTATAGCCTTTAGTAAGACAGTGGAGAAAAACAACAACAAAAAAACAGACTCAGAGGGAAACTCTGGTCTTAATTAGAGAAGGACTCCCAGAAACGCTATGCCTGGAACGAAACAGAGATGCCAAACATCTCAATAATGGATAGATTGGAATTGAAAACAAAGTCTACACCTTAAAAAGATTTTCAGAGTAAAATCTTAACTCAACTTTTCTCATTAATACAAAATGCTCTCTTACCTTTAAGAAGTGAATGTGGTCAGTCCGAGCCATGTTCTCCAAGTCTGTGTTCCTCCTTTTCAGCTCAGCGATTTCCTGCTCCAGTTCAGTGATGAAACCTTCAGCCCGCCTCGCCGTCTGCCTCTGTTTCTGCTCAATGGACAAAACCAGCTCAGCCTGAGTCTTCTGAATGCAGCGCACCAGCTCTGAGAAGACCTGCACGCTTTCCTCAATCTCTCTCTGAGTGCTGGCCTGAAAATACAGACAAAATACGGAAATCTATGTAATAATAATAATCCTTATTTATATGTATTTATTGGTGGTATTAGAATTATAATATCTATATTTAATCTCAGGGGGACTCACTTTGTTTAGTTCCATTGAGTGTTTGATCTCCTCCACCTTCTTTACTCTCTCCTGGATCATCTCCTGGACGTCTATTTCTGTCCTCTTCAGCTGCGCCTGTACAACATGATTTCACACGAGGCTGATGACAGGCATACACAATAACTTTATCTTTACTTTTACAGTTTTTTTTGTTTTTTTGGTTTTAGGGACAAAAACATGTGGCATTGCTGATATGAATACACAACAACTGCCTATGCGTGCCATCAGGAAATGATTGGTCTTACCGTGTAAAAACACTAATGAGTGGTGAAGCTGGAAGAAGCAAACCTGAAACATGTTGCATGGAGCCATAAAACCAAAGGTTTACAGGGTGCAATTAGATTCTGTTTAAAGAATCAACCTTGTTAAGTTAGCAGGCTAGTTTTCTTTGACAACAATGGCAACACCATTATAGCATGACACAGAAATATTGTCGTTTCTTGCCATTAAAACTACAGTGCAAGACTAAAAAAAGCATCATTTTTGGGTGTGAAAGACACTAACTTAGTGTACTGTAATCAGTTACTAATTAAACACATTATTACATAACTTAAGTAAATACTCCATTAAAGGTGCATTTAAATACCCATACGTCACATATTTTGTAATTTAACAAGTGTGAATTTTTTGTTGAAAAAGCAGACAGCCCTACGACAGACTGACCATCTAGCAGCTGGTGACAACTCGGTGACAACTCTTAACCAAGATGAGTGACTCCTGCATGTAGGCATAACTTTGGAATAATGAGGAATTGAATTTTACCTCTGTTTGTAAAAGGCTTTTAGCTAACCGCCTCACATCCCAGGCCTGTCTTATCACTTCACATGGAGTTGCTGGGTATTGTAATTGCAAAATTTTCTGACAGTAAACACATTACTCTCAAACACAACTTGACTTCTTTACTGGTTAAATCCCCATTATGATTTTATGTTATTTAATCTCAGGATATGAAACATGTGTATTCAAATGTGTTTATGCATGTTAGTTAGGCTACTTCCACTTGTTTAATCCTTAAGGTAAGCTTAAGTTTTACTGCCCTACGTGATAATATTTGAATATCTCATGTCTCATTAGAGACTGAGTATCCCAAGCAAGGTCACCTTTTTGTCTATCCATTCCCTCTCCACTGGGACGGTGTAGTGCGCCCTGTGGTCTGTCTCAGTACAGAGCACGCATACACAGGTCTGATCCTTCTTACAGAACAGCTCCAAGAGCCGTTGGTGCTTCGGACACATCCTGTCCTCCATGTTGGCAACCGGCTCTATCAGCTTGTGCTTGGTGAACCTGGCAGAATGAGATTTCAGATGCTCCTCGCAGTAGGAAGTCAGACACACGAGGCAGGATTTTACTGCCTTTGGCCTCCCTTCCCCAAGGCAAACATCACAGAGGACCTCCTCCCAAGAAGGAGGTGGGAGTGAAGAGGAGGGACGTGAAGGTGAGGTTTGAGGAGAAGGAGAAGGAGAAGTAGATATTAGAGGTGAAGGTGGGGGTGATGTTTGGGGTTGTGGCGGCGGTGGTGGCGCCTGAGCTGTGGCTTCTGGTAACGGCGGAGTAGAGGTTTTGGGTGCAAACACAGGCGGGATCAGCGGTGGTAACTCCTCATGTGGCTTTTTCTCTCCTTTTTTCTCTTTCTTTCTCCTGTCCTCCTCTTGCTTCTGTTTCAGCTCCTCCATTAGCTGCTGCTTCTGATCTTTCTCCAAAAGCCTCTCCTCATCCTCCCTTTTACTTCTTTCCATTGTCCACTTCTTTTCCGTCCCTTCTTCCTCCTCCTCGCTCACCTTCCCTTCCACACTCCTCACCCTGATCTCCTTGAACTGCTCTGCAATTTCCCTCAAGACAGTGTTAATGCTAATATCAGGCCTTTTGTGGAAAGACTTCTTACACATAGGACACTGGTACAAAGGGCTGGTTTTCCAGTATCCCAGGATGCAGCTCTGGCAGAAGTTGTGTCCGCAGGGGATGGATACGGGGTTTGTGAAGACGTCAAGGCAGATGGAGCAGTGCACCTGCTCTTCAGAAAGGTTCCCAGTGGTTGCCATTCCTGCACGGCGGAGAGGCAGGGTCATTTCAGCGCAAGCAACCAGGCTCTGAAAGTGGCATCAAACCTGCTGTGATATTGAGGTTGCTGGGGTTAAGATGGCATGACTTCATTTGGGGTCATTTTCATGCAAAATTAATAAGATATGACAGGGCTCATTTATCATCACAACATGTCAGTTCTGTCTGTTGAAGGTTTTATACTAGAATATCAAATTAAAATTGTTCTTTCTTTCTTCTTTGTGTAATAAATGAGCCCTTTGAGTCTTGGGGGAGTGTTGTCGGACTGTGTTTATTGTTTGGTTTTTGAGCCTGAGCAATAGCTGATCCACATTCATATTAGAGAATTTAAAAGATTTCATAATATGTCAACATTTTTGATAAGTATGTCTTAAATTAGACCAATATACACTAGGATATATGTTGAGGTGATATTTTACAGTTGAAAAATACACTTGTCACTGTACTCTGGTGGACAAACCATGTAATTTGCTGATAATATTGCCTACTACAAATGATTTGTGTTGTTTCGGACATTGAATCCAGACATTTGCGTCTTGAACTTCAAGCTAAATATACCATGCTTGTTTAATTAGCTTAGAGTGTCTGACTTTGAAGCTGAAAGTAGGTGAGTTTGACTTTTAACACAAGCTCTATGCTTGAGGCCTAGATACCCATGGCAGACCAGATTATTATCTTTCCAAAAATATTGCTCGAGCCAGTGATCTGCCTTGCGGTGCTTCCTTCTTCAAACCATAATCTGGGTTATGGAAACACTTTAAGCCTCAAAACTTAAAAAAAAAACTTGTAGCTACAATGTTTTAAACAGACCACGGCAGAAAAAAAGTCCTCAGCTCAGGTCACAGCTCTTAAGCAGCCAAACAGTAATAAAGAAGATCAAAATACAAACACCACTCCCCTAAGAGACTTTCTAGTGCACAGAGAAGCAGATGTGATGGTATAGAAATGAAAATGCAGGAGAATACAAGGAGTGACAGCACAAGCAGAGATATGGGAACACTCACCAGAGAGCAGCTGCCTCAGTGCTCCGCTGTACACTGACACATGAGACAGGCTGTAACCACTGCCACCTCCAAGCCCCCCACACTAATAGACACACACACCTCAGACCCAAAATATACCCCCCTCCCTTTCTTTTTACCCCAGATACAAATTTATACTCCCTGGGCATGGCCCTCAGAGGTCCAGGAGGAATAGCTTTAACCCTTTGGAGAATACCAGCAGTCTAGCTTGGGTCAAATACAGGAACAGAACAACAAAACACAGCCATGCTACAGTGCAGCAGCCTTGCAACACTACAGGAAATTCCAGTTTGGTAAAGCTCATTATGTTTGAATTCTTCTTCTGAGGTGAAGTCAGTGTTGATCTGTTGTGGCTATAATTGTAGTTTTGTGGCTTAATTAGTGTTTTTTTGCTAAACAAGATAGATGAGAGTGAACTAGAACAGCAAAGTTGTGCCCAATAAAGCCAAAACAATTAGCTGAAAGAAGCTAAAATGCTCTATTGGGCTGAGAGGAGCACCAGGGTCTCATTTGATCCATTGTTAATATAAAAATTATGATTAATGCAGCTTTAAGGAGGGCAGTTCAATCACTTTTCTGAGCTTCAGCGCCCTCTCCAGACAACAAGCTAAAAGACAAATCACAAGTTGAAAAAAATGGATATTAAATTCTGTATTTGACTTTGATTTATCTTTAATAGACAAGTTCAGAAAGAAGGTACAAAAGCAAACATTTTATATAAAAATACAGAACATAGTATGGTGGGCCTACATGAATCAACATTAAGTTTTTTTTTTTAAAAAGCCCATAAACAATTTCATAATTCTACAGTATGTGCAAACATCTCTCATTTGGCTGCCCAGGCCTAAACCTTGAGACATTATATTTATATCTTTTTAACTTCATATCTTTAACATGGCAAGTCTCCCCAGCATGATAGTTACAGTTAAACAAAGAAGGTAAGGAAAGTGCCAGAAGTACAGCATTACTCAACTCAGCTATCTCCTTAACACATCCAACTGAACCAGGGCTGCAAAAAGTAAGAAGCACAGGTCAAATGTTGCTTTTGGAATAGACCTCTCTAGTCCTTCGCATGATTTTACCCCAAAATATCTGTTCTGTTTATGTTATATACAATTACAGTATTAAAGTACAATTAAAGTATAAGAGAACTATTGGTTACTTTTGATATACCATACTATACATCTGTACTATGTAATCAGTCATACCAAGTACCATCCATGTTATATTTTGGTTTCTTCTGTATCACTTCCATACAGTCACTATGAGGGTCAGCGATCTGTATTGAACTCGATTTTCCGTGAGCAAATGCAATAACTTGTTCAAGTTATGAGATTTTGATATGCAAATGTTGTGCCCTTAAAAAGGGGAATAGTAACGGGAGAAGGATGAGGAAAACACACACGCAGCTCTTTCCTTCACTTGTCTGTATTGAATGAGGAAGAGGAGCGTGATCCCCCTACTGGAGCCCTGAGGCATTACCAACAGATCGACAAACCATTAAACCACACAGACAAGGATCTGTATTACCTATCTGCTTTCCTCTTCTTGGTGTTACTCACTAGTTGCATAGTCTTCATATACATTCACAACTACCATAAATGAAATTACATATTTTAAAAATAGATACTATAGTAACTGTGTTAACATCAAACTGAAATTAGCTTTTCAAATGAATTATGTTTAACTGAAAATAAATTGTATGTATGAATAAATTGTTATATACAACTTGTCACACAAAATTACTTGCTTTGTTTTTATTTCATTACGTGGAAAGTTGTTTGAGGTAAAGTGCTTTGCAAACATGTAAAACTGTCATAAAGTTGGCTTATTGAGAAGAAAATGTCATATTTTAAGACCAATTAAAGGACCAAATCTGTTCAAAATGTAAAAAAAAAGTACCTGCACTTTGCATCAAACTTTTTTTTGTCCTACAGATGTTATGTATGTTATGTAAAAGCCTATGCTGACTCACCAGGTTTTTGACTGGCTGTCAGTCTCAGGCATGTTTAACAGGGGTTATAACAAGCGGAGAAGAGTTCTTCCCCTCCTGGGTGAGGCAGGGGCTGAAGATTGGGTACAGACTCTCATTAAAGGTATCGACAAAGGTGTAGAGATGTAGACGCGATTTCACATCATAGAAAGAAATCAGTCCTCCTTCATAATCCAGGAAAATTCCCACTTTATTGGGTTGGGACTGCATCATTAGAGGCAGGCGGGGTGACGCCAAAGCCTTCACCTCTCCGTTCTTAAGCCACAGGCACCAGTATCCCCCCTCGGGACTCAGCTTGATCTCACCCTTGCGGCGGGCCGAGGCGCTGGCCACCCCAAGCGTCCAGGCTGTCTTGCGCCCCATGTCCACCTCCCAGTAATGTCGCCCAGAGCTGAGGCCCTCTCGGCCCAGGACAAAGAGGGCAGGGCTGAAGCGCTTTGGACCCTCTACGTGGGAAGTCTTGCGCTCTTCATATCTCACCTGACGACCGTCATCAGACACAACCAAGCTCCTCTGGGCGGTGGCAGGGTCCAAAATCACCTCACCTGGACATGACAGAGCAGAACAAGTATATAATGACATTTATCACATCTATTGTCTTTTGACATCAATAAAGGAACTAGATAGTTTACATTTTCCACAAAATCCATCATGACTGTCTAACATTTTCTTGTTATGGTTCACCCTTTAATCTCACTATTTATTTGATGATTTGCAAACTAATGGTGTCCTAAGGAGTGTGTTACTGAATTTCATCCAAAACAAAGTGCCGGAAGAAGTAATTCGATATTTTACCTAAGCGAAAGAAGAAATAACATAATGTAAAAATATAAGTAAAAGTCCTGCACGCAAAATTCTGACCAAAATGTATTTCAAGTTAAGTAACTTGTTGCTGGACAATTTAAAACTTTAGTTTAGTGACCTCACCCACATCCTACAGCCTTGCACAACTCCAACCTGACAGTCACAATAACTCCTTGTGCAGTGCTTCATATTTTACTGATTGATCATGTTTTTTTGTTATCTATTTATCTATTTATAATATTTAGTGGTGTGAGTACAATATTCCCATCTTACATTCTATTACGGAGTAGAAATATTAAGCATACAGTGAAAGTACTCAAGTAAAGTGCTTGTGTAAATACACACTGCAAAGTTGCAACACTCATAATCTGGCTGCATGTCTGGACCGTTGACAGTATATACACAAGGTCAGGACTGAGCTTCTCTGTGTTGAAAAAGTGGCGCCATCTTGTGGACGATTTGTAGAACTGACCATAATATGAAGCTATGCTTTGCACTGCTCAAGATTTTTTACAAAAACTTTCACTCAGAATCTCATATAAGAAGAGTCATGACTCCCCTGCACCAAACTACTGATCACCAAATTCCGGACAGTTTTACTCACTTGAATAGTTCTGTACCTTCCGGAGCTCTGAGAGAGAGAGAGAGAGAGAGAGAGAGAGAGAGAGAGAGAGAGAGAGAGAGAGAGAGAGAGAGAGCAAAACATAGACAGAAGGAAGGAGAGAGAGGCCAAGTCAGCAAATAATTCAGCTGAAGAGTCAAAGTCAAAGCAGATGGCACGTGTGGGTGGTAAACATGTAGATCTAATCCAAAGCTGTAAATGCTCGAGACATGTGCTGCTGTCAGTCAGCTCTCTGCTGCTGCCTCTCCATTGATTCCTAGTGGATGAACTGCGGCATCAACACCATCTCCATCTGTCCGACCATCTTGTATGTGTGAACATGTGAGTATGGCGGGGGTGGTTGGTGCAATGATGAGTCACTTTTCTATTTCAAAGTGCTTGTACAGTGACCTACATATCCTTGTTTTGGATTTTTGCACAGGAAGTGTAGTTGGTATTCTACATTATTACAGGAAGTGTGGGTTTTACTTACTTTAACTTTGCATAAATAATCCACACATAGAAATACAAAAAAAGCACAAAAGGTTGTTGCATTTTATTTTGAAAGTATATGGTACATTGGAGTTTGTCTCATTTCCAAAAAGTTCTACTTACTTTAAAAAAAAAAAATGGTGTAAAATCTACTGTGTGAAATGTTGTTTTACAGGGGATGGACAAAATAACAGGAACACCTAACAATCTAATCCAGTAGCATAGTCCTTCAATAAATTCCACCCATATAAAATTAATGACATGTAGTTATCATAACAGTGAGAAATGTACTTTGGCTAGCTGCCCTCACCTTTCCCGTACAGCCTTTTGAGCTCATCCTGGAACTTATCAATGAGGCCGCTGACAGAGGAGCGGATGGTTCCCAGGTAGAGGTCAGTGTTGATGCTGACTGCCGACCAATCAGCGGGCTCGGGTGGGGGCGCCAGCGTCGCCAGGTTCTGCAGGAAATGAAACAGGAAGGTTATGCAAGGTGAGATGAAATTAAAATTGAATGATGCCTCGGGGGGATGTTGTCTTGTTGATTTAATTTATGGGGAAAGAAATCTTGACAGTGTGCAGATTCATCTCTAATAATCTAGTAATGCAGACAAACACAGAGCACTCTGCACATTATCAGTTTGACAGAAAAATCAAAGAACAGTATATTGTCTAGATTGGCACATTTACATTAGAAGACTTACAGAGGTTAATGTATTTGCTGGCATACTCCCAACTTTGTTCTCAAAAACACAGTGTTTGGGTAGCATGTGGCGGTATGCCTCTGCTTCCCCTCATACTATCTGGAAAAATTCTAAACTTCAAAGACGTCTTTCATGAGAGAAAATCAACATTTTATCTACGTAAACAGTCCAGGAGAAATGCACAAGGGGAAACTTCTATAACAGCTGGCTCTGTTCACAGAGGCTTTTGATGTTGTGTCACAAATCTCCTAGCAACTACAGCTGGCGCAAGCATGCAGGTTCGCTGGATAATTGGCTGTGTGGATGTTACTCAGATAAATAATGTCAAATTATTTATAAAATATATATATATATATATATATATATATGTTGTTCCAGCCTGGTCGGCAAAATGAGTCTGTATCTTTCAGATTTTTATCACTGTAAGTAAGCAATACACTGCTATGTCTCAAGGCCTTAGCCTTTTAACTAATTAGCTCCGTTGCTGTGTCCTAAATGCATATTAAGTGTCTTTTGTGTATGTAGGCTACACACTGGAAACATGACTAATGAAGTCATACTTGAAATGCCAGCATGCATTTTTAAAATTACAGCTGAGTGTGGTTACTTGATTTAAAATATTGATCATCAATAGTTAGGAAAGAATTGGAACTACACCAAGAGCTTGATAAAAATTGGAAGTTGTGGAGGCTGGTGCAAATGTGGCTCTGGTAACAGCTGACAAACAACTAAATGTATTGTTTTGAAGTTTGAAAAATGTCATTAAGTGACAAAAACAAAAAAAAAAGTATCTTTGAGAAACTTTTTTTTCCACTATTTGTAAAATATTCATATTTAAAATGTGTTATTTAATCACTGTTGAGTATACCATCTGAACATAAAGACGCTTTGGGCCTCCAACATGGCTGCCACAGGCTGGGTTATGTTACTTGAAAGCCTGTTCTACCTGCAGGAAGACCACTTTGTCTTGAGTCTGTGAGAAGGCTTCCAGCTCGTTGCTCCTCCTCCTCAGCTGGCTGAGTTCATTCTCCAAACCTCGGGCCAGTTCCTGTGCGTGACGCTCAGCATCACGTTGTCTCGTGGCGATCGCCTCCACCAGCTCCGCCTGACTCTGCTCCACCATGCGCTGCAGCTCCGCATACACCTGCCAGCTCTCCTCCAGTTCCTTCTGAGCACTGGCCTGCAAAGGAGGGGACAAAGTTGGAATGTGAAAACGTACCGTAGAGCTGACAGAACCACCGTTAGTCCAGTGCAACTCAAGCTGATTTAAAGATCCCCTCCACACATGTATTAAGACATATACTAAAAGTCTGCTTGGAACAATAATGTGTGTCTGTTTCCACAAAAGGATGTTGTGTTGTTTCTGTTTCCTACTTCACTATAAAATCAATTCTCACTGTATGTGCACTGGTGGCTTCATGTTTCTACATAACACTAATAAATTGCATAATACACCAGGAAGCTCAAACATCCAACTGTAGGAACAACAAGAAAAACATATCTTTGAGTGGAGGGGGACTTTAAGTTTAACTCAAAGTTTAAGATCAACTCAAAATGGAGTCCAGATGAATGAAATCCTCATTTAGACCAGTTCGATTTAGATTCTTATTGTAGAGTAATAATTAATAATAAATAAAAACCTGTGTCGTGGCACCTATAGTTTAGACTTTTAAACCTGATTCAAATAAGATTAGCATTATCTTTTTGATCAAATAAGTTTCCACTCTACAACTAACTACTTTCTGTTAACTTATTTAAACATCTGTATTTGCTGGTTTCCTTGATTTAAAGCTGATAAGAGAAGGGTCTGTTACATAAACATCTCACAGAAACTCCCAGAAAAAACTTGAATTCTGGTGAGATCTTTTAAACTGAGGGTTAAAATGTTTCTATTTGCTGCTGCCTTCCATCAGATTACATATGAAACCGTTCATTCTTAGGCACTGTTCTGTTACAGAACCGTTATTCTTATTCTGTTAAGTCTTAAATAATTAAATGAATTAAACATTAAAATCAGTTCTGAAGAGGTTCTGGTTTTGATTAATGATTTGAAAGTGGATGGATCAGTACAGTCTCGGATTTGTTTGGGTACTGAGTTCCAGAGGGAGGGGGCAGCTAACACGTATCTTTTATATCTTATGTTAAAGCGTTTTTGTCTTGTTTACAGTATCAGTTTAACCAACAAGGATTTTTTTTACTTTGAAAATCCTTGTTGTTGGAGGGTTAAACTTGTCTCAAAGTGTCTGTTGCCTACATCGTTTCAATTAGAGTCCAACACAATAACCTGTGAAATGCCGCAGTTTCAGTAACCACAGCTCTTTATCTTTATCCTTTGTTTCCTGGTTGGCTCACAAAGTGTTGCTTTTGCAACTGGATTAACAGGTTACCTCTTCCAGCAGCCAAGTGCAGGAAACCAAACTTAAGTTTCCACCTTACTCTTTTACTCTTTATAGTTATGTTTTTATTCTCCAACAAGAGAAGTGACATTAAACTGTATTTAAGAGCATAAAAAGATACATGTTTTTCATTCGTTCCTTAATTTAAAGTTTATTTCTCTCACTCCTGTGTATGATTCCTCTCCAAAATTCAAAAGAATCCAGTGACGTGTAATTGTGTTTATCTCCAAGTCTATCAGTGGCATCAGTTAAACCCGCACACAGCAACATGCACATGTGCAGTCCTGTGTACGTACACACACACACACACACACACACACACACACACACACACACAGGTAACTGAATCCTCATTGTATTTGTAAAAGTAGATAAAAATGTCACCACGCAGGAAACTTAAACAGCGGCACTAAAGCGGGGATGTTTTGCTATAGAAAAAGAAACCTAGCTAGTTTCTTAGGATGAAACTTGTGGGTTTTTTTTCATTTCACAACTAGAATTACAGTCCTATATGAACAAAAGCAGGTACTCTTTCATGTATTAATTTCTTATCCTTGAGGTAATGACGCTGTTGGTAAAAACAGGGTGTGGGAAAGGTAAAGTTTTACACTGGTCACACCGGTTGGACGGCAACAGACGTGGATCCGAGTCTATATACGCAAGAGAAAATTAAACCGCACTTGCAGGCCGCCCTCTTCACTAACACAGAGCACAAGAGGTATGACAAAGCTCTGGGAGGCATCGTGACCAAAAGGTGCCGCAGATTCTCTAACAAAGCAAAGTAAATCTACAGTAAAGGGAGTCTGTGAGTGAAACAGGATCCCAACAACAGCAGTCTGCTCACGTTTTGTGTGCTTGCTTGGATCAGATTGCTTCTTGCAAGAGCAAATAAAGCTTTTGAGCTTCAGCACGAGAGGAGTGCTAGAGGTCTGGGCTAATATTTAACATGCAGTACATGAGGGACAAGCACAACCGCAATACAACAGACTGCCTGATCAGCACAGACTTTGAAACATATGATATGGAAGTTTAAAATCAACCACATGGCAATTTCTTTCTTTTTTTTTTTTAACACATGTATTATATAACTCACTTATATTACACAGGTTGGTTTAAGGAAGCCAAACTTAAATGTTTCCAAAAAAATACAATTTGATGCTAGTTTTAGCTTTTTGAAATTGTTGTAAAAGACATTTAGTTTCAGTTTCTAGAGAGACCAATCCTCTTTTAATGCCATCCAACTGTTGCTGCCTATTTTGGACTAGCCAATGTTGTGCATCTTTATACCACTAAGTCCCATCTGTTATATTTAAATGTTATATACAATAGTTTATGAAGATTTATTTTGAAATTATAATATGCAAGAGGCTCCTAATTTGCTAAATGCCGGAAGGAAAACCCATTGGTTCAAGTTCATTGTTAACCATACATCTTTGCTTCTGTTCCCTCGAGCTCTGGAGAAACATTTTTAAGGCTCAGATTGACATTAAACAATCTGTTGTGTTTTCTAATGGATTCTTGACAACAAAGAAGATGATACTTGTCTGTGAGACATGATTCAAAGTCCTGTTCTTCTCTTGGGAATTGATCAAATGGGGGCTTTTTATCTCATAAAAAAAGCTGGTTTCATACTTTAAAGAACTGAAAATTGACACCAAAACTTTCAAACATCATTCCTCTATGCTCTGTCACCTATGTTGCCTTGGCCTCTAATAACTCACACTCACAAGTTAAGACCCACAGGTGAGATCTTGGTTCCCAACTCTTCTACTAGACTTCAGCCAACTCACCTTGATGACCTTGATGGATTGTTTGATCTCCTCCAGTTTCTTGGCTCTCTCTTTTATCAAATGTTTGAGCTCTGACCTCTTCTTGCTCACATTACTCTGTAAGAAGAAAATCAGGATTGTAGCTTGACTGAAATCAACACTTACACAGCTTTACACCTTGGAAATCGCATAAAAGTCCTTGCAACTGTCAGTGCGGCCTGAAACCTGCTCCCATACAGTTAAATGCCAAGCATGAAGCCCATCAGCTCACCATCTTCTTCTTAAACTCATGGTCGGTGGAAACAATGTCGTGGGACTTATGCGTGGCTTCGGCGCAGACTGTGCAGACGCAGGTGTGGTCCGTGCGGCAGTAAACCTCCAGGAGACGTTCGTGTTTCTTACAGATCTTGTCCTCCAGGTGGAAGGTGGGTTCGATCAGACGATGAGACATCAGAGTCTTCACCTGCATGGAGGAAGACGGCCGTGGATTTGAATGGGCAAATGTAGGAATAACAAACTCAGGACTGGGGTTTGGTAGGATAATCTACCCAGAGCCAGTGACTTGCTTGTGAAGAAGACTCTTAACCATAAGTACATTCAGCGAATCTGCAAGGAGGCTTATAGTAGCAGGCTGTTTGAACTAGGAAATGTTCAAGAAAGACCACTGCTGGAACAAACTTGCATGTCCAACTTACCTTTCACAGACAAAAACACTGATGAATGCATTTAAGAGTCAGAAACGATGACAGTTATTGAAGGAGTGATGAGTGAGCATGAATCCTGAGATGACCATGGTTATTTAATATTTGACTTTGGCTTTATCTTATGGCATAACCTTTACTCCTTAGGTGCATCACTGTAAACTCATGTTGTACAAAAAAACATTTTCTGTCCCACAGTATCTAGTTCAAGCCAAACAATATCAGAAATACCTAAATATATTATACAAATTATGCACAAGACATCTAACACTCTGCACTCCAAAAAATGCATGTTTGATCTAAATATATCAATATATAATATACGATATATGATGTGACTACAAAAGAATTTAAGATAGGTGATGTCAAACTGTGTAAATAGTGTGCTTTATTTTACTTTGAATTCCAATTTTTTATTTAATTTGAACACTGTCTTTTGGGTTCAAGTAAATAAATTAAAAAGTGATTAAGTAGAAAAGATTCCATTATAAGAAATAATAAAATAAAAAGGAAAAACTTACCTTTTTATGATGTCTGAGGTGGGTCTCACAGAATGACCCAGGACAGCTCACACAAGATTTCAGCGCCTTTAACTTCCTCCCAATGCAGGCATCACAGGGGACGTCCCCAGCCTGGGCGAACTCCCCAGTGTCGGGTCCCGGAGAACCCCCATGGCCTGTGTCTGTGCTTAGATTCAGCGTGGATCCTCGTGACGCAGCCCCAGCCCCTCCGGCCACCACCAGCCCCTGAAACTGGGTGGAGATTTCAGCCAGGACCCGGTTAACGCTCATCTCTGGCTTTTTGGAGTAGCTCTTCTTACACATGGGGCAGATGAACTTCTTGCTGTGGTTCCAGTAGCCCTGCAAGCAGGCCTTGCAGAAGCTGTGGCCGCAGGGTGTGGAGACGGGCTCCACAAACACCTCCAGGCAGATGGAGCAGCTGAACTGCTCCTCAGAGAGGACCCGGCCTCTCAGAGGGCTTAAGCCTGGAAGAGAGGGAGGAAATAGAAGAGATATGATGTAGATTAGATGCACAGGTTTTTAGGTAGGTTTAGACAAACTACTCCATGTGTAGAAATATTAAATCGAGAAGGTTTTGTATGGCCTCTGACATGTCTCGTGACCCAACAAAGAGGCTTGTTCACACCTTTATGAGTTACTAAGATCACATTTTACAGGTTATGTAAAAATGCTCATACAACACGTTAAATAACTCATGGTGCTAGTGTTCAATGAGAAAGACTGACAAAAAGTTGTGATTAAAGTAAAACTCTTCATGCTACAGAGTAAAATTGGCTGAGGGACCTGTAAAATCTTCAAAATACAAATGCAGTTTAGTTAAATTATAAAAGGGAGTATGTAGTTTATGTTGAGACAATTTAATATATTCTATGTCTTATCTGAGGTACTGAAACAAAGGAAACTTTGAGTAAAGTTCAAGTAACAAACACCTTTTCTGTCTTTTGGTATATCTTCTCTATGGTTTTGATATAACACCCTCAAATCCTCTTCCCCCCCACCCCCACCTCCCTGCTTAATTTTAAAACTCAAAACAGTTCACAGGTGACATGCTGACATAGGGATAGGACATTTTAGGAAATACATGGATTCTCCAGGGCTAATGAAATCATGGTGTGTAACTTTAAGAACCTCTTTTGACAATTTACTGTATTTTGTATGTTCTGTTTTAGCTTACAGCATAGATTAGGAGGGGAGGGAGCAAAAGAGAGATAGTGACTACCACTTGGAGAGGTGATAAAAAATGTGTAAACAAGCAGAAACACAAAAACAACACATTTTGACAAGAGAAGTGGAAAGATTAGTTTGAAAAGCTACAAGATGAGATAACAACGTTTTCCTCTCTAAGTTATCTGATATTTAGTACCAGAGAACACAAAGCCTTTTCACACAAACACAAATAGGAACCGTATTTAAGGGCGTCTTTTCTTCCACTGGTGGGTGAGAAACTATGTGAGGAATGCAGAAACTCAGGACCTTCTACCTTAGAGCACTTGCTCATGTTTAAAAACAAAAGAAGTCATACTGGGAATATTCACAGAACCAGCCACAACCAAAAACCACTGCTGTTAGTATAAATTAGTATTCAGTGTTTCATCATTAGTTTAATGCTGGATGTTACAGAATCAGTATTTATGGATGTAAAATGTTTTTTCTGTGCTGTTTTTATATAATTAAATGTGTTCACTCTCATGTAGGTTAGGGTTAGGGTTAGGGTTAGGGTTACAAGGGAGACAAGATTTAAACATGTCAGCCAGTGTAACATCATTTCAGAACATTATCTATATAACAAGACCAGACAAAACAAATACATGTGAGACGGAAAGAGGTTCTCTCAAATGTTATTTAGTGTTTGTTATTCTTCAACTGGACATATGGCACTATACTATAGCTCTATAGAAGACTGTAGTTAACAAAAGATTCACAAAACGTAACGTCCTTTAGTCAGGAGGAGGTAAGATAAAGAACATAAAATAAAATAGAACTTACTCTGCATGTTTTCCTCTGACGTGGAGCAGTACAGTACTTCACTTCATGTACTTTGCTGTGAGTCACACACGGACAGGTGCTGCACTCTTCCTGAAACTTGAAGTGGCCCCTCCCACTTTCAGTGCAACACACCCAGACTTCCACACACATTCCCTCCTTCTGTTATCACACTCTGATTGTAGTTATGCAAAACTCCTAAACCTAAAAGGACCTGCTGGGTCCATTTGAATAAATCTTTCCCTGAAAAGACTCAACAACAACTAAATGAATGCTGGGGAAAATATGACAGTTATAGGTGAGCCTTTAAAGTTTTATTACAAAAGTCTTGCACTCTATAAAGTGTTTCAGATAATGTATGATAAAAAAAAACATTTTCGGTCACATGTACTCTTGAACCTTTTTTATGACTCTGATAAGTGTCACACTGATATCCGGCTCTAAATTTGAAAGAAAATTTACTTGTGTTGCATAATGTGTGATTATCTGAAGGTTATTTCTTCTTTTACAGTGATGAAAGAACCAAAAATACTGTTGATCACGTGTACTCACTTTTATAATTATTGGGTAAAATGCAGGAATTGTACAGTAATTTTTTTTAAAGTTTAAGACGAGGTTGGATGCACAAAAATATATCTAAGAAACTATTTTCAAATCATTTCAGATCATTGGAATCAATGGAACAAGAAAAGGTTACACAAAGCAAACACCAGAGATTGTGATAGAACATGCACAAAAATGACAACAAAAAAAAAATCAAAAACAATAACTAATACAAAATTCCCTATATGTGATATTAATCCGTTTTTGTTAAAGTGACTTAAAAAAGTCTTTGGTTAAGCCTCAAACTGCCTCACCTACTTCAGATTTTACATTTGCCATAATGGATACCTGCATGGAAATACATCAATGTGATCAAAACAGCAGGAAACAACGACTGGCCTAGAATTGTACGACGGCTGTCGTCTTAATAGACTTTTTTGACAGCAGCCATTTTGACATGAAATAGTAGGCTAAACACAGGTGTTACCAATGACACTAATTAAGGTTTTGTTCCATTCAGGTTAAACAGAGTCAGGGCGCTGCTATTGTGCACGCTGGCTCCCTTGAAAGGCTCTGCTCCACTAAATGGAATGGAACCTTAATTAGTGTCATTGGTAGCACCTGTGTTTACCCTACTATTTGCTGCAGTGAAAAAGGTCTATTGTGATACAGTCAAGGGACGGGAAACATACCAGTAAAATGGACGAGCTGAAAGAAGTTTAAATGAAAGCACGAAGTCATCAAAATGTTGTTGCATTGCATTGCGTTGTTTTTAAAAAATATATAATTATTCAAAGTTGAATACCTGAAACCTGAAAGGGTTTAAAAAAATTAGAGATATGCGACTTTATGTGCTATAAGACACAACTAATACATTTATTCTTTGATCCATCCACTCACAGTTAACGCATGCAATCACTTGATTTTATAATCTATTCTATAGTCTATTTCTGATTACAAATTGATATGTGATTTCTGCAACGTCGACCTTTGTTTATCCAGGTCAGCTTTTCCTTTTGTGATCTCAACAATCATACTCCTTCTTATCTGTCAGCAAACACAGATCAAACACGGAGTGAAACCCTGTCCGGGAAGTTGCACTTTGTGAAGGTGAAAATGTGAGTATCGGCCTCTACATTGATAAACGATACCTGTCCCACCTCGTAATCTACAAACACCCCCAATCCTCTAAGGAGGAGACAGCATTAAAGAGAATGGATTTGCATACACATAAAATACTGCCCTCCATTCCTGTGACCTACAGTCCGCAAGCCGTTCTCCGGAGAGGGAGTGATCCGCTCTCTCCTCTTCAAAGTGCCAGAAGTGACTCCCAGCACCCAGTTGGATGTCTCCTTCACCCCGACCTTCCAGCGTCTGCCTGTAGTTAGGCCCTTTGAAAAAACAGTGTTTTCTGTGAACCGCGCTGGGCTAGTCGGAACTTTCTGTTTATTTGGAGATTTCTTTCCAATCAGGTATAATTACTGACTGTATTTTCTGTTGTGTTTTAATTTAAAAAAAAAAAAAAAAACATGAAAACATCCAACTTTAATTGTGAAAAATGACAAACCTGCCTGTGCACTTTCTTAAGCTCAGTGGGGGAAGATGGTTCCATAATTAGAAATGTGATAAATGGTGCTTTTTATGTGATCAATGATAAATGACAAAGTGGTTAAATGAATAAAAAAATAAAAAATAGCTCAATTTATCAAATCACTTGTAGTGTTCAAATAATCTTTAGTGACAACATAGTCTGTCATTCTCAAATAACCTTCCACCCATCAGACTGTCAATGACACAGAGTCAGAAATATTGATGAATTATTCAATACTTTTGAACATCATTTTTAGTCACTTTACTTAGCGATCCCAGCATGCACTAAGCAGAAGGCAGGGAGAGACCCAAACCATGAAGTTAGTACATCAAGTGACCTGATTTCAGAAATGAAAAGGCAAACAATAACATCAAAAATAGCCTTTAAAAAGCAACTATTCAAACAATAATGCCAAAAAGTTCCAAACAATATTAACTAAATGGAAGACAAGGCTACATAGCTTGAAGAAAATGTGTGTGTGTGTGTGTGTGTGTTCACTATGAAATATTTAGAATATACTGAAAGAAGTTGAAGAGGAAGGTAAAATGGACAAGCTGAAAGAAGTTTAAATGAAAGCACGAAGTGAAGTTGAAGATAATTTAAAAAATGTTTCTTGCATCGCATTGCAAGGTTTTTTTTTTCAAATTATTATTATTCAAAGTTGAATTCCTGAATCCTGAAAGGGTTTGAGGTGAAAGGAATTATGGTGTCTCCTGAAATAGAATCAGTGAAAGCAGTGGAAGTGTCATTTCAAAAGTATGAAAAGCCTTGAACCTGTAGTTGGACAGATATAGTTGAAAACTCATTTGATGTAGAAGTGCAGGGTTTTTTTATGGCAGCGTGCCTCAACCTGCCTAATTAACAGCAGATACATTTCATTGAATTACTTCTACAGTTCTTCTTGATTTTGCCCAGAAAAACTTGCATTAGCATAAATAATGCTAGAATGTCTGAATGCATCTTTTGTGGTAAATGCTACCTTTTTGTAGCTCCACTGGATATAGAAATATAACAAAAATAATTTAGTAATTGACCAAAAAATTATAGTTTTTAACACTTTGGGCTTCTCCTTGAGTGATACAGGACGTTGTGTGACCATAAGTGGTTATGTGGGAGCGTTCCTTTTTCTAAATGAGACTCTCAGGTGAAGAGAGTGGGGGGGTTAATTAAGGCAGATTACTAACAGTTGTGCACGAGTTAAGGCAGGTGTGCACAGCTGATAAATACGAGCTGTTCTGCACTGCCTGTAACACTCAAAATTACCTTCCTCCAGAGCTTAGAGGCTTTTTTTTTTTTTTTTTTTTTTTTTGGAGAGTGTTGATAAGTGAGAGTCCAGGTTTATTCAAGTGGTGCCTTTTGTTGGGGAAAAAACATTAAATAATGGAAGGTTTAATGGAATGTAAAAAAAAAAAAAAAAAAAAGAAGCTTCTACACTGAAATAAAAGCATGGGTTACCTGTGTAAATGTTGTAGGAGGAAAGAATCTTATCAATGTTACATATTATCTAGGACTATACTTGGACCAGTGGGTGTGACTGCTAAAATCTGTGTGTAAAATAAGTTGATTTAAATATACTAAATCTTTGTTCAACATTTTCAGAAAGGTGCACTAAATGGTCTGCATCACAACACTGAATAATTATATAAAATCCTTATTTGTATCCCCCTTTAAATATTCTTTTTTATAGAAGTTTAATGCAGACAGCTGCATTGGTGTTAGACACTGCAATGCTTCATCTTTACCATTAGTGGGCAGCCTTGGGCTTTCACTGAGGAGACACCAGCTTCTGCCAACAGGCACTTTACATTCATGTTGCATTCTTACCCTATACAGTAGCTGATGCTGATGCTGTCGCCCATGGCAACGTATGAGCACAACAATAGAGCAGGCTATTCTCAGGTTATTCACATAAACGTCCAAAAAGAAACTGATGTTTGGGTGAAAGCTGCTGCGCCTACCAAATACTGAAGATATAGTATATATTGTCAGATACTTTAGCAATCAGAAAACGTAGTTGGAGTCACATTGCAGTTCATTTAATTTGACAGAATATTCTATTTCTGGTCTACAACTTTGAATTCTGACCCTGAAATCCACCACCCACCGAGCTCCTCCAAGAAGATTGATTTCTTTGCACTGCAGCATATTGACAGCATTGATGTCAATGAGACATTGAAGAGGGGGTTCTGTTCTAAAAATGACCCCATGTCCAGGTCTCTGAGACGTTATTGATCCCTCTCACTTCCTGCAAATGTCATCGCATCTCTATTTATGTTACATATTATTGATTGTGCTATGTCTTCATTTTACACAGTATCTATTGAGGAACTGTCTTGTGTTATACCGCCAGCCGCATTTGAAAGCAATTGAAAGCTGAATTTGGTTTGAGGATATTTGAAAACTTGCCCCAAAAGAGAGAACTTATTGTTACTATTTGTATTGCTGTAAATCTGTGAGCTTTTGTAGGTTTGATTATTGCTGTGTGAGTGTGTGGCTGCATGTGCGTGCATGCTATAATATTCAGTGTAGCCCCTACAGCAAACCCACTGCAGAGATTGTGTCGCATGATGTTACGGAGCTACAATTTCTTGGAGTGGGGGGATTCTGCTTTCTCTCCCTGTCGCAGTGTCAGTCAAGGTAAATGTATTCCTCCTCCCTCCTTTCCTCCCCCTTTTCTCCTCCTTCTCCTTCTCCCTCTGCCCACTGGCAGCTCCAGCTCTTGCATCCATCAATCTTTTTCATCCTTTTCACCCATCTGCTTGTCTTTTTTTTTTTCTTTTTGACTCCCCCTTTGTTCTTTCTCTCTCTGTTTTATTTTCCATAACCCAATCCAAGGGTTCTCTTTTAGGTTTATAAATAGAAGCTATACCCTTTTCCTTTGCTGTCTCTTTCTCTCTCATTTTCCCTCCTTCCCTGCAACCCGAATCTATGCTGGAAGCCACACTGCGCTCTGTTTTTTTTCCTGTCTCGAATCTCCCCCTTTTTTTCCACACCGCTCACTCCAGACTCCCTCATGTCGCACCCCCATCTCTCTCTTTCATGTTATAATTTGAAAAACTCTGACAGAACCCTGCCTGCAATTGAACACAGGTCCCTCACAAAAGGATGTAGCTTCAAGTTACCCACTCGCTTTTCTCTCCCCTGCATCTTCCTCTTTGCTCTCAAACACACCAGAAAAACCAGTGAGGTCGCTCTCCATAGTTTTCTCACATCTCAGCATGTTGCTTCCTCTGCGTTTCTCCCCCTCTCCTGCCTCCCCTCTTCTATGTCATCTTCCTCCTTCCTCCAGATGCTCTCTGGTTTCTTAGAGAGGGTATCAGTGCTCTCACCTCCTTCGGGGGATACGGTAGCGCTAGTGAGCATTATTGATAGTCAGTGCGGATAGTGTCACACACTCTGTTACTGATAACCTCGCTGTGCCCTGGCAACCGGAGGACAAAACCCACAGCTGAAATGACGCCTCCTGGATCTGATCATGTGGCATTTCTCAATGGGGTAATCATGTTGCTAATAACACCCTGACACTACATATTAATCCCAGTTGGGGTACTCTCTTTGGACTTGTGAGATCCGGGGGTTTGGAGTGGATTGTCTTGCTCAAGAGCACTAAAGCAGAGCAGATGTGCCTGCCACTTATAATGTATCTCTGAACATGGAAGATTATTCTTAAATTTATGAATCACTTTTTTTATTATTTATTATTTATTCTATTTTATTGCCAGTGAGTAAACAGGTTGCAACTTAACTTTAAAAAATGAGACTCCCTGACTGTCATGGTTGCCTGTGAACTGATTTAGAAGTGTTTCTATGTTTCTGTGCAGAGCTGCGGGTCGGATTTCCCGCAGAAATCCAAAGGATGTGATGTTTATGCACGTTCCCGTCTCTCTGCTTCAAGTTAGCCTATAAATGGAGTCCGTTAACATCTACAAATGACCAGCAGCCACCACAACACAGTCCATTCATAAGTCCAAAGTCAAAGCTAACATTGCTGCAGAGCTTGTGAAATGTATCACCCGGCTAAGGTTAGCTTGCTAACGAGGACAAATTGCTAGCTGATTACTTCATTGGCTGGCGGCCGGTGCTGGGTAACGTTCTTCAACATGGCTGGGTTACAGCTGGCTGGCTAACCTTAGCTTGCTTGCTCAATAGCTTACTTCCCCAGCTAATGTGAAACATGATACTAACTTGTGTATTAGCACAGACAGTGTTGATTTTGGCCAACAATGAATGATGTTACGAAATGTTAAGTAAAGGTAGAAAGGAAACAATTGCTTTCTACTAGTCAAGAGCAATGGAAGGTATAGGGCATCCAAATGACTAAGTCAAACCACAGGAAGCTCCATACGGTTCACTTAATGGCCACTGGTGTCACTATTAACAACAGTCATCTGAAAGTTACACGTAGAACCTTCAACTAACCCCACCGCCATTGAATGGTTATGTAAGAGCACGAGTGCAGACTGAATGATTGATCCAAATGAGTGCTGAGGTGCAGCTGATTTGTTAATCAGTGACATAACGTGTAGCCTACATTAACTCAGCACCAATAATGACTAATCTAACTAGCAAATGCTTCATTAGCTCGAGCTGAATGGAAATCAGTGCACTTCATTTTCAGACTGAGTATATTGTGAAATTAATAGATACATAAATTCAGGTCAATTAGACTTTGTAGGCTTTATTCCCAAGTTGCACTTTCCATTTTTTTTTTTTTTTAGCTTCTTTTGAGGCTTAAAACAATTTAAACCACCAAAATGGTTTTCTGTATCCAACATTGTATCTGAAAGAGACAAATGAATTTGTCGGTGCATGTTTTAAAGGAGTTGAGGTTGTATCTGAGCAAATATGAACAGCCAGTGCTGATTAGCTTAGCTTAGCAAAAAGATTGGAAACAGGGGTAAACAGCTAGCGGTCCGACCTTTTGTGTCGTGTGATATTTAG